CTTCTGGAAAATGATATAACGCCCCCCTCCCCTTTGTTTTACGGTGGAATTGTTTCTGGTTAGAAAATTTTATTTACAACAGTGGTGTCACGCCAAGAACAAAACCGAAAACGCGCTATGTACAGTATATACAGGCTCTACAAGCTAAGTTAGCCAACCCCGCGTTTGTGACATAGGTATCCTAAACAGGAAATTAAAGAAATGTATTTGGGAGTTTGGTGTTTCCAAAAGCGATTTTGAAGCATGATTCTATTGGTGTCCGAAAGAGAAGAACACTTCGAAATCGCTCCCGGCTCAAAATGAATCTTGCGACAGAAATATTGCGCCGAACGCTTTTTTTTTTTCTTCTTTTTTAAGGCGGGATTGTTTCTTTTGTGGCATATGTATCCTATCCAGGAACTTAAAAAAAAAAAAATGTATTTGGGAGTTTAGTGTTTCTAGAAAAGATTTCGAGGCACGCCTCTATTGGCGTCCGAAATAGAAGAACGCTTCGAAATCACCCCTAGCTCAAAATGAGTCTCGCGGCAGAAATATTACGCTAAACGCTTGTCTCCCCTCCCCCCCCCCCCCTTTTTCCTTTTTTTTTTTTTTTTTTTTTTTACAGAAGAATTGTTTTTTTTTGTGTTTTTTTTGTGACATAGGTATCTAATGCAGGAACATAAAAAATGTATTTGGAAGTATGCCCCTCCCCCTTCGTACCCTCCCCTCCTTCTCCTCCGTACCCTCCATCATCCTCCACCGTACCCTCCTCTCCTCCATAACCTCCTTTCTCCCACAGTTTCCTCGCTAAATTTAGCTGGAAAATTGACGCCACGCGACCTCAACACGAATTCAGTTTCCCCGCTAAATTTAGTGGGGAAAATGATGTCACATGACTTCGTGTCACGTCACCCATGAACAATTTCAGTTTTTCCGCTAGATTTGGCCGGAAAATTGACGTCCCGTAACGTCCTCAACACCAATTCAATTTTCCGCTAAATTTAGCGGGGCGGTTACGCCGACGCCACGAAACGCGGAAACGGGCGCCTAAAAGCTGCGCTCTAGAAGAAGAAAAGAAACGCTACTTATCCGCAAAAGATGACATGCTTTCATGCCAAACTGCGTTAAATGACACTAAACCTAGCAAAAAAGAAAATTGTCCCGACCTGGTTAGGACTAGGGGTGTCGCGAACTTTTGTCGACCAGATTTTTTGGTCGAACTTTAGGAGTTCGACTGTGTCGAACCGGTTCGACGAAGCTTCGACCTTTTCAGCAGATTCGAACGGTTCGACTTTGTGGACAGTGTGGCCAGACCTTGATACAAGTATGTCTAGGTTTGGAGAATTTTTTTTTTTTTTTGTGCAAAGGGTTATTTTATTTTGTGAACAGCTGCAATTGAAAGAAACTAATTCTATTCACTGAAGAAGTTAATAACTTAGATTTCAGTACTGTATTGACTAAAATAGCGGATCAGCGCTGCACTTAATTCATCTCTTAGCCATCACCATCCAATCCGAAGCCAACTGGCCAGCCTGTCGCGCATGCGCACACGAGTCGAACCTCAATACAAGGTTCGACGATCTTTCCACTAAAAGTTCGAAAAAGTCCAACCTGGTCGAACTCGAACCGCGGCCGGTTCGCGACACCCCTAGTTAGGACATGCATGTCTCAAAAGAAATGTTCGTCGAAAAAAAGAAAAGCTTTTTTGCCCAATATTTGTGTTATAATACGAACTCTTTCGATTTTATAATGTGCGCTCTGAGATCCAGCGAACTCGGAGCGCATACGAGTTGGGTACAAACGCTATCATCATCATCCGACAGGGGAACAGCTAGTTTCGGTTTTGCCCGCAAATCGAAAAATTCGTATTGTAGCATAAATATTGGGCAAAAAAATATATATATAATTATTTTTCGACAAAGATTTATTTTGAGACTTGCCTCTCCTAACGAGGTAGAAAAGAAACGATTTTTTTTCCCTAAATGTAGCGGAGAAACACTTTTCGCGAAATTTATTAGGAACGCAAGTCCCCTAAATTTAGCGTGTTATCTCTGTGTTGCACCTTTGGGGGATTTTGGAAGTTATGAAATGCTAATCCTGAATTTTCTGAAAATTAGCGCACAACAGCCTTCCATATCCATGAGCGCGGGCGCCGCTGCTGGAAAGAGAGCGCTTTTGCCCATGTACATCGGCGTACTGCGGAAAAGCGACAGAGCGAGGGGCCTGTCACCGGCTCCAGATGATGCGTTCGTCCACACATTCGCATGATTGATCGCGTTATTGATTAAATAATTTTCCAATTGGTTAACAGAATGAGTAAAGTGCTTTATGGTATAGCACACTAAATGCCACTTACCGCAGATACTCAGACACACGTTTCTCCACTACGATCATCGCCATAGTGGCCCCTGAAGAAGATCCGAGTAGGTCAGAACTTCAGCTTGGGCGAGTTGGTTGTTCGTGATACTGCTTCACAGCGCACAAGATCAGACACACTTAAAAGAAATTTCTTTTAAGTGTGTCTGATCTTGTGCGCTGTGAAGCAGTATCCGAGTAGGCATCGAAATGTACCAGGGTTCTCGTATTTTTAGGACTTTGTTTCTAGTCGTCTTTTATTTATTGTTTTCCCTACCATAAACATTTCTCTCAAATGTTTACTTTGAAGTTGATGAACGGAATCCGCTGCACAGTAATATTTTTTCCATGCTTTAGAATCATTGTTTTTTAATCTTTGTTAAACGAAAGTGATTAACCATTTTCTTTCTATGTTCTAACTTTTTTTTTCATGATAGTCAAGTTTATTCATGCTTGAATATTTGTTAATATTTGTATATTAGCACCTTCCTCTCTTTTCTGCAGTAATGCCTCTGGACACTTAAATTAAATAAATAAATAAATAAAATGTATGAACAGGTATAGGTGCAAGACAATGGCAGAAATCTTGTGGAAGCTTTTCTAATAGCCTAGCAAAATCCTTTCTTTGGTGCACTAATTCTAGTCAAGTTAGCTATTAGACAGCTTTTACACTTGGGGGGGGGGGAGGGGGGGGAGGGGGGGAGGAGGGGGGGGAGAAGGATTTTAAAAGATACCAAATTTTTAAAAGGGTTTCAATTTAAAAAAAAAAAAACATAGTATAGGCCCACTTACTTTATTTAATCTAAAAGCACAGAGTTTAACTACCAACATTATCAACATTATAAGCACCAAACCTTGAGTAAAGAAGTATCCAGAATGTAAATGCACAAAAGTTTTGCATCTTGGCATTCTGTCATAGCTGCTGCCTGCACATGACACTTTTCATCTGAGTCATTCCATAAACTTTTGCACCATGCACCATCTCTGATGAGACTCAAGTTTGGGATTATAAGCATGATCATTACTTCTTTAATCGTGGGTGCTAATGGATATAAAGACTACTCACAGAAATCTCACATTTTCAAGCGGTTTTCATTTCCTTCGATAGAATGAGACCTTTCGACAGTTTCATTCCAACATCAGTACTGGGACTTCAGAATCTGGCACCAGGAGATAATGTTAATTTGTAATTCACTTATAGTCTATTGTAATTTTGCCATCCAACTTGATCCTGTAGGATGATGCCTCTGCAATTTAACTGATGCTCATAATCACAATCACATCTGCTATTGTAGAGCAGAGTTTGCTGTATTCTGTAGATAAGTTTTGTAGATACGAGGATTCGACCGTTGGTCTTAAAAATTCAAGATGTAAACTGCAATGCACGTACCACTCTCTCGAGAGGGTAAAAGATCTTGCTCATCGTCTCAATTTAGCGATGAGCTCAGGTGAAAATGTACCGCACAGAAACTTGCAATCGATTTTTCAGCACCAAAAGCATTTAGTGAAGTGAATTCCCCTTGACCTTACTACAAAAAATACAATGTGACATTTAATATTCTCTTTGCAGACCTATCACATTTATGCCAAACAATGATTGTACCAGGCATTGACAGTAGAAATTAAAATTCAGAGTTCACACGTAGGATATGAACATTACCGTCTCTCAACTGTGCGCTTCGAGTACTAACTCGCAGAGTTTGTTCATGGTCAAGTCGACACCGAGTTGCTGGTTGGTACCTTGAGCATTCATACATCCGGCCATACTGTGAGACATCCCCACCAAGATTACAAACATTATGTAACAATGTAACATTTTTGTGACATTAGTAAGTGGAAATATTTAGGCTACTAATAATAAGGACATTATTTCCAATGATGAAAACATTAATATTGTCTACTGAACGGTGCTCTATAGAGGCATAATTCAGTTGTTACACAACAATTTAATGAGGCCAGACGTTGATATTTTTAGATTCATTCGTGTAGTGGCCAATTTTTCTGTGGTTGTGTAAATATATATATCTATCTTTGAGGGTTTTCTTTTTTTTTAAGCCAACATTTTTGCTTTTTGCAGAGTATGCTTGCCTTTTCTACTTCAAGTGTTTCCATTACATTGCACCTCACTTACTTTTATAAAGTACTTTACTTACCTCCTAAGGTTTGTATTAGTCACCGGGAAACAATGTCATTACTGTTGTTATTGCTACTATGCACTACTATTACTACTACTAACAACTACTACCTACAACTACCAACAACAACTACCTCCTACTAATACTAGTATGACTATTACCTGCTATACCAGTACTAGTACAACTACTGCCACTCAACTACTGCCGGCTATTACTACTGCTACTAGCATAATTACTAATATCAACAACTACTACCTAGTACTATTACTACTACTACTACTACTAAATACTACTACTAGTGCAACTCCAACTTCTAACTACCATTACCACTATTAATAGTACAACAACTACTACTACTTACTTACTACTACTTAAAGGTACTTACTACTATAACCACTATTATTACTGTACCATTATACTACCAATGCAGATACTACACACTTTGCGTCGAAGCATGGTCAGCACTGCACCAAGTTGCTTGAGCTCGGGGTCCAGCTATCAGAGAAAAAAACAAGCCGAATGTTCTCTGACCTGACCGCCAGTATGTCGTCGACACCGTCGAAGTCCTCAAGTGTCACCGTGTCGGAGCCAAGGTCGTTAAGGTCGGTGCCGGCCGCAGCAGTCGACCCCGAACAAGTCAGATGGCACCTAGAAGATTCGACTGCGTCGGCTTGGCCACACGAGCAGCTGCACTCTTCAACGCTGCACAAAGAGACAGTTCGGCGTTGTTTCAAACAATGCCAAAGCATGACACAAAGACGGTGGCGGTGCTGAATGTTGAGGAATCGAATTAGGCGAAGAGACACTTCAGCATTGCTTCAAGGAACGCAAAAGCATGATGCAAAGAGAGCGACGGCACTGAATGCTGAGGAGTGGAGCAACACTGTTTCAAGGAATGCTAAAGCATGATGCAAAGACTGTGGCAATGTAGAACGATTAGAAAAAGGGTTAAAAACAGAGGCCACCCAGCATAGTTTCCGTAAATGCCAAAGCAGGAGGCAAAACGGACAACGCCGAGTACTAAGGAATGGAAGCTCATTGTTAACTTGAGATCAAAATGCCGGATTGAGCTTTGTAAACATGGCACGTAAGCTGCCTGATGGCTGTTGAACACCCTACGTGACTTGCACGCAAATTAGTTTATGCCATATGTATGCCGGAGAAGCTTGTAAGCACTCATCGGCAAGACCACCACAATGGCGTCTGATGCAATTTCAATGCAAGACATGAATAGAGCGACTAAACTAACATACGGCCACTCGGACGAGGCACTTATCACTAGTGGAAACAACAGGTAATGGCTCTCGTGCGTTGCCTATACTCTGAATTCACCATCCAAGCAAGAGTATGTTATAGTCTAGGGGTGTAAGGTGCAAAACACCAGGAACACAAGGAAGAAGGCATACACAATGGCCCCTTAAACCATATGCCTCCTACATAACATTCCTCTATCGTTTTTTTCACCTTACACCATGCTTTATAACGTTCACCAACTAGCCCATTTACAAGTTCTTCTACAGTATCTGTAGAAGAGTCTGTACAAAGTTAAGGAACTCAAGGCAGGTCCCTCCCAGAAGCCTCCCCACTCACCATGATTGGTTGTTTCCTCCTCTTCAGCATTCGCTCCGCTAAATTGAAAAGAGTGGAGAGCTTTTTGGGAAGGAGCTTGCCCGACTTTTCCTAACCTGCAACAGACTATAGACCCTCCCAGTAATCGCCCTCTGTGCACCGCCACCTGTGTCCACTAGGCTGTGGAATGCGTTCTGAGTGTGCACAGTAGCTCTCTTCCACAAAATATGAGACGCCGCGCATGCATTCCCAGCCTGCAGTGACTTTGCATTTTTCGCCTGGGCGATGAGCACTGGAAAGGTCTATACACATTTGCAAGTATGGCCAGGGGCAGATTTAGAGGGGGGGTCCGGATGTCCTGACCCCCCTCTTGATTTCTGCATGTGTAAAATTTAAGGCGTGAAACGAGGGAGAGGGGGAGGGGTTTCCTAAACAAATGGTACGCCGGCCAACACCTGACCCCCCCCTCAGGAAATTCCTGCATCCGCCCCTGAGTATGGCCTCAGGGCGTCACCATCTTGCTCAGCTGGGGTGCGCTTGGGTGCGGCCATAATCCGATTACAACGCCTAAGCAAGGCATCGCAATCGGATATGACGCGTCCAAGCGCACTCCAACTGAGCAAGATGGCGGCACGCTGAGGCCATGCTTGCAAATCTGTATAGTTTCTCCAACTAAATTTGAGTTAACAGTCGTATATGGACACGTGCTCACATGGTAAGAATCTTTGGCACCGAGACGGACGTGGGCATCCATTTGTTTCTCCTCTTCGGAGAGCCGCTCATGCTCTCCGCATGACCAACTCGAAAGGAATCCACCGGTCACTGTGGTTGGCTGAGGCTCTGTCTTCTTGTCCGGCTGCTGGCTTTCTGGTTGGCTCCAAGTTCATGTTTCCCGAATGCTTGGTGGCGTGCACGCCATGACGCCCAGACTCTCCCTGTAACGTAATGTGGCATAAAGTTTGGTTTGTTCATTTCATTATTTTTCGTTTGTCTATCCATATGTTCCGTTGATCCAAAGACGTGTCTTCAAAGAAGTGTGTGTTAAAACAAAAAATGTGACATTTATGAAAGAGAAAAGGTTGGTTGCAGATATCAATGTTTAAATAGAGAATGGGGATTTTAATGTTATTAAATTTTTTGGCATAAAGCAGAGAAAGTTTATATTTTAATGTTAAGTCCAAAGATTCCTTGACAGGTGATGCGTTTTTATTGTTTTAAGTTGAAATTGGTGTCTACAATTAGGAGTCATAACTCTGAAAAAATAATAGCTTTTCTTCAGTGTGTACATGATTCATAATTTCACTGTTTTAAGCTCTGGGTGCCAACAGTATGGTTAGCAAATTCAGTAACTACACTGTACTCTACCTTGGCTGTTTGCTCGTCCTGTTATGTTGAGATACTGCAAATATCAGTTTCCATCACAATAGTATTCGTGAAAATTTATTTATTTACATTTGTTATTAAACTGGTATCAAAAAGGCAAATTAAAATGTGGTGTTTGCCTTTTTAGTATAATTTACAAAATGCTGTACTAATGTTTTTTTGTTTTTTTTTGCAATTTGATTTGCATTGATTTTGATGTATTGTCTAGCAAACAGTTTAATGCAGACAATATTTCACTCAAATTGTTGTTTCTTCAGTCTACTTCAAAGGAAAGTTTTAGTTAATTATCGGGAGCTTGTAAAGCGTGCAAATAGAAAAAACAACAGTTATCAATAAACTCGCAACTCACAAGCAGCAAAAAATTCGAGCGCTCCAGTTTGTTTACTTTGTCACCTGGCCGGCTCTTTTTAAAGGCGACAAAGCGACGAATGTTGACGCATGCCATCGCACGAGGACTTGCAAAAGTTGACAAAGAGGAAAAACTACTTTTTTATTAAAATTATCTACAACAAAGTTCCGCAAACGTGACTTCGGCATTCACAGAACAAGTTTCACCTGATACGTAGTACACCTGTCAAAAAAGAAAACTTAATTCTAAGTGAAAACGTTAGCCGACATTCTTACGGCCAATACGCGAAAGCATATGTTACAAAAGCCCTCTCAAAAATGCAAAAGAAGTCCTATAAATAATTATTTTGAGAACTCACCCCTTTAAACTGCGCTGCCACCGCCTTGCAGACGACGATCTTGAACTTCGAGCGCGAGCGATCGTGGGTTAGGCCTAACACTCCGAGGGCTTCTGCTACAAGCTCCGGCATAATGTTCTTTTTGGTTGTCGGCGCAGCTTGTTTGTACTGTTGTTTTTTCCCCTGCCCAAAAACGTGCGGCAGCGTTGTTCGGAACTTTTACGGCGCGTCGAGAAAACAAAGCGAGCCAAGAAAAAAGCTCGTCAGCCTCGCCAAACAACTTCGTGAGCGGCATCGCGTAAAAACATAAACCGAACGTCCTCAAAAGTCCCGCCTCCTTCCAGAGTTAACTGCTACTGGCTGTTGTTCTTGCAGCCTAGGTTGAATCCTGAGTAGGGTCAACGTTAACCCTACTACCACAATACAACTGGCATTGTCTAGTTAAATATATGGTCGGGGATGTCTCTTTTAAAAGATCCCTTGCTGCTACAACGATTGTCGTGCAAATGTCGCCCAACTGCGCCCAACGCGCCCAACGAACTTTTGTCGTCTGCAAATTCGTCTGCTATGTACGGTCAACGCTACGGTGATGTCTCACATTTTGTTCATTATTCACCGTGGTTTATTTTCTATGTTTATTTTTAATAAGAATCTACACTTTTCTATCGGACAATTTTTAACCATAGTTTTTAATGTCACATGTCGCGTGGTCAGTGATTCTAGCGGCGAACACTCATAATGCATAGGCAAGTCATAAATAGTTTTAAAAGCCCGAGCAAACAGTACTTGTTCGCATTTGATAATTTAAATATTATGTCAAATTATGCAAACGTTTTCGTAAGCGCCTGAGATGGCCCCGAGCCACCTCCGCAAACTTTCCAGCCTGGCAACTCTGACTTTTCCGTAGCGCTTCCGTTTCGCGGTCTTTTCGGCTGGCGCAGTAAACCAGTAAACTTCGCTTTAGTGAAACAGCAAGTGAACCGCGATAGTCTTCTTAATATAACGCTCTCAGCTACTTGAGTGAGTTCAGTTGCCGTCCCGAGAAAAGGCACAATGCTTGTCATCACGTCTTGCGACCTATCGTCGTGCAGCACCGACCTGGAATCGTGTCCGAAAGGTCAAATTCAGGTGACTGGCAATCAACCACTCGCTCCAGTTCTGCCGCCGATTTCAGTTCTGTGAGACCGTTTTTTGAGCATATTGTGTGCCCCTTCTTTGCAGCTCATTATTGGTCCCATGTTCTCGGGAAAGACGTAAGATATGTATACTCCATTCCTGAAATTCCTAGCTTAAAAAATATTACGTAACTCAAAAACAGTTTTTTTTTTTTTTTTTTTTTCTTTTCTTTTTCTTTTCTACTTTGGATTGTGTTTAATGTGCTTTGCCCTATTTTTCGTAATAGACTGATTTCTTTACTTCCAGAACCGAGCTCATGCGTCGGTTAAAGCGGTACCAAGTCGCAAACCACAAGTGTCTCATCATCAAATACGCAGGGGACACGCGCTACGAAGAGGAACACATCAGCACCCATGATAGGTGAAGTCTCAAACTAGCTTGAGACATCTGGGGGCTGATGCTTCAGAGTAACAATCAACCTTTTGTAGAAACATTGGTTCGAGTGTAAATGTTTCTAGTACCCTCTCTCTCTCTTCCTTCTGGCCGAGCAGAGAGAGATGGTGTCTTTGGGTCAGAAGATTACGCACGATGGGGACAAAGGCGAGTTTTGGGGAGCCGTATCTAGGTCACAGCCAGGGGCGGATGCAGGAATTCCCCGAGGGGGCAGTCAGGTGTTGGTCAGCGTATTGTATGTCTAGGAACCCCCTCTCCCTCGTTTCACGCCCTAAATTTTACACATGCAGAAATCAAGAGGGGGGTCACGACATTCGGACCCCCCTCTCTAAATCCGCCCCTGGTCACAGTACCTCAATGGATGAACAGGATGTGGCTGATGCTTTGGGTGTCGTAACGAGTGGGAGAGGCCTTATGCATGCGTTGTTTTCTTGCCACTTAGTCTCTAACCCAGTCACGTGTCTAGGTGGCAGCACATATTCGCTAAAAGGTCTATTCGTGTCGGGTGTGCGAAGCCAAAAAGGCAAAAGACAAAAAAAAATTCATACTAGGGTCTTTCTACGTTGGTTTGTACAGTAACTGTCTGGGTCATATTTTCTATATTTTTGTAAGAAATATCTGTGAAAGCCATGGTCGGGAGGAAAATTCAGCTGTGTGTGAACGTTGTAGCTAAATTCTTCCCGGAGATATAAAGTTGAGAAGTTTGAGGTGTGGACATTGCCGAGCTTTCACTGTGGTAATTTGCACAGCCGCCAATGTTACACCAAAGGAGTCACTAATTTTTTTTCCTTTATTTTACACGCAGTTTACAATATGTACACCAAATATTAAAAAGTAGTTATATATTTCTATGCAAAAAAAAAAAAAAAAATTACGAAACACATTTTAGAGACTTATAAATTATTTGCCAACAAACAGCTTCATGCAAAATATCGCAAAAAGTGCGCCTTGAAATGCAGCTTACAAATATATAAAGAGATATTTGCTAGCCATCGCTGTAGTTTTGTTATTAATGCAGAAATGTTAAGTAATTTCTCTAAAAGCAAAATTGTATGTCAATATTTAAAAAAAAGAACAGAAAAAAAAGTCTTGTGATGGCAAAATGTTAAGTAACGTATGACCTCTAATTGAGAAAAGCAACAATAAACTTTCACTCGAATTTAGCTAGCTTGTTTTTGTTATGGGGGCTCTGCCGCACGACGCCTGCTCCAAAGAGATATTTAGAACCGACAAAGTTTGTATAGCGGTGCTGCTCTATTGCAGAGCGTAGAAAGTCGTCATACCTTAAAACCATTAGACTAGAAAGAATTTTTAAAAAAATTTGAAGAACAGCGCAGTTTTGTTAAACCACAGGAAAAACAAAAAAAGATCACGAAAACAAAACATGACGTCACAAAGACTTGACCAGACGTGGCTTGACAGGCTAAACACTAGACACTCTTCCGACAACGAGCATTCGCCGCCAAGCGCCTGCAAAGATAATCTCCGTCAAGACTATGAGAACCGCCCAGCTTTCTAATCTTTGGGTGTTAGATTATGATTAGGGTTCCGTGTTTTCGGTGTACATTTTTTTTCTCTAGGGTATTTTATGTTTTTGCGGCGTTTACTTGGTGCACTTTTTAGCTTTTATCTGACTGTAAATAACGTTGGGAGCCACGGATGCTGCCACCCATTTCTTTGGTCCAGAGTCTTGTTTCGGGTTACGGTGCCTGGAGTGTGGCTCGGACAGGTGTGCGTAGCATCCCGAAGCGGCGGCGAATGACGTTGCAAAAGCCAGATCGTCGCACTGTTGGATGTCGCTGTCCCGGCAATCGATGCCACTTCTGGAAGACTGCACGAGAGAATGCGAGTGGCATCATTGCGGCGTCTCGGCCCCTGGATAATTAAAGCTTCCCCTGACTGCCAAGCTGGAGAGTAAAGTGTAGCGGAACAAGTGTCTGCTGCGTCCTCCGCCACCGCTGCAACGCTTCCAGAATCGCAGCCAGTAACCGTGTGAGGTTTTCACGACGTCCTCGGGGTAGAAATTGAGAGACCACTTTATTCGCGACTCCAGCAAAACGGACTGCACTAAGTGGGAAAACCGGGAACCAGCCGGAACAGGTCGCTTTGCGCCTTTCCGCTTCTCTGGCGGCTTTCACGGACACGTGTTGTCGGCGCAGTGGCGAACAACGTAGTTTGGCGAAGGTCCGAATATTTCTTAAATTTGCCTGAGTGTTCATTAGTGTGGTGAAGCCTCAGTAGATTGTTTCCTTCCATCACGTGTTTGAAAGCCCTTTATTCCACAACATACGGTCACATGCTTTCGATTTCTTGGATGGGGAGGAATCGCGGAATAATGTTTTGATTTCTTGTCTTGCTCGAATCACGTTCAAAGTGACGAATACTTGGTAACTGGTAGGTGGTTTCTTTATAAGGATGTAGAACAGTAAACTGAAAACGACAGACGGAGGTGTTTCACTGGAAAGAACACCAGTGTAGCAGTCAAGTAAATGGGAAGGTTCAATAACTGCTTTTCTTGAGTTTGGTTTTGTTCGATTAGCTTCAAGATTGAGCCACCCATGCCAGTCGGTGTGTTGGCTATTCATCTTGGCTGCTTTTCGCCGAAAAAGCCTCTGGACCACATCGAAGGAGTTGGGCTGATTTCGCAATTACTTGATTCTGGAAAACCTGCTCGCTGCATACGATTATGGAGGGAAATTGTCTGCTTTCAAAAGGTGGTGGATGCGTCTCGCAAAGTTAGAAGCTGTCACAACATTATGATATATCGCGCCTTCAATATTTATGTTATACCCCTGTCGAAGCCAGCAGCAATATACGTCTACATTGCTCAGGTTGTCCAGCCACAAAAAAATACTCAATTTCTCCGTTCAGTATTCAAAGTCAAGTTCAATGCAGAGAGGCTCTGCGTGAATATCGATCGATGAAGACTCTCTTCAGTTTGTCCGCATTCATATCCGTGCTGCCAGCTAGAACCATTTGGTTCAGTTTAAGTAGTATCTCTCTGTCTGTCAAATTTACTTTTATTCAGCAGTTCACCTAATACCTAGTCAACTAAGCTCATGTTTCAACCCGAAGAATATACTAATATCGCTTTAGTGGGAGATAGTACGTAATATAACCCACATATTCGTCAAAATGACTTCTCGATTGCTACTAAAACCCGAATTGAAATACGAGTATCAGCTGCTTAGTTTGGCGCCAGCGGGTTAACATGCTTCTTAGATCAAGAAGCGCTTGCTTAATTTTTGTAATTTTCCTGGAGCCTGTGTTGTTGACCGAGCAGACAACTGGAGCTCTTAAACGCAAATACGCACACGCAAATACGCACAAAAGCTTGATTTTGCAGACAGATAAGTCGCATGGTCGAGGCATGCGAGTTAGCTGAAAATTACTGACAGTGGAACGATTCTGTAGTCATCGCCATTTTTCTTAGCTGATCAAAACTGAATAGAGTATTACCGTCTCTGCGGGGCCCATAGTTTCGGTTTCGAACGAAATCTCCGAAACAGAAGTTTGGCATGGAAAGAACAAAAAGCACCGGGAAAACAACTTTCCTCTTCAAGTTTATGTGCACCGGCTACACATAACCGTCACAGTTCAAATACCTATCAAATAGGGCATTAAACAAAAGAAAATCTGTTAAATTGAATGCACCACCTGTTCAGGCGGCCCGGCCGAGCCAACGCGACCTGTTCCCAGCAGCCATGTTTGTTTTGTGGTGGTGCCCCCTATAGGTCGCTGGAGTCACGAATAGGACGTGGCAAGCACACCGGTCGGAGGCGCGTTCTAGGCACCTCTACTCGTAGACACAAAATCGCGCGACAGCCTGCAGGTAGCAAAAAAAAGGGGGAAACATAATATTCCGAAAGATAGCCCGCCCCCTGCTTTTGGCAGGATTTGCTATTTTTTCTGAAACACTGAAAGGTAGCCCACTTCTAGTGATTGCAGGGCCCTGACCAATGGTGACCTCGTCAGAAATGATGTTACTTAACCACGTCGGAAGATTAGCAAACACTGCCGATTGGGAAGGGTTCATCGGCCCCTTTCTGCAATCGCAAGTTTTGCGGGTCACAGAATAGAAAACTAGCATTTTTTCAACCTTTTTTGATCGCACACTGAAAGTTAGCTCGCTGCTTATTTTGACCCGATTTGCTTTTCATTTTAGGTGGGCTATCTCTCGGCTTATTGTGGTATGTTAGTGCAGTTGTCATCTGTATAACCATCTTTCTTTGCACAGCCATTACGCTGTACGCGCTGTTTGACGTTTCGAAAATTGCATCGCTGTTATAGCCAAGCCATGCCCGCCATCAAAGCCAGAACTCTAGCCGAGCTCGGTAACCTGGAGGCCGACTTCAGAGTCATTGGGATCGACGAAGGGCAGTTTGTAAGTGATGAAACAGGCGGCCCTCTGTTATTATTAACTGTCTTGAAGCTGGTTTAGACATTTGCGTTTCAGTGCAGCCGACTGTGTTGCAGCTACTTGCGTCACTCTGCAGCACGGTGTGCGCGGTTGACACAAGGTGGCGCCCATATGCAAATAGCTTTCAAACACTTCCGGTCCTGAACTAGACGAAAAGTTTTTTGCAATATTAGCGAGATAAAAATCTATGCGCTATCTACGAGGGGTGGTTGGTTATCATATTGCCAAAATTATTTGAGGCCCATGGTGAGCCTAATGAGAAAAAAACAAATGAAATATATGCAAACCGGAAGTGGGCTACCCAACAGATGACGCTATCATTCTATCTCGCCGTAAGAAGTTGTAAATGGCACAGTCTGTCGCGCTAAAACGCAAATGCAGTGATGGAAGTGCTGCGCTGAATTGCTTCGTGAACGAAAGCCTGCTACATCTTGCACCAAAATGGCCTTTTTATTGCTTCGTGAACGAAAGCCTGCTACATCTTGCACCAAAATGGCCTTTTTGTTTGGAATTGCGCCACACCTGCCCAAAGATGGCCTTAAAGCAAAAAAAAAAAAAAATATATTTTACTATCGATAGACTTTAATATTTAGAGAAGGTGAAAGAAAGAAAAATGGTGCATCTGCTCATCTCTATTCACCATGTAGTTTGTTTCATCTTGGGTCGGAGCACAGTCGAAGGCTCGAGTGCATACGACCTCGAGCACATACTAAAGGCGCAAGTCATGGGACATCAGCTGCACTTGATTGGTCTAGCCAATGATGGAACACGTACAGGACGATAAAGAATGCCAGTATATCAAGCTTCAACACAGTTTGATTGGTCCCATTGCCTCGTAGAATCGGGTGTAGCGTCGACTTCGGGTGAAACAAAGTATAAGAATTGATCCGATTGATCGCTGACATCGTCTAAATATCCAGACGAGTTGTCTGCGATGTCAGGAACTAAAAGTTTGCGAAAAATTTGCAAAATAGTGGGTGGTGGCTACTGTGATAAGGCAGAACCAGAGTCTTGTACTCCCGCTGAGATCACTTGATTATCATGTCTGCCACATGCCTTGGTGCCATGGCTGCAGAGTACCATGGCCACTTTCGCTGCTCATGTCAACCTTCACCGCCTCTCACCAGCGTACGTGCGTTGAGCTTCACCGCTTTGCACTGGAGTGCTAGGAGCAGCGGCCGACCTGGGGTAGCGCCTGGCTTAGCATGATAGTTTAGCCGATGATGGAACATGTTAATTATGCTGAGGATTATTGCAGGTCGACCTAATTTAAAAAGAAAAAGAAGAAACTGAGCAGGGAAGGAGAGAATATATATGAATAAATATGGTAGTCACGGTAGTTCGTGTGCAGCTTTCCATCGAAAGAACGGCAAACTTAAGTAACTATGTATAGCCCCTACGCCTCTAAAGAACAGTGTCACCTCTAAAGCATGAGTGTAGGCTTTTATAACATGTTGGGGTGGTTGTTTTTGCAGTTTATGATATTGCAAGTCTCGAGTTTGGTAGGTTTATTTAACTTGCAGGACGCATTTTTATTGGTAGACGTGTTAGCGGATATGCTGGTTCTTGCTGGCATTCTACAGAAATTATATTTACAGGCTAAACAAACTACCGAGTGTAAAATGGGGAGGGGAGAGGATTTGTCCAGATGAAGTGTTGTGCCATGATTCACTTTTTCAACAATTTTTTAATACTCGTTGCAAATGAAACCTACCCCGACTACAGCCTCATTTAAGAAGACTTCCTTTTACGCCTTATCTATTCTGTTCACAAACGGTAATAAGAAATATGCTCCAGTAGCAAAGAAAAACCGTCAGTCATTATTATAAATGAACTTGTTTAGAGATGCAATCACTTTCTCATTCTCAAGTGATGCACTAAGAGATGTTGGCATCTGCTAAAGCTGCTCCATACCATTACTTTGCCTGCTACAGAACTTGCTGAAAAAGGTCAAATGCTGCTTCCATCACTGCAAACCTAACCTAACACCTGCTTTTAGTTTGCAGACATTGTCGAATTCTCCGAAAAGATGGCCGAACTCGGGAAAATCGTTGTGGTCGCAGCTCTGGACGGCACTTATCAACGGAAGGTAAAACGTCTTTTCCTGTCCAAGCGGTGAAACTGCAGATGCGCAAGCCTTCTGGCATCGTCGCTGCACATAACCGTAAACCGTTTCGTCTAACCACGCGACCCACAAGGAGAAGCTGCCTTGCAAGGTTTCAGGCTCGCAACTATCGTAATATCCCGAGAGATGGCCCACCTAAAATCAAGAGCAAATCGGGGGAAAACATGGAGTAGGCTAACTTGCTGTGTGCAACCAAGACAAGCTGAAAAAAAATATTTTTTTTTTTTTGTTTTAGGTTATGTGACTTTTCCAAGCTTGTTATGGTGGCGAGGGGCAACGAAGCAAAGATGACTGTGCTTTCTAGTCTGCAACATTTGCTTACATCTATATCCCACCATAACTAACTTTGCCGCATTTACGCCGAGGTCATCGTTGATCCTTACACTACTACTACTAAAAATAAGCTATTTTTCTGTTTGAAAAAAAAAAAATAAAAAAATACAACGAATTTAGCCACAAATGGGATGCAGGGTATTTTTCGGGGATGGGGCATCTCGGGATTTTACGGTACATTAAAAACACTGATTAGGTGTCACAATCCACCACCTAATTTGAAGGTGTTCCGTCGTATGCATCTGTCTATTCGTAGTGGTGGCGGCAAGGCTAAGCAGCTGGTTTCTTTCCTCAGCATAAAGCTGCAGTCTCACTTTTAGTACATCGTGCAAAAGACGGCCTGCAATCCCCATCTGAGGCACGTTTCTTCCTCATACGACGGCCCCTCTATGTCGGTCGTACAGAAACTGTCTGCAAACACGCTTGAAGCATGTATACGTTTGAAGCAAACGTATTCGATGCCCGTTTGCAGATAATTTTGTTGTCACGCCTGCAGCGAACATTGCGCCTTTCGTACGACTTACGTGCAGCATGACTGCAGCTCAAGGGGACAAAAGTAGAAAGAGTGCAAAGATAGTGCGTGCTCGAGATAATGCCTGCAGCATTGTTGCCAGCACAATTTTCGGGCAAGACGGAGAGATTTTGTAGCGTGCAAGAGTCGTGTCGAGCCTGTTCAAAATGATTATGTTTCTTCAATGTCAACGCACTGTGCGTCCCACTTGTGTCAGAGGAATCCTTGTCAAGATAGCTTTGCTACCAGATCTAGAAAGTGCACCTATTCCTCAACCTCTATGCGTTGCGAGTGTGATGAGCTGGGAGTCTGATCATCTGTTAGTGTGATGACCATGATGATGAGGATGAATGAGTTTTAATTTCGTATTTAATTGTGATGGCGAGTGTGCGTGATGACCTTGTTACAAATAAATTGTGATTGCGGGTGGCAGCGAGCTTTGGTTTTGCAATGAATCGTAACGGTGAGTATATGTGACGATGCTGTTTTGAATAAACCGCGACTGCGAATTTTTGAAAAGGGAAACTGAGGCAATTGCGAGTGAGGTTGGCTCGAATGCCGACCCATGGTTGTCGGTAGAAGCGCCCTTCAAGGCCTGGTAAAATTAACAATTTTGAATTCTTTTGCAGGGTTCTGCTGCCTTAATGCTTAGTTTGGATTGCGCAGTAGTGATGCACGTTGAATGTTCGCTGGCTGCCGAACATTTGGCCCCTTTTGAATGTTCTGCAACTTCATTTCTGGTGTCGAGTATTCCAAATGTTTCACTAATGATGCAGGGGTTTCCGACCATAATGGAGTTGGTGCCCCTTTCGGAGAGCGTCATCAAGTTGACGGCGGTCTGCATGATCTGTTACGCCGAGGCGTCGTACACCAAGCGCCTGGGAATGGAGAAAGAGGTTTGTGTGTTGTCCCAACCTCAAACTGTCACAGCTCCATTTTCTTAGTTTATTTCGTTGTTTAGTACATGTTGCTCAGGATCAGGGAGTTTGCGTTGAGCATGTTCGCATCATTCGAGTAAATACTAACATTTTCTTTTGTTTGTGCGGATCGTGCGAGATTGACTTTTCATTTTTTCACCATGACACCCAAGTTTTCAAGTTATGCACATCGTAAGCTATGCGAAACTTGTTTTCATTTTATAAATAGATTTGTTCTTGGTTTCGTTTCATGCTCTTTTTTGTCGCAAGATCTGTTTCGTGAATTCGGCCTCCAAAGATTTCTGTGGGAAATTGGCAATTAAAGTTATGTTATCGAGTGTCATCGAAGTATGCCGATGAATATGCCACGTCTGCGCTCGTCTGTTCACTTTGATGCATCGCTTTTTCGACGGTGGTGCGGACTGCTAACTCTTCAGAGTGTTTGCGCATGGACATGCAAAAGAACACGTGAATTCACTTATTTGCTCGCAAACATAATGCACGGTTATGCAAGTGACAGGTGGCAGAAAAGGAATCATATTACGGGGTTTTACGTGCCAAACCAACGGAGAGCACCTGGCACCCTCCGGCAAAGGACCAAGGAATAATTTCGACCACCCAAAGATCTTTTGGTGTTCGACAGAAACCTCGGTTACTCGGCACCCTCTCCGCGATCATCCTCTGTCGGACTCCGGCCGAGATTTGAACCCGCCGACTGGGTGACATTGGACTGATAAGTTTCCTCCGTTGTCGCTAAGTGACGCAAACACTTAGGCATATTCTCATTCTCTCGACCCACGGCTGCGTCTCTCTGGAAGACGTTTCAACCGGGTAAGGCTAAACACCAAAAATTAAGTTTTAAGGCGAAAGCCTTACTTGTCCCGTTGGGCAAAAAATTGGAGTGAATGGCCATACGAATGTGATGAAGCGGCACATGCCGCTCAATCGTATGTTCAAGAACGCTCCTCGTCCTTGCGGTCCTCCTAGAAGTCGTCGTAGACCTCTAAGACGACCTCACTTGTCACAGTACAAGAAAACAAGCGACGTCCCTCGGCATTGCTACTGAAATATGGCCATAAAAATGCGTCTTCAGCGTGATGTCATCATACATACTTAGTGTGATGTCACCGCCGGAGCGCTGTGTGCAAAAGATGTGCTTCGGACTTCATCTGTGCTCATTGTGTGCTCCTTGCAATGGACTGTGAAGCGATCGCATCATCACATCGACGGCCTCGACGTCGGCGGCACCGTCTACATCAACGGCGGCTTCCGCAGGCCATGGCCATCCACGCAAATATGCCACGGCCTCTAAGTGTCGTTCTTGACTTCGTCCTTCAGGTCATCCTAGACGTTGTCCTAAACTTTAATGCGTCTAGAAACATTTCTCCCGCGTGACTATAACGCTCTCGCCTTCCTACATGTAAGCAGTCTTAAATGTACTCATGTAATTTTTGTTGTTTTTTTTCTTGATCTGCGCAGGTGGAAATCATCGGAGGGGCGGACAAGTACATGGCAGTCTGCAGGAGCTGTTATTCGAAAGAGGACACGTCAAGAAAAGAAGAGTCCTAGCTTCTCGACCGTGAGCACATAACGAAGACGACATGTTGATTTTTTCGCCCCTCCACCGGTGATTCCATGGCACACCACCACCGCATTTGCATCCCTTTTGATAGTTCTTGAACGCGTCGACACTACACAACAAGTTGCCCATCCTCTTTTATATCGTTGCACATTCATCTTGTACAATTTTGCTCCAATAAATGGATCTTATGCATAAAATACGGAGTTTTAGCACTAACTGTTTTGCTGGGGAAGTATAGATGCAATGCAACTCAAAACGGTTTTCGATTTGCACAGTGCTGACAAAGCCACGAATGGAAAAGAGGAAAGCAGCTTTTGTATGAATTTTGAGCGACGGGCTAATCTTCTAGGGAACAAAAGCTATGTTAGGGATGCACAAAAAGAGGAGTTCCTTCCTCTCTTCTCCAATATGCTCTCTCCTGTACCTTCGGTAAGGGCCGAAGGTACAGGGGTGAGGGCTGAGGCTACGGGACTCAATCTTTGCCAGATTGCGGTGAAAAGGATAGCTGGCGTCTAAAAAAAGGGATATCGCCGTATTATGCTCCTGCATGTCTGAAAAATGGCTCAATGTTCCCTCAAAATTGTTTAGGAAGCATCTAACTGAAGGCTCAAGCAAAGTAAGTGGCCATGCCAAATGCTGTGCTTTTGGCCATTTTTTTTTTTTTTTCAAGGCATCATTAGAATATACTGTGCCGTATAAATGCGGCATGAATCGAATCCCGAATGCTATTTGATTAATGTTTGAAATTTCGTGACAAGTCCAGCCCTCAAAATATTCTCTCAAAGCTTCGGAGGAATTATTCTTTTAAAGTGGCACACTGTCTACACCACTACGAAGTGTCGGGAAATTTCTGAATCGAAATACTAGCTCCGAAAAAAGGGACAAGAAACACCGTGATAACTAGAAATATACTTTTTTTTATTGTAACTGCCATGAAAAAATACTATATATTTCCAAAAATGCTCACAGCAGGTTGTGGAACAAGTCCCTTTTAAACACTGGAATGTGTGCAGTCAACACCAGCACGGCCTGCAAGTCTGAAAAAATGCGACCTTACAAACTCTTCGACGTCCTAACACACTCGGTATACAACAATCCACCTCTTGAGGTAACTCCAGAAGAATTGTAACCACAAAAACAACGCTTACAAAGACACCGGTATTTCCAGGCACGTTTCTCAGTAAAACGTGTCTTGACTTCTCTGTCATTGCACTTGCCACATGCTTGCACATAGCTTGGCCTGTATGCGCCATTGTACGGTGGCGTGAGCCACACTATAAATAATGTAAAAGTGTCCACTGTACAAGCTCTTTGCACGCACTGCATTGTCCTCTCGTAATCCAGAGTAATCCTCAAGTTGCCGCCGCAGTACTATGTATCTGGCCTTCAGCGCAAGTGTTTGTCGTATGCTTCCTGGAATTTTTGTCGCATTAAGAAGTGCTCAAGGGATCCCGTCACCTCCCACCCGAGTTTAAACATTCCCGGTGTTTTTTAATGTTGCTTGCAAGTGTCTGTCTTCACCCACGATTCGAGTCTTTCTCACTCACGACCGCATTCCACCACACTGTTGCGAGTTCCAGCGTCGTATGCTACAAGGTCGTCTGCTCCCACCACTCGGATCAAACGTCTATGTATCCAATGCTTTCCAACGTCTTCTGCAATTGTGCCCTCAAGCATCAGTTTCTCTCGCCAATGATAGCATCCTGTTCAACTACTGTGTGCTCGAGTGTCGTCTGCTCCCGATGCTCGCACGTCTGCGTTTTTGACGACCGTTAATGCCGTTACAAAATGCTGCTTTTGAGAGGATGAAAGGTACCCGTAAACATCTGCAGATGCCAAGTGTGACCTTTTGGGGGAGGCTTGAGGTATGACACAGACACAAAACTTTGCGTTAACGTGGCTCGCACAGACAGGCTTTCGAGCTTGAAAGGGCGCCGCCATAATTCGAAAGGGTCCAGCGACGAAACTTCGGCACCGTGGCTCACCGCGGGACCGGGGTGCTGGCACTGGGAATCATGTTGGACACTGCAGGCGCCATGCTGTTCCAGAGTGCACCCAACTAAAAAGGCAGAGTCAAAAAAAAAACAAAAAAAAAAACGACAATTTAGTTACAACTACAACCTAGACTAGCAATGCTCGCAAACTAGAGTTACAACACCTGCTACCTAGATGCAAGCAACTCCAGAAACCTAGAGTGAAAATACTGGTGACCTAGTTCAAGTTTAATGTTGACCCAATATCGGGTATATCATGCAGCTGGCAAGAAATTCAACTGCCACGATTATTTCCTAACGCCATCAGGAGTGGGGCCACTACCGAGTTGACATAAATTGGGTCTAGAGTCCAGACTTTATCAGGAACTGAAACCCACTCATTTCTTACAAATAGGGTTCTTATAATTCTCGAAAAATGGTCCCAGCCCATCTCAAAATCAAATGGGCTCTGCATCACCCACTACTCGGATGTGTTCGACTGGTGCTCATCAGATGTGTCCGATCATCGTTCCGTCCACCAGGGGTTCTTTCTGATCTAAAGGAACCAATTATTATATGAGGAACGCCTTATGGGTCTTAGTGCCGATGCAATAAAACAGTAAACAAACCTACAGACCACATGAACAAAAATTCACAGGGTCTCTTGTGTTATTCCTAGACGACTTTAAGGCGAAAGCCCAAGCACTGATGTATTAAAGACAGGCACATGATTTAATTTGTTTTATGTTCTCTTTCTTCACAAAGCCACTCTAATTAGTCAGCTTAATTTGCTGAGTCATCATCTTAATTCACTTAGTCACCCACTTAATTTGCCTTAATTAGCTTTGATTGCTTTTCTCTATAATTCCTCTTGCTTTACTTTGATTCCTCTTAATTCGCTTTGTAGTCCTTATTAATTCACTTTGATTCCTCTTAATTCGCTTTGTCATCCTTTTTAATTTCATTGCCTCTAATTTGCCCGAGTGGTCACGTAAACGTTTTGGTACCCTTTGTGTCGGCGACATGTTTTCGCTCGAAGACTTTGAAGGTCGACTGAATGGTGACACATACGAGGCTTTCACCTTAATAATGTGCCTACCGTGCTCCGTTTGCCCCCAAGCCTTCGGTCCAGTGGGAGCTACGCGCTTGCCTACCAATCGACCGCCTCCCTTTCAACACCTGACCCCGCCCTCTCCGCTTGAGTGCAGGCAGAAGCACGATCGCATTGCGAAAGATGGGCACGCGAGTGGTCTAATGAGCAGATGGCTTGCACCACACTGTCAGCTTAGGGGCGAACAGAGCATGAGAGCACTTGGTGCGCATGTAGTAGGGTTGTGCAAATATTCGAAACTTCCGATTCTCGAAGCGAATACAGCCATATTTGATTCGAAGTTTGAATCGAATAGGGTTACTCGGCAACTCCGAATATTTTAGAAGTCTTTCGAAGTGCTGCAAAACATACCTTAATTCAGATTTTTAAAAAAATTACGAAAATTGTATGCAGTGCGTAGAGTAATCCCTCGTTATAACGAAATTGCTTATTTCGAATTATCGCTTTCATTGAAGTTCAACGTGGTCGAGACCGAAGATTATTCTTAGTGTACCGGCTGCCGAACACGCTTATTACAAAGGCCGAAGTGTCGAAAGTATGCAAGCCTACATGGAGGCGCACTAAGACCCTTGGATTCCCTCTCCCTTCTCCCCCGAAGCAAATAGCAAACAAGAAAAGGGAATAAACGAGTGACGGAGGGCAGAGCGCACAGAGTGCGGCTTCCGATGCTGATGAGCCGACGCAGCCAGGGAGCAGCGTCCCCGCTCCGACGCCACTCGTGGCGCCCGCAGCTGATGCTGCCCGACTCTAGTCGGAATCGCGTCAAAGGAGCGATGGAGCCCGGAGGAGATCATCTCTTCGAGAGCCCTCAACACGTACGCTTGCAGCGTACTACACACACACGTGTGTCGTTTGGGAGATTGGGAGTGTTTACGGAAAGTCGCTTAGATCTGCAAGGCTGAGAAAAGTGTCCGGCCCAAGCCCAAAATTGCCAAAGAATTCGACATTCCAGCATCGGCTGTTTGACACTGACCACCATTTCGAAGAACAAGCAATGTGTTAAACGGGTTTAACAAGTTCCTCATGCAAGAGAAAGCGCGCCCGTGACCCAAACATGAAAGATCACCAACTGCTTTAAGCATGTCGGATTTTCTTGCGAGGATGCTTGCTGAGCCGGCGAATGATTCTCAGGGCTGCAGTTGCTGCAACGATCTTTACAGAAGTGTGTGCAAATGTGTTGGCGAAGCCACCGATGATAACTTTGATTCGTTCGCGCTTGTCAATGCGGACACTCCCATTGTTGCCCCTGCCACGAATGCTGCGGTCCTAGACCTTGCGTGCGGCCAGCGTAAACACGAAGCGACGTTGGAAAGGCACCTCGGGAAACGCCAATGACTGCACAGATGCAAAACATCTTATGGCTGCTTTGAAACAAAGCGGAGAGCAGCGGCGGTGACAGTTTTTTTGCGATGCGTGGAGCACTTCGGGAAGAACTGATGCCCGAATAAAAATATCGGCAAACTCTACTAGATTATTTTTTTTACTCGGTAAAGCTGCCGCGAGTTGGTCGTAACCAAGGTTTGTTCGATTAAACACACAGTCGGTGTTCTGCAGTGTTTCCATCCAACTTAGAAGCTACTATCGCTGTTCTTCTGGCTCTCGCTTTTATCGAATTTACCGCTTGTATCGAATTTTTTTGCCATCCCGTTGACTTTGTTTAAACGAGGAATTACATACTTGAAATTAGTTCACCAACCACGGCCGGACCGCAAGTAGCAATAAACATAGGAGCAACAAGTCTACACTCTTGAATCTACTGCGGATTGCAATTCTAATAGCTAACATCAAACCGTCTGTGGAAATTTCTCCTTAAATAAACTGTTGTTTGTGGCCCCGCTTCTGTATTATTTGTGATCTTGACTTTTATTATGGACAATTTTTGGGAGGCAATGACGTGTCCATATTAAGGGGAGATGCAAGTCAAAAACAGCAATATTTTGCACAAACTTTGATTTTGGGTTTTATGATGTTTAATGACTTTTTAATCTTTATATATGATGTCTAAAAATTAGAAGTGCCGATTATAATCGTGAAATTAGCCAAATTCGCATCTGAAGACCTCCAGGCAACCCAGAACGGCCTGAATTTGAGCCATTTTTCTCTGCATGGTTCTTCAAGTTATGATGTTGCTTACCTTCACATTTACATTGACAAACAGGCCCAGCCGTCTCCTCTCCACTGCAGTTTTCTATGGCTTCAATTTTTCAACGAAATTTATTACCGAAATATTTTCCGCATTGCGAAAGAGTATAGCCACACATCTATGGTCATATTCAAATGTGTTCTTTTTATGTAATTTTGGGGCATCTTCACAGTTTGTGCACAGGAATTTCTGTTCTTAATATTGTCCTATCACAGCCAAATTTGACATGCATTAACTTTAGAATAAAAACTATCTAGGTTTGGCTAAAATTTTTTTTTTTTCTTTTTTTTTATAAAAAATTTAGGAATTTTTTGTGAGCCCCTTGAAATGTCAATTTTGCTATTTTTCAATTATTTTAAATAAAATCTGGGTTGTACACATAAAAAGACAAGCTTTATCAAATCTAACACCAGATTTATACAGACAAAATTAAACACTTTAAACTAAAATTTCATTACAATATCATAAATAATACAAAATATATTTTTCCCTGGCGCGTGTCCCCTTAACGGGACGTGACTGTCTTGAAATAAGAGCCAACGCACAGGCGAGCTGGTGAACGATCATGCCACGACAAGGTCCTGGTAGATCTTGTCGTGTTTGTGCTTTCTTTTTCTTTCTTAGTCTCGAGGGTTCTCTACTGCGACCATTGACAGCTTCGCATCGAAGTTATTCGATTTGATTAGAAATTAATTGTACAAATAAACTATTTGCTTCGTATTCACCTCAAACCGAAAGAAAATCACCATTTGCACATTCCTAGCTCATACTAGTAACACATCAACGAGCAGCTCGTTTGTGTAGCGCTTAGACCGTCGCTTTACTCTGGGGCACGGACGGCCGAGGAACTTCAGGAACTCTGGGGAAGTGCGAGGGCACTTTGGGGAATCCGCCGTGTTCCTTGAAACCCAGTTTGGGAATCTGTGTCTTAAAAAGGTTGTGGCCCAGACGCCCACCTTGGAGTGCCCGGCGGCCTGGATGCGCACAAGGGCCTTGGTGATGCCTGCCAGCGCCTCCATGTGGGCGTACACGAGCTGGCTCTCCAGGTGCACGCAGTGCAGGGAAAACTGCGTCCTGTGCTCCAGCTCCTGCGCCTGCTTCATCGGATCCACCTGGAGGCAGAAAGAGCCACGGGTGTGGCGAGTGACAAAAAGGAAGCGCACTGCAGTCGCCGACACTGAGAGAACGGCTTTGGCTGCTTTGGCCTTGGCCGTGCTTTGGCTTTGACTTAAGGCGAGACAAGTGAAGCTCCTCCCTGCCATCCTCACCCAGGAACAAGCTTCCCTAAGAGAGTCTGCTTATTTTTTCTGCCGTGTAGTATCCACTAACAAAAAAGTTACGTTTAGGCAGTGCCAAAGAACTAAGTGTTTTTTTTTTTATTTTTAACACTAAAATTATTTTTTGGCACAGCCCTCAACATCATCTAGGCCGTCGGAGGCTAGACCTTGGCGAGTCCTTCGTCAGGGATGACCGTGTTTGCACGATTCTAACGTGCCCCCAATTCTATTGCGCAGGAAGATTTTGCTTTCAGATATTTAAATACCTAGTAAATTGGTGCCGATTCTACTGCGCAGGTAAAATAATGAAGATTGAACATATACCTCATAAAACAGATTTCATGAAATGCACGCCAACACGAAAATAAATAGCGTGCACTAGTCGCCGTTGTCCGAGTCCGACGATGGTTCTTCGCTGTCCAAAGAGATAACCCTTGCTTTTGAGCTTGTACGAATGCGCAAACGTCGCCTCTGGGAGGGTCGTCTTCCAAACGACACTTTGCGAGCTTGTCGGGTCACTGGGATTGCGAGGCCACGCGGTGTTGCTCCGTTGTTATCTTCTCCTGCCAGCGTGATGGCCTTTTGTTTAAATAAAACCTCCTAGTGGAATTTCTTGTTTTTCCATCTTAAAACAGCAGACAAGAGTCCATAGATGCGAAAGAATGCACGTTACACAAATACCAAAATGGCGAATGTAAAACAAACGGTCACGATGGCGATGGGGCTAGCCACCTTATACCGAGTATTGGAGTTTCGGTTCTTGGTTTCGATTGTATCGCGCATGTAGTTTTGGATACCGATTTTAGCGAAAAAAAGTGTGCGTCAGAATTGTGCAAACACGGTAACCCCCAGTGTCCTGCATGCATGCCCAGTTGTGCGGACCTGGTGACTAGCCTCTTGCTAGGTCGAAGTCGGACATCTTGGATCATGAGCGTCGGTCACGGCTCGTTTAAACGCGCTTAACATTGGCAAAAATTTTTTGTAGCCCGAAAAAAACAAACAAAAAAACTTCAGTGTATTTAGGTTTTTGGTATAACGAAGCCTTGAACCCCCAGTACGACTTTGTTGTGTCCCGGTTCAACTTCCCGGAAGGTGAAAAGTGCCGACTCACCGCCCCAAAAGAATTTGTCGACTTCTTCACCATCCGGTTGATGGCCTTGTGGTGCCCGAGAACCACCCCGCTCTCGTGGCGGTCGCACAGTGCCTGGAGAGAGAGGAGATTGTCCTGTTGATTTACGTGCTCTCTTAATCAGTTACTGAGGTTCCTAGGCAGTAATTAGAGGCATCATGAAAGGGTAGCAGCAGGCAATAGAATACCACAATCTTTTTCTCTCTCTGATGGTAATGGTACATCAATACTGCATGATTGGTAGTAGAATTAGATGAATGATGATACTGGGGCACTAAATACCTGCACCTGAGAACAGTGCGAATTCGGTATAACACAGATCTACATATGCGCTCTTGCATGGGCACTTCTATTTTAAAATTGTGTGGTGTATTTTTTTCTTAGGCTTTTGCATTTGACGAATGCCGTGTTTTGCCATCTCTTGCTTTATTTCGTAAAGTGTTACCCGACGCCTGTGTTTACTAGCTATAATGGCCCATCGTCATTATGTGTACAACCTTGAGAGATGGCTCTTATACTTGCAAATAGGCAGCTGGTGACAAACATTGAGTTACTATGGGGATGAGTTGAGCTAGTTGGTTATGATCCATTCCTTCATTGTTCAGCTGGTTCCACCCGTAATGAAACATTGAGCATTCACAAACATTTCCCGCTGCCGCCAGCTTACCTTGTAGGCAACCAATAGGTCCAGGAACAGATTCAATTCTTCCAAGACTTCCTCCTCTTCGTGCAGAGACTGTAAAAAAAATAAAAACATGCACAGTCACACCATGTTACCCTTCGTACAAGAACAGCAACTAACACAAATCGCGACTATGCAAAAAAAAAAATTAAAAAATATGGAGGTACAAATACTTAAAATTTAGAATTCGGATCGAATGGCACTGTATTCCAATCGACTCAAAACACATTTCTGCAATAAAAAAAACTATGAAGGCTTTTTCAATCTGCTTTGAAAAGTGTAGTGGTGTTGCCTAGCAACAGGTACCACTACTATTTACAAAACTAGCCCAATTCGCTACACCGACATAATACCATAGAGGTTACCACCCCATTGCTATGTTTGCATCCGCATGTAAACTTTGAATAAAGCCCACCAAAGAGACTGGTCCCGCCGTATCTACAGCGAGTTGCTGGAGAGGTACGATATTCATTACACTCCCAAGTCGGGCAATAAAACATAAGGCAGTTCTTCTACCGCAAATGGACAAGAGACAACTGCACAGAAGACCGAGCAACGAGTTCTCGGTTGTTTCTGGACTTCTGCACTGTGGATTACGCCGATGTCGGGTCCGGGCTCACCTGTTCAGAGTGCGCTTCGTGCACTGGGGTGAAAAGGTTCTGGAGCGAACGCAGAGCCCTTTGCAGCACGTTCCAGGCCTCGTTGCCTCCGGTCCCCCAGTCAGATTCCAACTTAGAGATGTTACTTAGCGTCCTGCGATTTGTACAAAACCCAGCTGTTGGATTGCCACCTGTTCCGTTGCCTGTTTGACCCAGGCGAGCAGAGCAACACGGTTTTGGTGTTATGTCAGAACAGGAACCAACACCCACATTTTTGAAGGAATGACGAGAGGCCTTTCTTTCTACAACCTTCCGACTTAAAAAAGGAGTAAGTACCACTAGCCTATGTTGCACTCAAGTTTGTCAGAAATGGGAAGAGCATGTTGCTGTAAACCTTCACCTGAAAGAACTCCGCTGATTGCTCGAAAATAGATTAAGACTTTGGTTATGAAAGGCTTTTACTTCAACAAGGCTTCATTGTCAAAATCAAAATCCTCGTCCAGCAAAGTTCCATTCCAGCAAAGTTATATAGTTCAGCAAAGCAAAAGTTGGCAAAGCTGGAGTTGGCAACGCTAGAGCCAACAAAACCGGATCAACAAAGAAGCTCCAGTCCACTCAACATTTTCTACAACTAGACCAGAGTTCGCCCTAATAAATAAAACATTCCTGCTTTGTAAAAATAAAAGAAAGAAAACGCCCCTTTCAAATTATTATTACCCAAAATAGTTTAAAAACTAAAACAGAGGGTCCTCACGCAAACTCTCGTCCAATCACGAGCACGTCCACGGCCGCGCTCTTGGATCGGTCCACCATCCGGTAGGCAGCGTCCCTCAGCTGGCCCAGGCAGACGTAGACCTGACGAAGTTGCTCCCGCACCACCGCAAACTGAACCGTCGCGTCGCTGGACACCAACTCCTGTCGCGCACCACCCACAAAAGAAGAGTCGGTGCGCACGTCCCCGTTTGTGGACAGAAGGGGACCGCGTCCCTGTTTGTGGCCTCTCGATTTCCGCTCAACGACATCACACTAGACCCTTTCCGAAAGGCCGTCGAGCAACATTGGCAATCGCCACCTTTTGGGAATGAAGCGTACGGTTAGATTCAAGTCGTCGCCGAACTCCGACAAAGTGCCTCCTTTTCGGGCCAAGCAGAGTTCGTGCCCGACACCAACGTAACCCTGGCGTCCAATACACGCTTGGAGTGTGTGCCCAAACAATGGCGGACTCAAGCAATTTGCACAGCAGCCACTAGATGGCGCCCACTTTTGAAAGGGGTCTCTTGCGAAGATGGCGCAAAGGTGAAGCACTCACGTCCGACTTCCGTGCCAGTTCGCTGGTCAGGAACTCGTCAGGAAGGTTCCGGAAGTGGTCCTTGAGCCTCGTCTGCACGTCCTGCATGCAATCGCCCGACGAATACGGTGATCAAGAAGAATGGCTCGACGCCGTGTTAATTAAGTCTGAAATCCAAACACCTTCGAAACAACGTCACACCGTCTGAACTACGTGATGTGGGACAGCATGATCTGTGACCATGTCAGCTAAGGAAGGCTACGAAAGCAGAGTGAAAATCTATTCTATGGCATGTAACTCGCCTTTTAGCATTCCCTCGCTCGGGTTTCAGCGACTGCTTTACTTTAGCAACAGAACGTAAAACTTCTAGTATGCTCTAGAATACTAAATAGATGCAACACCGTACTTGAGCAATGTTCGGTGGACTCGCTCGACGTGAACGTCTGGAGAATGGTACTTTGGCACATGAAACACTGCTACGGTGGAATATCTTTATGATAAAAATATATAAAAGAAGGGAGAAATTCACTATAGTGAAGCTTTGTTTAACGAAGCTTTGCCACACTAAATTTAGACATAGTGAGACCTTGCCACAGTGAGACCGCCATCGTGAGACTATAGCATAGTGAGACTCTGTTATAGTGAAGCTACAGTATAGAGTCGAATTCTCGCAGGAAATGGTCGAAAAAACAATTAGTATTACTTTGAGATATCCCCTAATGGTGGGCTCATGCAATGTTTTATTGTACCCAGAAAGGTGGGCAGAAGGGCATCCCCTACGTCACACAGCACAAAGAATGTTAGTGTGACAAACCCTTCACTCGTAAAAAAATATTTGTGCAGGTAATGTACAGCACGACACCGTTAGAACAAAGAAACGATCACTGGCTTGTGTCGTCTTTCTCCTAGAATCGAAGGGCTGTCATCAAATCTACTGGTGCGTGGCGGAAAGTGCTCAATTGAAGCACTGACCTATGAGGTAAACTTTTATGCCCACGAATACCCTTACAAATTTGAAAAAAAATGCTGATGCTGAAAAAAAAAAATAAGAGCAGTCCACACAATTGGTGTTTTTCACCTTTACAAAAACATGGAACTTGTAGAGATTATCATAGAAAAAATTGTAAAGGTGTTGGCAAACTGGTGAATATTAAACATGTTGAATTAACCTGAGACTGGGCTAGAGAAGAAATATCAAAACGTTTTGATGTTTCTTCTCTACACCAGTCTCAGGTTAATTCAACATGGTAGTAGGGATTGGGCATGAATTTCGTCTGCAAGATGGCTGTATCTCGTTTTCTTATTCTTGATGACAGACGCTTCACGATGGTTGGGGCCACGGTACAATTGAAACAGGCTTGTCTAAATCTGGAGTATGCTTATAAGGGTACGGCTACAACAGAAGTGACACGCAACTTACTGTACCGCTGGAGGTGAGGAAAATGCTGACTGCTTTGTCCGAGGCAAGCACTGGGTGCCGTGCAACCAGGGTGAGAAACCGCTTGAGCGCCCTCCGCCGCTCTTCTATGAACTGCGAATCCGCTGTGTCGTCATTGCCACCGCAGGAGAAAAAAAAAGGTTGTAAATTAACAACTTTTAGGAAACGCAATTGTAATCTACAGAGCACTTTGTTCGGGATTGAATTCCCTAAACATTGGGGTAATGATGATTAAATGTTAGATCAACGAAACCTAATCGAGAGTACAGAAGGGATCAATTTTGTCAAAACAGATTCCCACAGATTGGGCCTGAAGTTTTCTACAACGGGTCCATATCGCACGAGCCAATCAAGTTTTGCTGAATCGCGTTTTAGCGAACAGCGATCATTTGAGCGAATTGCCGTTTCAGTGAACGACGTGTATTGTTGGGGCACGTTAACCCAGATCTGTATAAACAGAGAGTTTGGTCAATGGGAGGGGAAGGGAGGAGCAGGCAGAGCCAGGGCACACGCCAAATACAGATAGAAGGCTGGACATTTGCTCTATTGGCCAACCAGAAGCCGAAAATAATCACCTAGCGGTGGCAGCGAGGAACACTTTTAATAAGTGCACATGAGATAAATATAGTAAATCTTCATGGGTGAAAATATGATGATGTTTTGTTTCAATCATGATCATGCAAAAAGATGGAAGAAACGAATGTGATGCTCAAACTCTGTTTTGCTCGGACGGCAGATGCTCAGTCCTCCGCGGCTGGCATACAAATTACGTGCCACGATCGAAACACCATATGCATTATATTTACAGTCGGCGAGAGTTACTCTGATGCACTTACTAATTTTGTTTCTCGCGACCACCGCCAGGGTATTATTCGCGGCTTCTGGTTGGTCACGTTTGAGTTTGTGAACGCGCCCTGGAACATGCCCAGCCTGCTTTTGGCCAATAGCGCCTCCTGATTTGCCTCCTATACAGTCTAAGCTCGTTATAACAAACCTTGATTTTGACCAAGATTTTGGTCTGTTGTAAGAGGAGTATGTTGTGTGCAGATATGAAGTTGAGTCAACGGTATGTAGAGGAAAACCAACCGAACTTCACAAATCAGTATGTTATATCCAAATGTCTGCTGTAATCAGGTCTGTTGTAATGGGCTTAGACTGTACTTCCCAATGGATGGCCAGACTATGTACGGCTCTGCGTCTACCCACCCGGCCATCTTGTTCACGCTCCCTCGCAGCAGCTCATCACAAAAATGTTAACCCACCTACCCCACTCATACACGCCGATTCGCAGTGTCATAATTCGCTTAAGTGTCTTTTGATGTAAGGTCAAAGCAGCACTTTGTTCGCTAAACCCTTGTACGACCAACTGAGTGCCACCCTTCTAAAAATTTGTGCCGACATTTATAAAAACTGGCCATACAGATTCTATTTTGATTCTGCAAAGCAGGCCAAGACCAATACCAGTCTTCAAGCACATGACTGGTCACAAAGGGCGATTTGACAGTTTTCACGTTTCCACCTTATTGATATCAACCTTATCTGTTACTTTTTTCAGACGCAGTATCTCTACTTTCTCCCTTACTTTTCCCAGTTTTACATTTCGGAGCCTTCGTAGACTTTGTTTCATTCGATCAAGTGCGGTTCATTCATCCAAATATTTTCGATTATTTCCTCTTTGGAGACCACATAGGACGATGAAAGTACCCATCGCATATATTCAAACGTGGCTCTTGATTCCTGCAGATGATGATAGTACCTCTAAAGGTCATAAACAAAAAATAATATATAGTACACATGAAAAGACAAACAGGGACGGTAAGGCGCAGTTCCACACGGTGCCGTGTGAAACTGCGTTCCACACAGCACCGTGTGCTTCCAGAACACATCTGACTGGACACACTTTGTTTCTGTGCATTAATAAGACAAAGAGGAAATGCCAGAAAGACAAGGTGTAGTGGTCGGCATACCCAACTGGATATTGAGAAACCCGGAGTTCAAATCCCGGCTCCGCCAAATATTTTGTCTTTCAGCGGCTTCGTAGTCTCTGTTTCATTTGATCAAGTATGGTTCATTTATCTACATATGTTGGACTATAAAAAAAAAAAAGGATGAACACTGATTACTTTGAGAAGTGCCGGCTAGACGTATGTCCAAATAAGGCCCATCAAATACGGCAGCATTCAAACACATCCCCTACGCCAGTCACGTCGAAGAGCCATTTTCAACGCTCGTATGCACCTCGAAAAGCTATATTTGGCGTTAACTTTTGTAGGGCCACATTGTCAAGGCTAGCATAGATTTCGCAGCACTTAGATAGTCAAAGCTGCTTGCACCAGCACGTGCATTTAGCATTTAGCGTCGCCTTCGCACGAGAGCACATGCAAACAAGACGAGAGACGAAAGCCACGTGCTCTTGCAGCAGTACGGGCTACAGCACTGTGGAAGCTACGCTACCTGTAACAGTGTACTACTGCAAAAAAAGTTCACGCCAAGCACACGTGGCTTGCACGTGACGTCACCGGGGTCCCGTCCGAAACAAATTCGGCAGTGCGGAACATAAGCTGCGTAAGGTATGCGCTCAACAGCAAGGCCACAACAATGGCCGCCGACAGGACGTGTGTGCGAGCTGTGTATAGTTAGCCTTGGCCAAACCCCAAGTCGACGACAAAGGGGCTCTCGTAGTCGGTAGTCTAGCAAACCTTTATGCGCCAAGTCCCCGTTTCTTCCAGCCCAGCAACCTTCAGCACCAACCCGTGCGCGGGAGCAAAAGCAGCGGCTCACCCATGGCCCGCTTGGGTGGCAGCTGGGGCACCGCCCTGTACGGGAACCGCTGCAGGAGCACGTCGAACAGTGCCACGAAGTCGTTGTAGCGCCGCTCCACGCACGACTGGTACCTCTGCGGCGAAAGAATGAACCCCCCGCGAGGAAGAGGGGCCAAGAGCCGCCTTTAAGTTTCGGTCGGGCGCAAGACGAGAGATCCGGACAGCCGATTAGGAGCTCCAGGTGGGGAATTCCCGACACTCCTGTAGCTTATTCTTACAGAACGGGGAAAATCCAGGGCTTGCAAAGACTCCGCACGGCGTTTCGGAGGATTTGGAAACCGTGTGGAATTTGTTCCTTTCTGACCCAGGGGTTTTCAAACTTTTCGATTTTGACGAATCTATAAACTCTATATATTGGCAGCCAGGGAACCCCTCCCAGATTAGGTAGTGATGCAAAAAAAACAGCATAGAGCCCTGTAGAAAATAATGTACATGGAAGGAACTGTCTGGCTCACAGTTATGCATCATAGGTTGGCTTAATTAGGTCTGCTAAAAAATGTACTGCAAATTGCTAGGCAATTCTGTTTAATATGTGAAACATTCCAGCATCAAAAACATTTATATTATCGTTTAGCAGCACGTCAAGCCTGCCCAGCCAGACGCTTACGTTCACGGCACTCTTCGTCGGGTAATATAACGCTTGGCATATGTACACTTGAAATGATAAACCCGGTTAACTTCCAGAACCTTCTCACCCACTCGTCCTCTCCCACCTCGCCTACCCCTCATCACTCCACCCCCGGTCACATGACCTCCCTGTTAACCACTTGGTGTCAAGCACCTCACTCCTCCTCTCCCATCCGCCAACCAATCAGTGTCAAGCCAAGCGGCCACGCTTTTATCCGGGCTTCATTTTTGGGATTGACAAAGAATGTTTCACGTCAACACTTCTCAAACTGGGAAAACACTTAATTTTGTGGCACGAGCAATCAAGGAGATTCAGGAGCTTGGGTTACCCTCCGAGGGTACTCTGAAAAAGCTCTTCGTAGTAAGGCATGCGAGCACCGGACGCTAAGGCGAGGGGGTCGCTGCCCACCTGACTAGAGACCTCGTAGACGACGTGCTTGAGAATGAGCCCCTTCTTCTCGGGGACCAGTGCCACCCGGATGGTGTCCTGTGCCAGCAGCTCGCCGTAGCTCAGGCCCAGGATCCGGGGGTCCGCGCCGGTCCGCACGTCCAGGTTCATCTTCCGTCCAAGCCCCAGATGCTCCCGCAGCTCCAACGGAGTCCCCAGCGACGGGCTCGGCACTGCTGTTGGAGGAAACACGTCGAAGAAGTTGCTCCTCGAATCGCCGAAAAACGATAAAAGCGCCGAGCGAGAAGCGAATCGTTCAATGGAAGATAAAGAACCCGCGCAAAAACAACAAATTAATCATCTCTCCAACGGTTCCGCAGGCCCCTCTTCCCCCTGGCTACACCGGTGATCTGCAGTGCCAGCTCCCGTGTTACACGGTTTAACAAGGGGTGCCGCCATGCTCGTCACTTATTTCTTACAAACTTTCGCCACAGCATCTCCGTAGGACGTCGCCCACCCGACATTTTTCACCATATATCTCTTCGTAGCAGGTGGGCGTTCAATTGAGTATTTACGGTATACATATGGACACGATACACTAAACTTTGTTGCAGGTTACGATATGCAGGACATCCTACTCCCCCAGAGCCACCCCCGTTCTCCACTTTGGCAGAGAGAACGCTGGAAAAGATGTGAGTGGGCTTGCCTCTCTCCAGCATTCACCCTGCTAAAGTGGAAAGGGTGGAGAGCTCTGCGGGATGTGCTCATCCTGCTTATCTTAACCCGCAACAGAGTATAGTACCTCAAAATGCAGAGCACAACTTTGTTTCCTTTTGCAAGGGTTGTAGTGACGTCAAAACGTCAAGCTCCGATTGGCTCTGATTGAGGTATAGTGGGTCGATCTCAAGGCAACTTGTTTGCAGGTCTACCCACTACCCTTCAATCAGCCAATCGGAGCTCGACGTGCTGATGTCACCACAACCCCTACAAATTTAAAGAAGCAGACGAACTTGCTCTTCGCATAGCTTCGGGTCGCCCCTGCCCAGGTCCAAGAAAGACACACCTTCTAGGTTGGCGAGGGACTTGTCGTCGAGCTGTTTCCCTTGCTGTGCCAATGCCAGGAGGGCTAGGCTCTTGTAGAGGCTAGTCCGCGTCACCGGTCCCACCCTGGCGCCCGACAGTTCCCACACCTGTGGGAAAAAACGAAAAGAAACGTCGTCTTTATCCTTGACTCGGAAAAAACACCGACGATTTCGCCAAACCGTTTGGCGAATAAATCCGAAAGAAAAAGGCCCAGGAATAATGGCAACAGTGTGTCCTTGCAGACGGTGAAGAGCGGCGGTTATCGACTTTGTAGCTGCCAATGGTATTTATTCGACTTGCAACTCATTGGCAAGATTATTAGAAATCAAAACGTTTGAGTTCAGTGTTGTCCTCAAGCAGAAGACAGCTATACTCATATTCGCCTCAAAAACCATAGTAAAGAAAAGTCTGGCTCCTTGCAGAGCACCGCTAATTTCCCCCTTTATGTGGATAATTAAAATATACCATAAAATACAGGAGAAGGGCCCACTTCATCCAAGCGCCCATTTTTAACGTGTTTCAAACTCGGGAACTCTGCATATTACGAGACAAATCAAGCAGCATCAAAAGCGCAAGTCACTGGGCCTTTTCTGTTTATGATTGGTTCAGTCATGATAGAACACATACAGAGACATGATGAACACCATGGTGGTGCACTTTTGATGCTGTCTGACTGGTCCCCTCAGCTTGCAGCATCAGCTGCGTCTGGATAAGGTGAAACTAAGTATAGATCGATCCAGTTTTCAATGAAAGTGAGGTGGGCTCTCCCCCAGTATTTTACGGTATGTAGGTACATTTTAGATTGGATACATGTTATCTTGTCAAAACGTACAAATTTCAAATGCCAAAAGCATTGTTCCTTTCTGCAACAACCAAGTCTTGTAAGAACAAGTATTGTTATGTTTCTTCCAAATACCCTTGTGGCCCTGATACTATCCGAAATAAATAAATTGGTAAAATAAGTGTCCCTAACAGTGTCTTGGCCGAATTACAACTCATGTTTTGTAGGCTCCCAGATGAAAATCAGTTCAGCTGGAGCTGGATTATACAACTGGTTCCAGCTAGATTAAGGTGGAAATTCCTAATCCAATTGGATCCAGTTCCATGATCCAGCTGGACCACTTTTCACCTGGGAGCTGACGCATTCCACAATTCTAGGTTATCGCCATCGGCAGCCACTCTGAAAACGGTATCTAAAAAAGAAACTGGACAAAAACCAACAAAAAACCAGAGAGCAAAACAACAACGTGCAAACAATAACCAAGATTATTTCACAGTCCATATCGCTACACAGCACTGTTTTTTTGTTGTTTTTTTTTTTTTTTTCGTTTTTTTCAAAATGCATTTTAGAGTGTGGATGCATGCAGTTGCTGTGAGCCGTACAGTGCTAAGAGTTACAATTATCAGACAACACGGACTCAAACATAGCAGATAACTCTTTCCCACCTTCCCAGTACGATTGGCAGTTCTGGAAAAGGATTAGATAAGAAAGTGACATACAAAACGAACGGGGCTACAAGGACAGGTATGTCCTCAAGCAAGCCGACTGAGATTGTGGAGAAGATTGGAGTTGCCACAGCATTGCATCATAGTTTTGAAAGACAGCAGACGTACATGTGCAAGCAACCATTTTTGGGAAACTGAAGCAAGCTAGACACAAGGACATTACCGTAAAATACCGGGGGATCGCCCACCCCACTTTCACTGAAATTTGGGTTAAAGGGCAACTCCGCTTCATTTTTGATATTTAGAAAACTATGCAGCCCTCTTCAGTATCATATAGGAAGACCCCATGTCAAATATTACGATCTAATTCCGTCTATATATTTAATAAACTCGCCAGAAAACTTTCATATGAGCCAAGTCGCCGAAATCTACCAACTCTAGCATGCGACATGAGGCACAATCGTCAGTGCAGTCAATGCGACGGAGTTGGAGCGGCCAACGTTGAACCACTATGTCAGAAGCATGACTACGTCATTCTCATGTTTTGTTTGTTTTTACTTCTCAGAGCGAAATTGAACGATGACGTCATGAGTTTCCCCTCCCGCTGTAGGCTCAACGGCGTCCACGTGATCACTGAACGCGGATGAGCTAGTTTGCGCTGCCCTGCGCGCGTATCGATCTGTTTCTCCGCTCCCCCTCTCCTCTTTCATCTTCTTCCCTTCCCCTACTCCCCCGGGCCATCCCGCGTCGCGTGCCCTAAACCTCGCCCCCACGAACATCACAAGACCATGTGGTTCGACGTGACGTGGCCATGACTCTGACGACTCGAGACCAATGTTGCCTGACGCAACCGAAGTTTCGGTTTCGGTATCAGCTGATGTTTAAATTAAGATTACACAAATATTATTCCACATTTCGCGAATCCGAAGACGTAGAGCTGTTTAGTAGTGCTTTGTAAAATGGAATCACATGCAAGCCTAATTTTTTCAGAATTGAGCGGAGTTGCCCTTCAAATGTAGGCATGGACGCTTGTCCGGTCAAGTCAAGCATTTAACATACAATTTGCAGAATTCCCAATTTCGGGAAATGTTAATAGTGGGCGCTTGAAGGAGATGGGCGCTTTTGTGGTATTTTGTGGTATTTAAACAAGCCCTCCATGATCAAGGACAGGAACCTCATGGAACCGTAGCCATAGACTCTCAGAATCTAAACACAGTCTTAAAGGATTCCATGGGTCCTTCCTCAAGCCTCCTAAAAGTTCCTGTAGACTCCCAGGGGGTACCTTTTTGGAGCCTCGGTAGTTACCTCGAGACTGGTCGAGCATCTTTCACACTCCACAATAATGAGGTTTTATGTGGGGCCGTCCTTGAGAGGCAAGCTGAACAAGAGAGACCCTAGTACATATAGATAGATGACCAGGGTGACTTGACGATTGTTCAGATTCTCATCAAAAGTGTGTTCAATAACTCGTTAACAGGTGACAACGAGTGGCTAGGCTGCCCTGCATATTTCAAAATCATTGTAAGAACACTATAAAATGTTTGTTAACAAGTTGGAACCTCTGCTGCATCCTGGTGTTTTCACCGATGTCACCATTTTGTCTCGGCACACACCAGCCAGTACAAGCAAGCATTTCAAGGATTTATCTGACATTTTTTAATTAGTACCTAATTATGTTTACCATTTTGTTGCTATGAGCTGTCTGGTGCGTGTCAAAGGCAAGTATTTCAAAGATTCATCTGTCGCCATTAAATTTGTATTTAATAGCAAGATGGCAGATTGACGTCGCGTGAAAACACCCCATAAACCTTTCAAGCGTTCAGTTGAAAACAATTATTAAATTAGAATCTTGTGACATGACAAGCTCCAAACTTGGATCATAAATTCATGTGGGGGATATGTATCACATCTCAATGATGCAAGACCACAATTATCAGTTTCATTGACACTTGTTACGAACCCTAATGCAGAGGGCTCGGAAAATTCCTACAACATGTCCCTCAACAATGTTCTACTCACAAGATGTAGGGTTCTGCCGGGCACTGTAAGTATATTAGTAGGGACATGAAGGGAAGGAGAGGTGCCAGATGAAAGGAGGGGAACGGCGCGCGTGACTGTTTGGTCGAAATGTCGATCCCCTCCTTTCCTCTGGCACATCTCTCTTTCCCTTCATATCCCTACTATCATCTTTTCATCTAATTTCATACAGTTTTGTTTTAGTGTAGCGAACTACATGCAAAAGATGGTTCACCTCAGCTTTTCATTTAAAGAAATAAGTATCTCTTTCTTTTTTTTAAGACAACTGTTGAGCTGTATATCAAGAAATGAAAAAGCAAATAAAGCCAAGCAAACCAAAGTGTTATCAAGGAAATCGTACAACTCACTGGTGTCCTTCAAACGGCTCCCCTTGAGAATGAATGCAGCAGAGTCAAATTCCAGCCACAAGAACAACAGGAATGTTGATGCTAAACATTCACAGCACAAACGTGCATTACTTCATTTTTCTTCGGTATACAGGTAAGGGGGCAGCGAAGGCAGCGAAAACCACACTTATCTTTAAAAGCTGCCTCGCTTAATCGTTCTAATCCCACCCACATATCCAGATAACATTGTTCAATGCAACATCGGAATCTTATCTAAGATAACGCCAAAAGGGGTTGATGGACCAAAGCGGGAGCTGCATGCCGGCACAGCCAATCACGTGCCTCAGGTTCGCCACGTCATCGCGGTTTCGGGCGGCCTGACCAATCAGCTGCTGAGGACGGGCCGCGTCACCACTATCTCCGGCCCGCTCGGCCAATCGGGCGTCCGGATAGAGACGTGACGCGGCGTTTATTTTACGAGTGAGGTGCTCACGTACCCACGCTTTGCCCCATAGTTACTTGGCTGGCAAAGTTGTAGAAAAAAAAAAGAAAGAGAAGAGACATTAGAAAGAACTGGACGGACTGGTTTGCCAGACACGCGCATACTCTCCCAGACGATCAGAAGCGGTAGGTACGACGTCGGTCGGTTGGTCATAGACGCAAATGACTTTCTCCGGAGAAACTTTCTTGCCGTTTTTTTTTTTTTTTTTTCTTTCGGTGAAGCGATGAAGCGGATAGGGGTCAGCGTTTTGTGAGGGGAGAAACGATCGAAGCGTTTCAATCCGTACAAAAGGAGAAAGGCTATAAATAACAATGGCAACGGGAAGGAGGCGTTTCCTACGAGCACAACACGGAACTACGCGTAAAAATAGAAAACAAAAGAAAAAGGGGGAAGAAAAAAAATACTGACTTGTTCTAATGTCGACTTCGGGAGGTTCGTCGACGATAGGAGTTTGCCATAAAGTTCTCGGTCGACTTCGGCTCTTTCCGACGGGTTCAGGATAGCGTGGACTTCTTTGTAGATCGCCGGCACCGCGCCTGCGAAAGTAATGACAATAAAAAAAAAAAATCGTTAAATACCACGCCGACAGCCCCTACGATGGAACACGTGTAGCGAAAACGTACACAGAAAAATAACGCCGTAAAGTTGATCCGAAAAATATTTTGTGCTACAGTACAGACTCACCGATGCTTAGGTCGATCGACATGGTTGTGGGCTCGTAGTTTCTGCTGTTACCGTAGCATCGGTGCGACCATGATGTTAATTACGCCGATTTATTGCTGGAATTGTTACCGATAACGGCAGTGCGCCGTCATATTTCGCACTTTTTTTTGCGGACATCGATACAAAAACAAGACACCCCCTTGTTCGGTACGACGATACAGAGAAGTAGCTGGTACCCGCGTTTAATCTCCTGCTTTCTTCTCAAACACAAAACATTTACACTAAAAGAATATTTTATATATTATATATTAACTTTAGGGTTAATACTTTGCATTATTATCGGAAGTTCATTGTTTCGTGCATAAAAGAAGGTACATATTTTGAGAGTTCCGTTTCACGTGTTAGCTTTGAGCTGTCAAAGAATGGCGGCTGTTTCGGAGCGTTGCCATGGTGAAGCAGGTACTGATCACTCAATCACACTTAAAATACTCAAAATTGATTTTGTTTGTGGTATTTGGGTTATTAGGCGATCGTGCTTGACCATCCGTTGCATGAACATTGTGGGGCGTAGCTGTCATAGCTTCGAGGTGGAGCAAAACAGACCGCTCCGGCACCCTGTCATCCGCGCTTCTCCATTGAAATTTAAACACGATCGAAATCCCGAACGAATTCGCGTTCATTTGACTATCTCTAGTGATATCTCTGGTGCGAATAAGGACCTAAATAATTTGCGTGCTGACCATTGCGTTTACCCAATAGTTCTGTTAGCTTTGTGAGGAATCGCATCCTCCCACAAAAAAAAAAAAAAAAATTGTTGCGTGCAGTTTTTTTTTTTTTTTTTTTACTCTTTTACAGTTTTTTTTAGTTCGTCTTCAAGAATGGATACTCATGTTGATTACTCTACTCCAATGAAGCCTGTCAGCATAGGATAACATAAAAGAAAAACGGAGAACGTGTTACGCCTTTTTGATGTTTAAAAAATATTTCATGCGAGTTTGTCGGACACGACTTTGTCGCAAAAATATTTTGACCATGCGTCCACGACACTTGTAATGAAGACGGTCTTCATCGATGCAACGTCGCATCTTTGTGTAAACTGAGAGGGCAAGGGGTCTTAACATGTGGCATAACTTCTACTGGCACTCAAATCTTTATTTTGTTTATGTCACAAGGTTTTGAAAGAGTAAAACCTCGGGTAAGCTCGTGAATGAATTCCATACTTCAACCCGAGACAAATAAAAAAAGATAGAGAAGACCAACGCATATTCACAATATCTGTGTCCATTTTTTTTTTTTCTTCTCGTTCCAAGTTGAAGCATAATAATTGGGGTTGTGTGGATGTTTATACAGCGTTTAGTTCGTCAGCCATTTCAAAGTTGTGACGAGTCACTCGCTGTAGGTGAGAAATTTAGCCAATGCAGTACAACCGCTAGCCTGGGGTCTTTAACGTGCATCATGCAGTAGTGATACACGACCGCATGCCGGTACGATGCTCATCCAGATCGAAACTGGCAGAGGTGGGGATTGAACCCAGGATCCCTGGGTTCTGCAGTGCAAGCTTTCGCTCAACGTGCTCTGGGCTGGTGTGTGCTAGCCCACTCGGCTACCGATCCCCTAAGCTGAAGCATAAAACACAAGGCTATGGAACATTTGTTGTCTTGAAATTTTTGGACAAAAATATGAATGCACGGACACACTTTGTCATTTGTGTTATCACAACAGGGCGGTCCAATAGTAAAAAAAAAATGTTTTTTTTTTTTTTGTTACAAGATGATACAAACAAACAAGGCAAACCTAATTACTCGTTGGCAGTTTTTTTTAATAGATTTACAGGTTAACCCCGAAGTAAAGGCAAGCTTAAGTACTCGTTGGCAGTTTCTTTAATAGACTTACAAGTTAATCCCAAAGCATTAGTATCTTCCCCATCATGATAAGCCACACTTAGTATTGTACAGATGCACGAACCTTCAGATTTCACATGCTCGTTTGTTTTACCTCTGCCGACCTCCAGTAACAGAATACGGCAAACGTAATTCAGTCTGCAAGATCCCCGCCAGTTACTGGCCGTATCGTGACGCCACTTTGAGATTGCGTTCCAGAACTAGCCGAGAGCGAGCGCGCCCTCTTACCAAACCCTCCCTGAGCGCGGGCTCGGGTCATTTACGTGTTTGGTCCTCCAACGCTTTTGGGCAATTCCTTGGCACATTCTGGTTTGCTTGTTTACAGCCGTACATATATGTGTCACCTATTAATAATAACAACAATAACAATGTTGTGTGTCCTACCGCAGACGTGTCATCGTTGCCCCAGGGTTGGCATCCAATGAACGGTGTCGGCACAAACGCTAAGGCACCTGCTTCGGCGGCTCGAAGCTCGACCAATTCGTCGTCGCCGAAGCCCCTGACCAATGGACCGTCCAAATCTTCGTCGGATGGAACTCAGAACGGCAGAGAAACTCGTACGTTAGCTACCAACATTTTTTTTTTTCCATTATTAGTGTTGGCACCACAATGGAACCTCTTTAATTTTAACCCAAAGGGGACCATAACTTTCTTTGAATAATGCAGTTTAGATTAGTGGGAGTTTCCTTCCTAGAAACACATAGGATGGGACTTGCGTGTTAGTTTGAATTATCTGCAAGTTTGATCTAAGAGGTTTTGAATTAACGAGATTCTACTGTAGTAATAATGCTGGTTTCCTATTACTAACCGAGCAATTATAAGGGGTTACCTCCTTGGCTTCGAGGCGAAGTTCCGACTTGCAAGTTCCCGGTAACCTAAAACAGACAAACCGCGGCGTAATGATGCTGCAGCGTTATCGAGCCTTTTTTGGCTCCAAGGCAGAAATCGCCGGGCGGCTTAAATTAACTTCCAGTTCTTCGTGGGTACACTGAAAATTTTATTCCTCCGTGTTTCGTCGAGTAAGTAAAGGAACTCTTATTAAAGGGTCCCTGTACAGCGTAGCCTATTCTGAGGCAACCACATTATTTTTAACTGTGGGGACAGAACAGTGAACTGGTGGGGTCATGAAACCTTTCTGTCTGTTTTTGCATATATTTGTGTGTTGGCAGAAGGTGTTAAATGTATTGCTCATTATATTGCCAATATTACGTCGCAAATTTCTGTTCTGACTAAAACACTTCCCTCGCTTTGTTTTCTTTTCTTTTTTTTACAGCAGAACTGTTAAGGACTAGTTTTCCCAGTATCGCGTCCGTGGGCAAACAAATCTCGACACAAACCTCTGGACAGCTACCGCCATCTATGAGCAATGGCGGCAACCAGACAACAGGCTTGCCAGTTGTTTGGTTGCCGCCGTCGCTCATAGATGGCGGCAACCTCTCCAGCCTCTCCACTGTGGCTTGCTGACTTGCGGCCGGGGCCATTACTTTATTCCCACCATAGCACAGCTTCGCTGGTCTTCCTTCTTCACTAGGGTGGAAAGGCTGAAAATTTTTATTTTAATTGTGTCTATTTTAGTTTTTTTTGGGGGGGCACATTTGGCATAATAACAGTCTCAATTGTTTCTCTCACTCCACGCCTCCAGGTGGACGTACGCCCAACAGTTCGGCCACAGCTTCGGCTAGGGCTACGACGGACAAACTGCGCCAGGAAGCCAGTACAGAGAAGCTGCGCCAAGAGGCCGCCACCCTTCAAAAGGTGGGTAGAACTCTCTTACCGGCACCCCGCGCCTGTCTGCCAACTGGCTTTCCTTGAAACGGCATAACCATTTCTACAAATAGCAGCAGGTGGACTGTCGTTCGTGGAAACCATGCAATCGTTTTCACAAGAAGCAGCAAGTGAAACATTTTTCTTAAAAGCTACTATACGTCCGCACATACTCTACGTTTCAGAGAGGGCCAGCTCATCTACTTTCTTGTGGCGTGCACGGTATCCAATCAAGGCAATGCAGACATGTACACGTTACTGAAACGAAGTAACTAAACACCGTTAGTCGTTGCTCACTCAGAAAATAACTAGGTATGTTATTCGTTACTAGGGATGCCGCGAACTTTTTTCGAATCGAAGTTTCGATGATCGAATCAAGCGGTCGAAATGTTCGAAAGATTTCGATTTTTCGAATTTTCTATATCGTAAAATTCGACGGAGGTCGAATTTTCGAACTTGTTAAGCTAAGAAGTTCGACGGTTTTCGAACCGTCGAACTTATTACGCTAAAAAATTCGATCTTTTTCAAACTTTCGAACTTATTGCGCTGCAAGGTTCGATGCTTGTCGAACTTTCGAACTTGACTGACCAAAAAATTCGATGAATTTCGAACTTTCGAACTTATTTATCAAGAGAATTCGAAAAGTTTCGAACTTTCGAATTCTGAAAAGTCAGAAGTTCGACGAACTTCGACCTTTTAGGGTAAAAGTTCGACGTTCGTCGAACTTCGAAAGACCGGCGGACGGTTTCATTTGATTTCAGGTAGTGGTGTACATTCGTAATTTTTTTTTCTCGAACGTTTACACGCGGTGCTGCGTTCCTTACGAAAGACAATGTCGTTTATTTCAATGTTCTGGCATGCTTAGGTTTAAAGAAATAAATCCCCGAAGGGGCGAGGAAGGACGACGGGTTTCTGACGATTATCGTTTGTGCCAGATTTGAAGCACGCTGCAGCAGGAGCTATTTATGGTTGATATGTTATACTTTTTTAAGAATGATCTATGTACTGTATAGCCTAGGTAAGTGCCGTCTTAAGATGTGATTATTGTTATTCAACGTGAGTTTCGAAGAAATGTCCAAACATGTATCTGCATGCAATTATGACCTAAACTTGGTATTTATTTTCGTCTAAGTTGTTTGAGGTACCGCATTTAAATTAACACCACAGACAGTACATATCATTGCCATCTGCAGAATACAAAATAATATATTCATTGTTTTTTCACGTTAAGGAATAAATTAACTCATGGGAGAAGATTTCTAATAGTGTTCAAGTTCAGCACGTCCTTAAAAGAAAACTTTTTTTTTTCGCTTCACGTTCCTGGGACGTGTTTCTTTTAGCCTGTACACATTTTGGTAAAAGAAACTTGTTTCGAAGTTCTGAACCTCTGAATATGCAAGAATAGAACACTTCCGACGAATTCTTGATAGTTTTTTTTTTCCTGCTTTTTATTCCCGCATTTATTCTTTTTTTTTTTTTTTCTTTTTTTTTTTGTTACTATCGGCACAGGTGTTTAGGTCGAAAAGACAGCTTTGAACTTCCGAACCACTAAGCATGTGACGAGCAGTGCCTTCTGACAATGAGTTTCTAACAATGAACATCTACGCAACCTTTTATGCAGTGAAGAGCGACAGTAGCTATACACATGCATAAATCATTTCAGATTAAAATAAGCTCGACCACGCCCTCTTTCCCCGTATTGTTTTCTTTAACAGTCCGAAATCCCTGCAAGGGGAAGAAGGAGGCTGAAGCACCCCCCCCCCCCCTCCCCCTTCGCTACCCTCTTTCCCCCGTTTTTCCTCTTTCGACGCCACTTGTATGGTAGAACGCTCCTCGACCTCGAGTTGTGTCGGCTTTTGTGCTTTTTGCGAGGCGATTCCTCCGTCCCAGAAAATAAACCTCCAGGACAATTATAAACTTCACCGGATCGGATTACTACCAGCGTGCAAGGGGTGGCGAGCTAGTTTGCCAGGTCGCATCAAGGTTCTTCTGAGCCTCAACCTCCTGCTCGCCCCTGGCCGTTTCGAACTGGATGAGTCTCGTAAAACAGTGTGTTCGTGCAATCACTACTGCGTGATGCAGGTTGAAGACCCACACCCCAGGGCTGGCGGTCACAATTCTGCACTGGCAAATATTCTAGCACGTCCGGGACACTCGTCGCCTCATTTAATTGCCTGACCAACTTCGCAGAATCTAGATATCACACCCTAACTTTTCTAAACTTGATTTTGTGAAAACCAGTGAGTCGTGAAAACGTTATTTGAAGCTGAAACTGTGGAAAAACTTGAAAATCGGACTTCGAACTTTGAAAACTTGGATTAGAGAGAAATTCAAAATCTTCTAAGTTTTTTTTTTTTTTTTTTTAATTTAACGTTAAAAAAGAATCGAAACCTTCGAACTTTTCGAACTTTATGCAAAAAGAAATTCGAAATCTCCGAATTGTTTGAACTTCATGTCTATAAAAATTCGAAGCGTTCGAAGTTTTCGAAAAGGGAAGTCTCTTCCCGAAACGTCGTGTATTAAAGCCTCTACTGCTGTTCAAACATTTTTCTACGTTTACGACTTTCTTGCTGAAGACTTGTTCATTAATACAGTTAAGAATTTTTTTTACAAAGAATTTCGAAATCTTCGAATTTATCGAACCTGAAGTAAAAAAATATTCGATTTCGAAATTTTAGAAACCGTGAAAGCTTCTAAATTTTCGAATTCGAAACACCGCTGTGGTCAAAAGTTGTGAATTTTTCGAAATCGAACCTCGGTCGGTACGAAAATATCGAAATTTTTCGAAATCGAACCTCAGTTCGCTTCGCAAATATCGAAACCTTTCGAAATCGAACCTAGGGTGGTTCGCGACATCCCTATTCGTTACTGTGATTCAAAAGAATGCATTACCTCGGCTCGAAACTAACGCGTTACTTCCTCATTATTTTAAATGCATAATTTTTATGAAGCAGTAGCCGCTTCCCATATTTGTCGTAGGTAAGGATTCCTCACTTTTAATGCGTTCATTCGAGGATAACTGTGAGAGTATTGACATACCTTGTTTCCATCTTTTATTAGTCCATCTGGCATTTTCTCGTCGTGCATATTACAGGTACTCCTCTTCTTCAAAAATACCTAGGCCATTGTTTGGTCGCCAAAAACGTAGCTAGGTACAAGCGACGTGTTACACTTGAATCGATATGGCAAGTTGCGTCGAGATTCCTGGCACATTAACGTTGCACTCTCATGGTTTCTGTCTTTTTCTCTCCCTCTGCCGTTTAGAAAGTGGCGCAGTTTCGCGTGGAAAATCAGAGCCTAAAGACCAAGGTGAAGCGGCTGGAGGAGGAGTGCCTCCGGAAGACCCGACAGGTCGACAAGCTCACCCTGCTCTCCAAGGTGCGCGTCCCTCTTTCGTCGGTAGCCAATCCGCTCGAATCCCGATCTATTACTAATCCGGTCCCAATCTCCAATCGCCAGGAAAAGACCGCCGTGGCGCAAGACAAGAAGAAGGAAGACGTAAGTGCGTTGCAGATATTCCCGAGGATGGTTCGAACGCTTCCGTCTGCTTACGACAGAGTTCTCGCGATTTCATGCGACGAGAGGACACGCTGCCACCACCTACGAGGTGACCCTGGGACTGCATTTTGCTAGTGCGAAGGTCTCGAAACAAAGATACGCTGGTTACAGTTTCAATGCAGCGAGCACCTTCGCACGATTTTTGTCGTGTCTTCCCAAAGTTCAGAACGAAATTGGGTGGAAATTTGCAGTTGAAAATCCCAATTCGTAGTAGAGAATTGTGTCGAACGCGTCATTCATTTTGTTCTCGCCTTTGTCTCCACTACACTTGCCGAACTTGTTTGAATGCAAGAGCCAAACGCCAGCGTTTTGCGTTTTAGTGCGCTCGACGAGCACAGTGGAGACAAGGGCAGGTAGTAGCTTTAGGTCTACCCACTAATCATACCAACCGGAGCTCAGCGATCTGACGTCCCCGCACGCTCTCGTGTCCTCCTCTCCCTCAGTTTCTCGGCACATTAAAGGCAGAAAGCTTGCGCCGGGGGAAGAGCATCTAACGCGTCCTTAAAGGGGCCCTCTGGAGTGTTCTGCGATGGTCTATTTATGGCGGTAACTCAATCTGCAGGCCCTAAGGATCCTAAAAATTATAAAATTACGGTCATGCGCGGTGGACTTTCCTACTAAAATTGCTATCAAAGTCCCCGGCACGCCCCCCTTTCTGAGATGACCCCGGAAAACGGGAGGGGCATCCCTTTACGCGTCAGCCAATAGCAAGCCTTCGAAGGATCCCGGCGTCGCTGCGCGTCACCAACGCCGCCGACCGCCGACCCGCGGAGGAATCTCTCGAACACGCGTTGACCGTCGTCAAGGGACCCGGACTTTGTGCTCGGCAGTCGTCATTCGTCGCACCGCACCGTCGCGCTGCTACTGCAATACGCAGTCGCATCCCACAGATGACAAGAAAAAGTTTGACTCGTTGACGTGGAAGGATCGCAAAGCTGGCTTCGGAGTCGGGATCCATGGGAAGAAGGAACATGTGTCCCGCAAACGCACGCCTGCAGACGCTCCGGGAAGCAGACGAGCCGACGCGCCGACGCATCACCCCCTAGCAACAAGCTTGCGGGGAGAAAACATAGTTCGCTGGTTTTGGAGCGATAATTGCGGACTATGTTTCCCGCACCACAATCAGTTTACGTTTTTCTCAAACTCTAATTTACAACAAGCTTAAAAAGTGTTGCAAAAATAATGTCCGCATTCACCGCGGGACGCAGCATTTCCATTGGTCAAGTTTTAGCGATGGGCAGGGAATGGGGGATTGTCTTCCAAGAGAAAATAGTCCCGATATATTTCTTCTGCCATCTGCTTAATAAACGATTTTGTAATCTAAAACTTTGTATACATATTAACTTGCACCTACTACGCAATATAACAATATAAACAGACGATTGCAGAAAGCTCCGGAGGGCCCCTTTAACATGTTGCCGACCACGGTTTCATGTTCACATGTAGAGTGATAATGGCGGATTAAGAAACCCAGTTTGGTATCGACGAATGAGAACAGATTCTCCGAAGCCTCGCAATTTTTCTTTCCATTCGCAGGACGTTCTGAAGCAAAAGTGCATGAAGCTGGAAGTGCAGTTGCGCGAGAAGGAAGAGAAGCTAAGGTAAGCCTCCAAAATTACAAGATTTTAAACTGGACTCCGAGACAAAATTGGTGGTCGAAATGGGGAGAGTCCTTTCCTGTGCATGGTTGTCTTTATTTATTTATTTATTTGGTACTTCGTGCCTCAAAGCAACCAAAGTCCTTGTATGAGATGCTTAAGTACAAAATGTAGCATGCTCACAAACAGTTATACATTCATAATAACATGCATACATCCATGCAGGCAATCTTATAGAAAAAGTTTAAAAACGATATGGTAGCTATCTGTACAAGAATGACTCAAGTTCATGCTTAGAATGTTCGTAATTAACAAAACCTTCCGCAGAGTTGGTGGACATGTCTTTAAAAGTAAGTTGCACGCAGGTAATGGAACATAGATTTTCCCAATGAAAAGGATAAAATGGACAGGTGCATGGAAATTCACGGAACATAACATAGCACAATCAAGTTGACCATGAATCATTCTTGTAAAAAATAATATGTCTCGCACGACTGTTCTGCTTGATAAGGTTTGCAAGTTGTGATTTCTAAGAATGTAGGCATAAGGAAAAAACACTTTCTTTAGAAATATTGATCATGAATTTTACGAATGAGCCTTTTCTGAAGATGATCAATTTGTTCTGATTCGGATAATGTAACATAGTTTCAAACAACACTGGCAAGCTCGACCCTGGAACAAATGAGACTGCAAGAAAGATGAATAGTACAGAACGGATTTGTAAGCTCCTTCATCAAACAATAAATTATGCCCAAGTATCGAGAATTTAGTTATTTGAAATTGGTTTCCATGTTTTAAACATTGATAACACTTTGGTTTTATAAGAATTGATCGTTGAATGATTGAATAAACACCACTCATGCACACGTGACACGTTGCCCTTTAACTATGCACAGTCAGCGAGTGACCCGACGTGTGAAGACACCTTCATATCACCAGCGAAAAGCAACAACTTGGAATTTTTTTTATGCACATTTCAATATCATAAGCAAAAATTATAAACAATAGTGGTCCTAAATTAGATCCCTGGGGACACCATCTTGTCGGGACTTCGTCTGCATTTCCCCATATCGTCTGCCGGAGGCCGGTGTGGGGCACAAATTGGACACTTAGGTCGCCGACAGGGTGAGAACGTTAGGGGGGAGCATCGGTTGTCTCTTCCGAACTTCGAAATTCCTTCGGCGTCTCGTGCACCTCGACTGCGCTTGTGCAGCCAGAGCATGGTGGAAAGCATGCAGTGCATGCTGGAGGCTGGGCACTCGAAAGACGCTCCCCGTCATTCTCACTCTGTCGGTGACCATGGTGCAGTGTCAGCATTCGGGTCCCTATCGTTTCATGGGCAACGTTTTGTGGGCATGCATTTCGTGGAAACACGTTTCGTGGACATCTTCTCTCGACATCCGTTTTGTGGACGACTTCTCGTGGACGTACATTTTGTGGAAACACGTTTCGTGGAAGACATCTCGTGGACGTGTTTCATGGACACACGGTTCGTCGACACTATGTTTTGTGGAGGCTCGTTTCGTGGACACATGCCCCTGCAATATTTCATCCGCAACATATCTTCTTTTTTTTACCAAGTCACTGAAAGCTAGCACGTGATTCACTGGGTTGCATTTACCCAAACCTCCCCCCCTTCTCTCCCTCTTCATAAACCAGGCGATACGGAGAAAGGTTGTTGCAAAAACAGCGGGTTTGTGTTCGACGAAACCTCACAAGATCTGTCAATGGAACGAGCATGGGAAGCCTTCCAATGGAACAATCTGTCGACGAAACGATCCGTCAATGAAACGTCGTTCGACTAACTGACTGCCGCCGTCGGCATTCGGTTGAGTCTCGCGTTTAGTCGTCAAGGACGCAAGTCCTGGCCAAACGCTGGCACAGTACTTGTGCGACGCTTTTCCGTTAGGGGAAGCGGCTAAGAACCAGTCGCTTAAAGTATTCTGCGTCAGGTGTTAGAAAACACAGTTTTGCAATCCCTTTACAAATGCATCTGCAAGCTGGGTCTCTGAATGGGTGTTCACATCCCTCAGGAAGCTCCAGAGCTCGCAGAAGAACCTGGCCGAGGCCACGGACAAGCCGCAGCCCCCCAGAAGCCGTCTGTCATTAAATTCACACGGAGGTAAGACAGTTGAGCATATACTGTACCTTCTGCTGTGGAGCGTGCAAGAACGTGCCGAGAAATCGCTCTCACCTCCACGTGTTCGTTGCATGGCCACTACTAGCGTGGCACTTCGGGCCCATGTCATATACACTACTCACCTTTCGGAGGCAGCACGGCTCTCCTAGGTTGAAATAGTCATCTTCGTCATCGCCATCACATTAGTATCATTACATCACACTTGATCACACTACATCACATCACGTTGCCATCCAGTAGTCTTTACATAGGGTGGAGTTTGTTTTTGGCTTGTCTACCAGTGGAGGGCAGATGCTTGCATGTGACTGGTTGCTATTTTGATAGACCGATAACCTGTTCCGCTTTGGCGTGGTCTCGCAGGAACAAGCGCAGAACTGATCAAGCTGCGTGAGCAGATGGAAAGGCTCGGCCAAGACAACCGGCGTCTTACGCTGCAAGTGAAGGAAAAAGAGTGAGTGTCCTTGTGTAGGTTGCACAGTGGTGCCCCAAATCTGGGTGAAGCCTTTAAGGTGACCATATAAATCAGCGCGGTAATCTGTCACTCTACGATTTACCGCGGAAATGCTCGAAGGTGGTGGAAGCATCGCATCAAAATTTTAAAACAAAAACTTGCCTTTTTTAAAAATTAAAAAAAAAAAAGAAAAAGATAACTGTTTTTTTTTCATGGATGAAGAAAGAATAAACAATTAAAACAGGGACAACACAACCACAACCCTGTTTTAATTGTTTATTCTTTCTTCATCCATGACCTAAACCAACACGCTCTTCTACCAAGCGTGTTTTTTTTTTTTTTTACTTATGGCACCCGTCTCCTAAAGGGGTATTCACACGAGGGAGATATCCCGGGGATTTCTCCCCGGCACGCGCGCATCACGAGATGAAAACGCGAGGCTTTTGCACATCGCAAAGCCTGACGTTTTCGTCGTGGTATGCGCGTGACGGGGAGAAATCCCCGGGATTTCTCCCTCGTGTGAATACCCCTTAACCGTGCGATTCTCTGAATGGCACACATGTTGCCTCACAACCCGACTCTTGCAGCCAGGAGATCCGGCGGCTCAAATCGCAGGCCAATCCACAGCCGAGCGCATCCAGGGCAGCCACGGCCAGCCGTAGCCAGCGTCCGGCCAGCTCGAGCCGAGTCAAGTCTACGAGCGAAACCAAGAGGGTGGTTACTGCAAAACGCTCGGACACCTTCAGCGTGAGCAGAAGCCAAATGGCGGCCCTCAGCAATGGGTCATCTGCTGCAACTCCGCTTGGCGGGAAGCAGACGGAAGTTGTCAAGGTGAGCCGTCTGCTTCGAGAGGCATCTTGAAAGCAGAGGACGTCTCAAAAGCAGACGTCTCCAGCAGATGTCGTCTGCCAGTAGTTGTGGAGTGGGTGGTACAACCATTGGCGTGTTGTGCTTTCCCACACAACTGATTTGTGAGAAATAGTTGTAGAACAGGAAGGAAAGCATTTGGGGTTTGGTTCTATTAAAAATACTGGGTGCAGGTGGCTAAACTTCTAGACTAATAAACTGGCAGTATGCTGCAGAAACGACACATTTCCCGGGGCAGTTTCTGCATAATTGTGAGGGTGCAGGTGTCAAAAATAAACATGGGTGAGAGAAATCTTGTGAAGCTTTTGATCCACCTTCTATACAAATGAAAGGATGCAATGCTTGCTTTTGAACTTGTGGAATAAACTAGGCTAGAATCATTTATTATATACAGGTATTCTAAATTTAAATTTAGTAAAATTTATAGGCCTGCGTGCAGAAACACCAGACTAAAACACCACTGTCGTGATGATTGTAAAACTAATATTAGCTCGTAGTAAGCCTTGCTCAAAATTTTATTGTTTTTCAGATGATTTTTATAACAGCAGCTTATTAGAAGTGGGGCTGTTATTACATGCAGCGCAACAACTGGCATTCCGAACAGATTAATTAGAGGGCGCATACTCGCAGAACAAACCCGGGTTTCTTTTTTCAATCTTTATTGGTGTGCTTGGAAGAGGAAGAAAAGGACGAAGACATTAAATGAATTGGCTCATAAAATTTCCCTGCTGTTCGTAAGCAGATGCTATGTCCTTTCCGGGTTCCTCTTGCAATGTCGAAACAGGTAATGAAACCTCTGTCAGTGTGCTTAATTTTTTTTTCAAGTTAGATTCTCCATCATATTTGACTCTACCACACTTTTGCAAGATTGACCTGCATTTGTTGCTGTGCACCACGTCTCAAATTTATAGACGCTTTCAGCGCGCGCCAAATTTAGCCGCCATTGCCGACCTTCTCTTGTCTTACCGAGATGCCGAGCCACTGAAGCGGACGTTGGTGGGTCTCCACAGAGCCCTATGCTGGGGAGGAGGACACAGTAACACCTAAAATGGCAATGACCTGTCCTGCTGTTGTAACGGTGGAGTGAACCGAACAGAGTAAGAGGGAATGAAAACTGAAGGTCAGTTATGGCGGCGCCCATGCACAGCTGCCTGAAAGCGTCTATAAAGTCGGGAAACTCGAGCACCGTTTTATGTAAACGGTAAATGATTAATCGAGTGGCTCCCATATATGGGCAAGACCGGTTTTTCGCATCTTCAATGCCAGTCTGTATGCTTTCAATATATACGGCATGTATGCTAATGCTTCCATCTCACTTTGGGCAGTCTGCAAAAATCAGTTTCTCGAAGTATTGCGCTGGGATTTACTACCGTTTGAGTCGTATGCTATCTATGTGTCATAGAACTATGCATCACAGAACGCCAATTTTCCGCCAGAATGCAGCCCTAGCAGTCTGAACCATATGCCAAAGTTTCAGAACCGTTATCTTATTCAAACGTTATAAACGACTTTCTGAAATTTTCAATGGGAAGATGGCAGCCGATGAACCTCTCATAGAAATGGAGCTGAATGGCACCAGTTACCAAAAGGGCGTCCTATTTTCCCATTGAAATTTTCAGACCATCACCTACAGTAAAACCTCGTTATAACAAAGTTGAAGGAGCGATCGTAATTATTTCGTTATAACCATTAGTTTGTTATAGCCAATGTCCATTTCTTCCCTATTAGCATGCAAGGGGAATTATGATTGCTTTGTTATATCCATTAGTTTGTTATATCCCATTTTGTTATAACGAGATTTTACTGTATAACTCTTGACCGAGATGACAGTTAGTTGTGAAACTTTGGCATCTGGTTTGAAGCACTAGCGCTACATTTGGTTGGAGAATGCGCATTCGGTGATGCATAGTTCACTTTTGCACTGAAAAAAATAAACATTGTACATTTTTTGCGGGGAGCTGCACAAAGCTGCCATTTTGAAGCCATGGATTGCAGTATTTGGCGGGGGAGACCCCGTAAAAACGGTATGTTCTCCGGCTGTTTTTCGGCAACAGAAGCGGAAGGAGGAACAGTCGGCGTCGTCCAGGGAGAAGTCGCACGGGACAAAGCAGCAGCACGGCAACCCAAAGCCTCCGGAGACTGACCCCAAGGTGGATCGCGTCAAGCGGAACGTCGCCGCAAAGAAGATACAGCGCGGATGGAGAAATTACAGAAAGGTACGGTCAAAACGTTGTTGTCGAATACAGCGCAGAGTTGTCCGACCAACTCTGGTTGGACAGACGTCCACGCAGAGGGGAAGTTGGCCTGCAGTGAAGGAAACGGCGGCGCACAAAAATGCCCAATAGCAATAAGTATGTACTGCGTGTAACTTTTGAATGAGATAACGGTTAGTGCCGAAACTTTGGCATCCTGGTTTGGACCCCTAGAATAACATTTGGGCGAAGAACGAGCGTTCGGCAATTCCTAGTTTATTTCTGCGATCAAAAAACCCTGCACCTTTTTCGGAGGGACACCCTGTATACAATTACCCTCGGAAAGTACTTGCGTTCAAGGTAAGTGCGTAGGATGAAATGAATTTATACCAGGCATTCAGTTCAGACTTTTTTCCTTTCACCGGTTCATCAAAATGTCCGACATATAACTAAATATATTCAGAACTTGTTGTTACGTCCAGACTTGGCGTTGTATAGTTACTCGTGTGCAGCACATCGTACTGGTTTCTATGTGCCAAATCTTTGACCAGAAAATCTTTTCCACAGCGCAAGGCTTCGAATGCATCCGACATTTCCCTGGGGAGTGCAATGAATGGGTCGTCGACGGCATTGAAGCGCAAGACATCCACGGACTCCGCAATGCAGCACGAAGAATGATTCAAGTGGAGAAGAAAAGGACGTCTCGAAACCGCATGGGTGCTGCGGCGATCGCGGAAACTTCGAGACCAATCGGACAACCAGAAAACTGCGAAGCCAGCAGTACAGATGTTAGCATTGTTTTTTTGGTGTAGCACGGAGTCAGAATCTCAAATACTCACATCATCGTTTCAATCGATGCTGCTGCGTCCATCTCCTAGTGAGGGGGGTTGCATGTTGCAAACATTTGTTTGGCACTTCACATAGCAACACGAAACATTAAAGAGAAACCTCCATTTCGTCTTGTTTTTTTAATTTCTATATACATTAAAAGGATCCGCGAAATGATGTCAAGCTTGGATTACACAACTGCATATTGCTAGCGGCATAGCAGAAAAGTGTTCAGCAAGTCGGCCACTTAGTAACCAATCTGCAGGCAAACATTCCCACCCTTTACAACATTTGGGATTCATGGTCACTTTTTAAAGGGCGACTCTGCTTCGTTTTTGTTCTTGTGAAAGCAATGCATTCCTTTTCAATATCACCTACGAAGCATCAGATATTAAGACCTAGTTCTGTCTAAATGCTTTTAAAACAGCTCGGCAAACTTCGCAACGCACCAAGTTGCTGAAATCGGCCGACTAGCGGGCGAATTGAGGCGCCACAAACAGTGCAGTCAAGGCTACGGCGTGGGCAAAGCCAACATTGAGCTAAACGTCATCACCATTGCCCCCTTTTGCTTGTTTTTACTTCTCCGGGCAAGCATAGCAGGTGATGTCAGCAACGTTTCATCTCAGCGCTCAGCGGTGTCAACGTGATTGGCGCCTGCGCAGCGCGCTTCTTGGAAGCAGTCTGGCTGCCCCGCCGTCTCCTGCGTCACAACCGCTGTCGTCGCCGCACCGCTTGTGATTTTTGTCTCGGAGTTTCGCCCACGCTACGGACAATACGTGCACAGACTAATGCCACTGTTATGCACATGTCGTTGGCACCAAAACATGGTAAAGAGTGCGGTGCACACGACACTTGCGCCTTGCACATGCTCTCCCCAATCCCGCCCGTCATTGCGCAAGGTATCACGTTGCATCTCGTACCACGTGATAGCCATGTTCTTGGCGGCCCGAGGCCAATGTTGCCGGACGGAGCTGATGTTTCGGTTTCTATTTCTGATAGTGTTTAAAATTAGACTTAAAAATATATATCCCATTTTTCGTGAAGCAAATTGCGTATTGTCTTTTACTAGGGCTTTTTTATCCGAAATCACTCATTATCCCGAAATATTCGGAATTGAGCGGAGTTCCCCATCAAGGGCCTAAATAAGCCTAAAATTCAGACATTTTTGAAAAAAATTCATGTTTCAAATTTGAGCTTTTTGGTTTTAGAAACTAATTATACACCCTCGCAGTAAATTTGATAACTATATGCCAAATAATAACGTTGACATAAAATATTTTCAACACATTGTGAGGCAGTAACAAAGTAAAGGAGTACAATGTTCGAGTGCATTTTTCTCAGTTCCACTTTTTGCTGCAAATTTCATACGAAGGAACCTTTTGTTCAAAGGTAAAAGTATTTTGATACTGTCGAGACCGATTATAACAGAGTCAACGGGAATCGGAAATCACTTTGCTATATCAGTTATAACTGACTTCAGTTAACGAAGTGCAAAAGGGAATGGGAAATCACGATCGCTTCGCTGCAGCCGCTATTTTGTTATAACCGGTCTTGAGATGTTTCTGAACTGAAATTAACTGGGGAATTGGACTATCTATTTTATTTTGTTAGAAGACAAAGTCCTCATTGAGAAAAAACTACCGTAGAATACCGTGCATCCGCCCATTGTACATTAAGCGCCCATTACCAAATTTCTAAGATATGAAAAATATGCACAGTACATTTATATGTAAAACTGATGATCGGACAAGCGCCCATCCCCCGTTTTTTCGCGATTATCTTTAAATTCTAAGTGGGCGCTTGCCCGGTATTTTACGGTATATTTTTAGAAATTGACATAGGACAGATATGCATCTCATATTTTAAGGTACTGACTCATCCTGAAATATTTACATTTGAGTTTTAAACTAGATAGCCCGAAATACCACATCCCCCACTTTATAATCAAGTAGTCAAAATGATGCTTAGTAGGTTTATTTGCATATCATAAATTTCTTAACAAAAAGTGATGCATCTTCCTATGCAACTATGCAAGATTTTCATAAAAACCTGAAAGTTTTCACACCTACATCTTATGTCAAATCTTCCCTGCAAATTTCATTCCAATCACTTGTGTAGTTCAGAAGTTAAATTTCTAGCCAGTGTCACCCCTTAATTCAGACAAAAAAAACAAAACTGACGAAAACAGTATACATGCATCACCGTCGTCTTTTTCCTTTTTTTCTTTAAAATGCTCAATTTAGCAGGGACTTCCGAGATAGCTTGCGAGCAAACCGGTGTGTTGTACGAAGCGTTGGACGATTTCGTAATGCACCCATTTTTAACACACGTTCGACGCATCCATGGGCAGCTGGAGACCGCGGATATGAAAGCTAGAAGCCTCGAATTATTTCTAGAATGCATCCTGCGTCATGGTTTTGCTGTTACTGCGGGCAAAAGGGTAAACAACGACGCTTTTTCTGAAGTGCTAACGGCATTAAGCTGCAAACTTTAAAACATGACAAAAACATCCTCTAATGCCAATTTTCAACTCGAGAGTCTCAACATTTTTATTGCTCCGAACAAACCGATTTTGTGGCCACACTTCGTTATTCGTGATCTTGACCTTGATTCACTATTATGAACAATTTTCCTGGGAAACAAAGCTGTCCATATTAATGAGACACAACTGCATTGACTGCCACAAACTATTCGCTTCACTTCAAAATTACTTGTATGGAAGAAATGTTTGCTTTGAACTCCAAAATCGCTATCGCACATCCGTATTGTAAGCAGTGTTTTTGTGTGCTTGGTGGGATTGAGGCCCCACCAAACAGACGTTCCCGGACAAACAAGAAACTTTCGGGATAGTTTGCGAGTACCACGACCATAACCGACTTTGCCAAAAACTGCAAAATTGATTCGCCAGACGTTTATTTTTTTTAGTCAACTTGCACAGACTGTTTGGAGAGCATGACAGGAAAAAAAAAACAAGAAAAAACAATAGATATGAAATGAGGGGGAGATTTTTGTCAATAATATGTGGTAATATGTACAACGCAATCACCGTCTTCGATCGTCGCTTGGTCAGCTTTCGATTGTCCAAAACTGAAAGAAATGAAAAAAAAAAGGAATATAGTGTTACCCAAAGTAAATGTTTTACATGTACATTCCTCAATGGCATTTCTGAATTATTTCTACATGTTAATCTTGAAAAAAAAAAAAAAAAAAGGCTAACTCTAGCACACTGTGCAAAAAACTAGGTCATAAGATAGACTGCACATAACTGCTCTACAAAACGTGTGATGCTGATAATACTAAACTCCAATTCACGATAACTTGACGAACCGTGGAGGCTGCGGCCCCCGCGACCCAATAAGAGCGCTGGAGCAAGACATGTGATAACACTCCATGGTCGAGGCCATGGGGCCTTGTAACCGCCACAGCAACAGCGCCGTTCCCGACAAAAAGTAGTTCTAGGCTTCTTTCTCTTTTAACGATAATTGAACTCGTGCCCTTCAATATCTAACGAGAAGATACGAAGAGTAAAGAATAAATAATCACAAATTTAAGAGTTTCAATTATATTTAAACCAAAAAGGGACGTCACCATCCGTATCCGCTCCAGATATTTTTTTTTTTTTTTTTTCTTGTAGTAGCGTTGTGGCCGTTTGTGATTGCCGGTGGGTGATGGCAGCCGTGTAATCGGCCGTTTCCTCTTAAAAGATCCCACGGTGCCCTGGCATTAGCACCCGTCGCAGATTCGCGACTAAATTGACTGTATGGTTGTGTCGTGAACAGTTCCTGAAGTGCTCGCTATTCTAGCGGACGGAAATGTTGCTGCAGTGGACGTTCATCTGAAGTTGGTTTGTTTCTGAGTAGATGATTCTTGGCTAGCAGACGACAGACGGTTCCTCCGGGCCTCGCATCTGCCGTAGTGACACAAAAGGCCGGTTCACACATACAGCGGAGCGCTAAGTTGGCGCTACGTGAGCGCTCCAAGGAGCGTTCATGTGGCGCTTCCTAGCGCGTGGTGTGGCACTCTGTTAGCGCTTCAGAAGCGCTTTGTTAGCGCTCTGTTAGCACTACAGGAGCTCTCTGTTAGTGCTACAGGAGCGCTCTGTTAGCGCCACAGAAGCGCTTTGTTAGCGCTCTCACGCTCCTTGTGCCGTGCTTGCTGTTGCAAAACAGCGCGTGCACGCCGATTCCTTTTTTTTTTTTTTTTTTTTTGCATTGAAAGAAGAAGTAAAACAGCCGCTTTCCAAGCAAAGGGTCGGGCAGGCGATTCAGAGTCGTGGACTCTGAGCGACTAATTGGTTGGGTACGACCTCATCGCTTTCTATTCGATATGCATGACCCTAGTTTCAAAGACACGCAGTTAAAAATAATCGCCTTCAAAAGAGCTCTGCGTCTCGGTCCCTCAGCCTGGGAACAAGGTTCGCCGGGTACCCCTCGGTGTCTCGATGGCGAAAGATTTTGCGCACCCAGAAGGCTCTTCTGGGCGTTAAGCCGTCCACGCACATATGCACTACCTAAGAGCATTTGTCGCATTTCTATTTCAGCATCCCCCATGTCCGCCATGGTGCTGCTGACGCACACCCAACCACAGGAACCGGTACGGCAGTGCACGCGCTAACCCGCAGCACCGCGGTACAAGAAGCGCTACTGAAGCGTTAACAAGGAGCTACTGGAGCGCTAACAGAGCGCTACTGGAGCGCTAACAAAGCGCTACAGAAGCGCTAATCGCGCGCTATGTTAGAACTAAGTCACGCGCTAGGAAGCGCCACATTAGCGCTCCTTGGAGCGCTCACGTAGCGCTCCGCTGTATGTGTAAACAGGCCTAAATGCTCCCATGACGTCGGGTCACGTGCCTCGCTTTGATGCTCTTGTTGGGTCACGGGGCCCTAGCCTCCACAGTTCGCCAAGTTATTGTGAAACGAAGTATAGTCAACCAAACAAACTGTTTATTCATAAAAATTTATTTTATAACATTGCAGCAATTTCCCAACATGCAGAATCAGCTACGGCAGCAAATGTGGGAAAATAATTGGCAAAACAAAGCTCTTAGAAAAATTCTACCATGCAATTTCGCTTTCAATAGAATAATCCGATGTTGCGACACAAGACGGTACAAATCATGTATCACAAATCTTACTCCAAAAACATATCTACAAAAAAAAAATGTTGAAGAAAAAATATGTTTATGCAGGAATGCTCAAAATTAAAAAAGATATAGCACTAACATACCACAATTCTTTACACCCTCTATACTATGTGTGACAAAAATGCTCACCAGGGATCATCACTTGTCAAACCTGTGGTTCTCCTCGCTGTCTTGTCGCTCCTGTCTCCTCTCACGGGAAGAACCCCTGTAAGCAAAAATACGGGTATGGTGCAGTCCTGTTCCGACGCGCAACAAAAACCGTAGAGTGTAACCCACTTTGCATTTGCGTAACTGCCATATGGCATGCACACTATCAAGTGCCAAACAAGCGCTAACGAAGGAGCCAGGTAGAGATTGTTGACGCCAGGAAAATCGTTAATAAGAAAAAATTTAACTCAATAAATACCTAATAAATACGAAGTGTTGCTGTAATGTAATACCAGTCTTATAGTGTAAACATGACTACAGACTAAAGACATACTGATATGAGGAGAGTACTAAAAGACACCGAAGACTGCTTACGTGTAAGAATGCGAAAGTATTCGTTAGACGCAGCGCATTCCTACAAGCAGCGCGCCACGTCTTCATTTTCCACACGGCGTTCCGGCAGTGACATCCCGCTCCCCGACTACGCAGGCTCAGCGAACCCTGCCGGCTACACGGCTTCTGTGACCAAGCATCTGCATTGCTGGGTTTTTGGCCAATAGGACTTTAGCTGCCAATTCGCTCAGCCAATGGGAACTTTCGTGCTGCTTTTCGCTGCTACAGACGGAATTTTGGTGCAGTTTTTCGCTGCTACAGACAATGCTGGCTTTGCTCCATGAGTCAGTTAATACTTCTGACCTGCTCTGTAGAAGCCACTAGATAATAAACTTAATGTGACAAGGCACCATAATTACAAATTGATAGACATTTAGCTGCACTCAACACAATACATGGAACATGCATGTCGGCATAGGCCACAAGTTTTTTAATGCGGCAGCACATAGGTGTTAATAGTGATAGCCTGAACGGCGCTTCGTAGCTAGTTTCTTGCACCTCATCAACGAACACAGTTTCCAAAGATTTTGTTTGCATCAAACTTTTAGACATACTTGATCATTTTGAGTTTTATACAACTAACCCCACTTAGCCCCGGGAGCACTGACTGACGGTGAACGACAATCTTAAAAAAGAACGTCTCTACGCAGAGTAAAAACGATTATGGTTAAAGGGCAACTCCGCTTCATTTCCAGTAGTGCAAAACTATACAGTTCTCTTTGTTATCATCTACAAAACCCCCATGGCAAATATTACGACGGAATTCCGCCTAGAAATTCATTAAAATCGCTGTCAAAGTTCGACAAGCACGAATCCGCTGGTTTTGGATGAGACGTGCGGGCCAGACAACACTGCCCGGCTGCATTTCCGCTTCCTCCAAATTCCTTCTCCTGGCACGTCCGCGACGTCATCAAGCATGTACAGATTTTTTTTTTTTTTTTTCAATTTTTTTTTTCTGGGGAGAGCACGGGTGGCGCCAGCGCCGTGAAAGACGTGAGTGACGCGCTCGGCCGGCCCGGCGCTCAACTATTGATACTACTGATAAGCCGATCGCCTCGTTGAGCGCGGCTTGTGTTACATCCCATACTTTTGAACACCAAGTAAAAGGAGGAGAGGGAAGCTGCTTTTCTAAGAATTTTGAGTGACGGGTTAATCTTCTATAATCTTCTGGGAGGAGAATAGCGACGCCTTTGCTAATCCAGGAGGCACAAAGGAGGATCCTGATAAGAGGGGAGCTCCTTCCCTTGTATATCACGTGGGTGTACATGCTTAGTGATGCCGAATATACAATGTTGTCCGGCTTTGCCACCGTTTCGGTTTCGGTTTGTAATCATGGCTAGAGTAAAATTACACGAAAAAGATTATATTTTTCGCGAAACAAAGGATTGGGGATTGTTTTGGAGTGCTTCAAAAAGCAAAATCGGCCACTATCTCGAAATTTTTGAAATTAAGCGGAGTTGCCCTTTAAAGGCCCGTTCACACGTTTGCGTTCGCACCTGCCCCATAGTCAACATATAACAGTGCCTGAAAATGCGGACAACGTACACTTCATTGCTTGATTTTTCTATACCAGGAGGCGCCGTCTATGCAATACAGAAGCTGAACTGAGGCTACAATCAGAATCATCGCCTCTTTTTCGCATTGCCGAGGTTGATCTGATTGGCACTTTAATTTTGTGCCGCTCACGAAAAGATTGTGACCGTCTAGACATCCGCACACTATCTGCCGCCTTTCTGCGCGTGCCTTCGGCCGTCGCCTGCAGGCAGAGTCGAATGGCACCGGAACAGCACCCTCAACCTCGACATCTGCGTTGACGGCTAGGTTCGACTCGCGCTTTCATTTTGTGCCGTGCCCTTGGGAAGCCTGTCGAACGACAGACGCTGTCGTGACGTTTGACAAGTCCACAGAAATGGATGGCGCACTCCGTGCTAACAATCGTGCAGCTGTTCGACACGGACCGCCGAAATGCACAACAATTCGATCGCGAAGAGACGAAACGCTATCCAGCAAACTATCGACCAATTTCTCCAGCCGTTTAATACATGAAGTGCCAACGGCAATTTTTTAGTCCGAATTCAGTTTTTTGGAATAAATGTTTATTTAGACTTTGCGAGAATCCGAACAGTCGGTAAGGAATTGTACTGTCAACGAATCCATTTGAACGTTTGTCCGAGGCAACTTTTCCGCGCTACATTGTCAAACCTACCGGTGGTTTCCACGGTGCTCAGACAGCATCGAAGCTACTTGCGCAACCTCACGGCTACCTTCGACGTCTCCTTCGCACAAGCATGTGCCAAAGAGCCTCGCATGGCAGTGCAGGACTGCTGCAGCCTTGCGGAAACTACACCGGCCTCAATGCCACCCGAAAACATTGATGCCAAGTACAGACTGTGGCGACGACTCAGGACATTTTGTCGCCCCGCTTTTGTCCAAAAACCAAAAAAAAAAAAAAAAAGCGCCAACAGCACCGATTCCTGGCACTCGTACAAACGCCGTCGGCACACGTGCATTCTTAACGCCAAGTCTTGACTCCGCCGTCGACGGATCCGACCGTTCCTCACCTTCGAGACGACCGCCTGTGGTCCTTGTCACGACGCGAGCGGTCGCGGCTCCGGTCCCGTCTGCGCTCCCGCGACGAACCTCGTGACGCCCGACGAGAAGAGGCGCCGCGGGAGTCCGACCGCGAACGCCGCTGGCGCTCCTTTGACCGTGACCTGCTGGAGAAACGACAAGAGCAAGCAACCCCACTTAGCCCCGGGAGCACCGACCGACGGTGAACGACAATCTTACAAAAGAACCTCTCTACGCAGAGTAAAAACGAATATGGTTAAAGGCCCGTTCACACGTTTGCGTTCGCTTCCAACCGAGTTCTTGTTGAACGAGCCCTTATCGGATAGCGGGCGCCTCGGCCGGGATTCGAACTCGCCGCCCGGGTATCCGTAGGTGGACGGCTAGCCTCAAAGGACCTTTGTTTGACGGGTGGACATCCTGGTAATGTCCCCAAAACATCCACGCAATGTTTGAATGTCCCGACAATATCCACGAGGCATTTGTGCTACATTAGGACATCCTTACGACATTCACGGGCCAACCATGCAACGTTACAACATCCATGGAATGTTAACCCCTTGACTACTCATTTTTTTTTTCTTTAAAGATCGTACAGAAAGCTTTATTTAAATCAAGCAATTTGCGTCAAAATAAAGAAAAACGTTTCCTTGGCTTTCAGGCGTAGTCTCGTGCTCTATACCAGGACTTCTGGTCGCCTCCTCTTCTTCAGTAGTTCTTCACAGTATGATAGAAATCGAGAGATTAGCAGAAACCTCACATAGGACATCGTTTTGCCGAAAATTGGAGTCTCCACTATGGACCTCTTGGACCAGTTCATTTTTTCACTTGCGTCATAATGATGCACAAGGCAAAGTATGCCTTTATATCATCCGGAGTGGTGTCAAACCATTGCTCCTCATAGCATTTCTTGGGATGATCCTCATCGCCCATCTCTTGTTCGGCGTAGCGATTTGTCTCAGCAGAGACAGACGCCCAAAAATCATGACTTGCAAACACGGAAAAGGTCGACAAGGCGCTTGTCTTCTCACCAAGACTGCGTTGAACCCTTGCTGACACACCTGGGGTTTCTACAAAGGTGGACTGAGCAGGCTGGTTGTCCCTCTTCTCCCAGTTCCACTGACGTGCAAACGCTGAAGTCGATGAAATGCTTCCAGGATTCGCATCGTTTTCAACACTTTTCTCACAGTGCGTTGAACTCTCATCGGATTCCAAGTAATCGGAAAGGCAGCAGGATTCGTCGTCAGAAATACTGGCGCATTCATCACTTTCAAAAAGAAGTCTTTGTATATCTTCGTCCGCCAAAGCAGACCTCCGCGCCGAAGACATATTTTTGGCACGCTTGCTTACAATAGTGCGCTTATTTTTTGTCAATGGAGCGCCCTCTCTCTGTCAAAAAGCAAAGCAAACAAGAAAAGAACCCAAGGTAAACAGGAGCAACAGGGGTAGTGCTGCCATCTGCCGCAGAGCTCACAAAACAAGCTCTGAAACCGAAACACGAGTCACACTCGTGGTCGGGTTTTATGGTCCGTGAATGGCGGCACGAGTGACACTCGTTATTAGTAGGCAAGGGGTTAAAGGAGCCATGAAACAATTGTTCTACTTTCGCTAAGTGCTAGTCAAAATCGTTCTTTAACGTTAATAAACTTTCCTTAGTTTTTCCGCCTAGGCAATGGCAGTCGCCAAAAAAAAATGTGAGAAATATGAGCATCGTTCATCCCCTCAACTCAGAGCCAGAACAAGCGGCGCATGCGGTCACGTGCCCATCCTGTGCTGGCAACGCTGATCACAGTAGAAAACGCAGCTGAGCTCCAGTCACCGTTAGAGTTCGGCTATTCTCATCACCGCAGCGGTTGGACACGAGCCACTACCCGGGTGTCTGCCGAGGCATCGATTGTTACGAACCGAAGTCTGGCACTCACGCAGTTCTCATGTCCGATCCACGAGCCGTGCTCGCCTGTCGTCAGAAAGGTTGCTTCAGTCCCACGATTACGTCGTCGAGCTTTGCGAAGACAAGACTGAAACAGATCGTCCCCTTTTGTCCTCGCAATTTCCCCGCGACAAAGAAGCTTCCGAATTGGTGGCGGTCCGTGCGAGTATGCTTGGGCCAGACTAGGACCGGTACGCCTCTGCAAAGTCGTGAACATTCCAACTTGACGTCATTTCGTGACCCCTTCAAGCCTGTGTCTCACAGCTCGCACATCGTACAAAAGACGCCACGTTCACTGCAGACAGTACAGTATTACCTGTGCACATGTCTCAAGCACGTTCGAAACGTGTTCTCTTCGCACATTTCTATTCTTCAAACACGTCTCCAGACAGTTTCCGCACAACCAATGCCGCAGGACCACCAAACAAGGAAGAACCGCGCCTCAGACGGCGTCCTCAGACCGCCTTTCGTACGTCGCACAAGAGGCACGACCGCAAATTCGGGACCACACCCGCTGCCGGATAAGGCCGTCCCCTGCCCCGAAAAGACCTGAAAACCGCTCCCGGACTCACCTCCGCCTCACGGGCCGCTCTCCTCCGCCTCTGGCTCCTCCCCCGGGGGGACTCCGGCTCCTCGACGACCTGGGAGCCCTCTCCCCACCTCCCTCCGCCCCCTTCCACCGTCCCCCTGCCATCCTCCTCTCCGCCTCCCGCTCCGCCAGCTGCTCGTTGCGCTGGCGCTCCCGTTTCTCCGTCACCGTCTGCCGAAGGCTGTCCAGCTTCTCGCGGATGGCGATGAAGCCCAGGTGCAGCTTGCCCCCGAAGTGGTCCGCCAGCCGCCGGTCGTTGTCGTGGATGCCCAGGTAGGCCGAGCAGACGTCGCACACCCTCAGCTTCTGCTGCTGGTACGACGAGGCCGGCATCGAGTTGCGGTAGTCCTGCTCCGCCTCCGCCTTGCGCCGGCGGATGTCCTCCACCTCCTCGAGGAGTTTCAGGGACTCCTCCACGTTCCCATCCGCCCCCTTGGCCTCCGCCGCCGCCAGCTTCTTGCCCATGCTCTCCGCCAGCTCGTGCACGCGGTTCAGCTGCAAGGAGACAGACGTTTACGTCCAAGAAGAGCCTCGAAACGTTTCGCTCTGAACAATTGACAGGAGGAATCGACGACCAAAAGCGTGGTGCCTGGCACGCAATTTCGACCGGCGTGTTTATTGTCCCACACATCGCAAAAGTTCCTGAAGTGGCAAATAATAATAATAACACCAAGTCTTTACTTTCAGTGCCCAAAAACAACTGCAGCAGTCTCCTCTATAGTGCACTCTATAATCCTATAGAAAAAAACTTGTTACCTTATAATAATTACAAAATAAAACAAAGTTACGAGTAGGTTGCAAGGTCTTTCAATTGATGGCGGCACAATGAAGTAGATGAGCAGAAATTGAGCCAAAGAAGAGCGATCATATATCGTTCGAATCGAGTGAGCGGTGAGGTACAGCATGGCAAACGAATGTCAAAGAACACAAGATATCTGGTACAACAGAAGTCAACATGAAAACTCACTTTGCCAAGCAGTGGCGGCGAGTCAGTGACACCTTTTAGCAACCTTACGAAACAATGTGGTTCCGGAGGTTGGGGGCTAGAAGCCTCGGCAATAAGTTTTGAGCGAACGCGAATGTCACCGTGGGGTCTTGACCTACGACAGAACGGGTGTTTGCCACATCTACTAGTGTGTCTGTACAAGTTAAAGGGACCATGAAATGATTTTAAAATCGAGTTTCATCCGCCGCACGTCGTAAAAGGTGTGAAAAGAAACACAAAAACACAAAAATAGGGAGCCAAAAAAAATTATTTGCTATAGAACTTTTAAAAGAAAACTGGACTCTTTTGCGCCTTCCTTCCTTCGCCTGTTCACTACGATGCATACGCAGAATCGGTGCACGTCAGCCGAATCCACATCGCCTATTGGGTAAGAGCCTACCTCACCAGCACCGCGATCGTAAACAATAAATAGCCGGCGAATGTTTCCTAAAAGTTTTGTTAAATAATATTCAGATCCACATTTTGTAGCATAATTAGAGATGTGTGGCGAAAATTGCCAAATTTGATAATGCTGAGAGCCAAGCGCCATCTATCGTGTGGTAAACGAAGCAACTACTGCGCGTGCGCAGTAGGGCAGGGCCGCCAGTTACTTGGGTGACGGCGACCGACGAACATTTATTTTCTTTGTTTTCCTTCCTCTCAAAACTCTGACTGACTGAACGTTTATTTTTCTACGTGTTCTTCCCGCGCGTGCCGACTTCAAGCAGCAAGAAAACAGTACTTAAAACAGACCACGACGAACAAGAACGCTGGATTCACCGACTCCGACGAAGCGTATAGGCCTAGCAGGCATTCCGACTCGGCGCTGCGTTGCTTCGTCGCAAGACCGTCTGCCTACGACCGGCTGGCGTGCTAAATGGAATATGCCCGCGCGACCCTTGTGGACCCTTCCCGTATTATAGTTTGATCACTGACCTCAATTCTAGATTAAGAGGTGAGGAGGTCAATCTCTTCCCCTTGTTTTCCGAGGCAGTGTTGACGAACACTCGTCGAAAAGGGACTCTCGTCGATTCTATCTTCTTGTTTTGTGTGATATAGAGCTGAAATAAACGCCGTATAGATTGCCTTCGTAACACGGTATGTACACTTTGTTATTGGTATGCCATTTTTATTCTGACAGACTGCACGTGTCGACCCCGGTCCAACCTTTCTTTGCCGAGTGTCGCGTCAGTATCGAGTTGCAATCGTAAAAGAACGGTCCCGAAGCGCTTACCAACAGCGCGAATACAAGACTTCCATCAAGCGCGCGCGTCCGCTCCGAGTGTAAGCAGGTATTTACGTGGCTCTTGCTGACACTCGTAGTTCAAACGCATCTTTTTTAACGTCGGCTCGCTCCTGCATCTCCGAGGCCGCGAAAAACGCCATCTACGTCGCTTTGCAAACGACTGACACGGGCCGGCCCTTCTGCCAACAATGACGGGGTGGTGACAAGACTCGCTGCACTTCCCAACAGGCATACCGGCGTATGGGACTAGTCCCATGCTGTCGCTGTAGCGCAACATATCTCATTGAATTTCGCTCAGCTGCGATGCGGCGATGAGAGGCGCCGATTCAGGAAATACGTCGGTGACATCAGCGCAGTAAAACCTACCGGTGCACCCCAACTCGTTGCCGCTAACACTCCCATTCTCCTACTGCCGAGAGAACTTCCGGTTCCGGAAACGGTCTACGTCACGGCTTCTTTTGCGGTCAGTTGGAGAGAATGAAAAAGTCGATATTTCAATAATTTTTTGTGTAAAAGTTAATAAACCGAGACGAAAACGGATGCCTGTTCGGCATTCAGTGAACATTGACGGTTTAATGTAAAAGTTATCTGGAAAAAGTAAAAAGGTCATTTCATGGTCCCTTTAAACAAGTGCAAAAGAGACAAGGACAGGAGCGTAGACAGCCCAGCAACATACTTTACTAGAGTGTAGCATTTATGACACCGTCACTTTTGCGGGGTGACGGCAGACAAGAATATGTTCATGGTGCGCAGTTCTTTCTACATCTTGGTTTCGATGGTCACAAAAGATACAACCCGTCGGCCCACAGTGCCCACGCGCATAAACCCCTCAATACAATTCTATACATAAACGGACTTCAGTGCCGATCGTGTATAGACCAATTGGACCGGTTAGAAACGAATGGTTACGTAGCTCTGGAATTGAATTTGTGTGTCGTACCGTAATAAGCTCACGAATATAGACATTGCGTCGTTCGTCTCGGCCGCATCTTCGACCTCTTCCTCCGCAAGTCGCCAGACGACAGCCGTTAGGTAGCGCAGACGACGACGGTGATCAAAGTTGCCAGACCAAATTTTGGAAAGGGTCTATTAGCAGCGTGCCTGAACAATCGGTGGACCGTCGAATCGCACTACCGCAGTTGCCACTCATACTATAATCGGGAACAATTTCGCATTACTCTTCACAAGACCACCAACATACAGCTCAAGAAATAGCGGGCAAAGAAATCCAATTTATCGAGTCATTGAGACTTGAGGAGAGGGAAGCTCACCTTGAGAGTGACTTCAGCGCTGAGTTCTTCCTGGGTCTCCGCCAGGCGCCTCTTGGACTGCTCCGTTCGCCGGTCACACTCCCCAATGAAATTCTGGAGGTGCTCCATGGCCTGCAAGATGACCCGATTCCCCAAAGGGTCCTGACCTTTCCAACTTAACAATAAAAAGTTAAGCTATAGTCGGTGACAGGTCAAGAACGAAGTGGAAGCTCCTCCCATCTCTTTCCACTTTAGTAGTGCGAACGCGGGAGAGGAGGCGACCTCCTCCCCACCGTTCGCTCCGCTGAAGTGGAAAGGGGTGGGAGGAGCTTCCACATCGTTCTTGACTTGTCACCAACTATAGATTTATTTGATTTAAATTAAATAGTTTGATTGAAATCATCAAGGCTAGAAAATGGAAATTATCACTAGCCATGACAGATTGATTGAAAACAATCTGGAAGATTTATTGCAATCTAAAGTATAGTATACAGTCCAATCTCGTTAATTCAAACTTTCGGATAATTCAAACTAACATGCAGGTCCCATCCTATGCATGTCTATGTAAGAAAACTCCCGGTAAGTCAAACTTTGCTTTATTCAAACAAATTTCCGGTTCCCCTTGAGTTTGAATTAACGAGGTCCGACTGTAATTAGCAACTTTTTATCCATATAAACCCAACCATATAAAAACAAGGATGGCTTGATTTTTTAGCTATATTTATATTTCATAGAGAATAAAGATCAGAATAGAGAATTAAAAATCATCATTGATTTTTATTCTCCACCCTGGTCTTGAGTGTCGCCTAGGCTCACAAGGATAAACACAATTTTTCTACTCAGCTGACGTTTTGTAGCCGACTTAGAAGCCCTACTGCTTTTCTTTCACAGGGCTTTACAGGTGCATCAGCAAATGATGCACAGGAAGTAAACCGTCTGTTCAGCTTCCTGGCCAAGGGCTCTAAACATCAAGAAACCAGAGCAGCATACAAAAATGTTGGCCGACAACAGGCCATGACAGATGGTAATGGCAACTGGTGATAGCATACGAATGATGGTACACTGGCAGTGATAAGTGAAAATGTTCACTGACGACAAGTAACAGTGACAACGTAAACTGGCACTGAAACTTGCAACGGCAGCAGGCCTGGCAACTGGTAACAGCGACGTTATCCGAGAACGACTCGCAAAGACGCAGCATGGTCCGCTCACATCCACGTCGTAGAAGTAATCCTTCTTCTGGGAGGCGTTCTCGAAGTCCGCCCGAAGAGCCAGGTCGTGGATCTTGGGACAGTCCCCGAGGTCCATCCTCTGCATCAGACAATTACGCACTCTTTTCAAAACAACGCAAGCAGCAACCGTCACGGACACGGAAACACACTGATGCCCAATCCAAACAAATGGTGGAAGCTAACTTTGCAAAGAAACCAAGTTCATCAGGGTCACCCCAGGAAAGAACACACGAGATTTGTTAGAATCATCCGAAGGACTTGAACCGCAATCGAAATCTTAGTTTTACAGGGTTTTATTTTATGCAAGGAAATAAACAATTTAGAAGTGTAGCTTTCGTCGTCTGCACCGCGAAGCAAGCCAGAAAATGCTTGGCCCTGCCGCTGACAAATGAAGTTGTAGTCTGTCTCATGAGGTGAATGGATCTCCAAGGGCGCATCGGTAAAACGAGCAGCTTTTACGAGTACTAGATTGACAAATCGCAGTGCCTCCTAAGGTAAAGTAACCATATTACTTGGGCGCCCAAAGTGGGACATGTATCAAAAAAGACGGGTGAGCATTTTTTTTTTTTTTTTGCAATTTCGTATACATTGTGCACATTTTTTTTTCTTACAGTTTGCGCACTGTTTGGCGTAGGGATCTAATACTTTTGGTTAGAACATTAGTATTCATTTTTCCATTTATGTAGACACTACATTGATAGTACTGTTCACATACCATGCACAGTGATGTGATTGGCCTAAACCATTTTGGAGCACCTTTTGGAGCAGCCAAAACAGTGTTTTGGAGCAGCGAAAGTGGCCTTTGGAGCAGCCAGAACGGTGTTTCACAGCAGCAAAAGTGGCTTTTGGAGCAGATATTCTGAGCTAAAAATATTCGTTTTAAGTGGCGGACAAACGAAAGGCACTTCGTGCTGTGTTCTGACAGAACTCGCTGTTTGTGTTTTTACGGCTGAGACATCCCACAAGTGTATTGTAGGCGTTGCCGAGCAATTCCGAAAAGAACGCATGCTACCGTTTTACTGGTTCCCGACGTGCCAGATTTTCATCAAAAGTAAGCAAACGTAAAACAATGGATTGCAAGCGTCCCGCTGGTGCTTCGGTCGTAGTCGTAGTACGCAAAATGCAACTGTCCAGCATGCGACAAAATAAAAATAAAACAGTCCAGCGGCGCGTGCTTGCCAGGCCGGAAGGCAAGACAAAGCTGAACACACAGAAAAAAAAAAAAAAAAAACCTGAGCGCATCGATACAAGACATAGCGAGCCAGGGTCAAAAAGTTCTTGGAGCACTTTGAGCAACGACTGAACTCGAGACAAACAAGCACGCTGTGCGGGTTCAGCGTGCAGACATTGCCTTCTTTGCTTTAGCTCACTTCTCTTCACCAACTTTCTTTCACGGCATATTTTCACGTACCAGGGTTCTCTCAAAAGAAAGCCTACTGAAAAAAACCTAGGTAATCAATATTTCGACAAGCAGTCATTGAGTTAAAGAGAGATTTTTGTATTAGAGTACGATTTAAACAAAGACAGGAATGTCGATGAATAAGTTTAGGAAGCGCCATATCTGCAGCGACGTGGGGACGGCAACACCCGATGTCGCGCGACCACAGTAATTGTGGTAGCGCGAGCGTTTCAGCTCACAAAGCAACTCTCGCCGCGCAAAGACGTGGTTTTGTTTCACAGCATGACGACATTGCTGGCACCCGGCACACTAGCGTCGGAGCGTCCGCACACGCCCACGTCTATCATTGAAAAAATTAGAAAAAAGACGCGAGACGAGATTCTTGAAACGACGAGGGCGCGAAACGCGAGACAGCGGGGAAAACTATACAACGGGGGACCGGATGGACGATTCACGCAGGGTATCTCTGTGTCAGGAGCCGCTTGCGCCACCTAGCTCACGCTAGGTGGCGCTCACCTAGCGATAGACCGATCTCACCAAGCGTTCCACGCATGCGTGACGCCGCCATAACTGTAGTTCGTAGGAGTAGTAGGAGGCAGACGCCAGTTCATGAGACAGCTCATGCCGCCTCGTGCTCTGCTCGCGCAGACCTCCAGCAGGGTTATCACGCGTGCAGAAAGACTACAGCTCCCATGATGCACGTCGGCAGCGGTGGCGTACTCAAACTAGCTGGTGAGATCGGTCTATTGCGGTTTTCAGTTTAGTTTCGGTTTTGAAAGGCGACCGAAATCGGTCCTTTGGCGCAGGCTTGGCGCAGATTACCCATATTTTGGCAAAATGTAGCAGGATGTAGCAGGGTTAGCCCATAGGCGCAGTTTGGCGCAATTGGCGCAGCAATCACATCACTGCATGCACCAATTAACCTTCAGCACCAGCATCGCTTTAAAGGGACACTGACGGGTATTTATGTTCGCCAAGGTTTTTATTTGTACATGACACACAGAGCCCAACTACACAGAACACAATATGCGGCTCGAAATTCCTTGTCTTTCTGCCTGAAAACAGCCGATCGAGAACTGGCCCATTTGAGTAGCACTCACTCTCTTCTCCGTGGTCAAGTGCCGTTTTCTATGGTTTAGACACAACCACCACAGATAATCAATCGTGGGTCATTGGCGGGTCATCGAAGGCACACACTCAATACCAAAAGGACAAAAAATATGATGCCCCTTTTTTGTGGCTTCTTAAAAGCTGCAAATACGTTGATTGAATAATAAAAAAAAAAGTAGCACAGCCACGTGACTTCAGGTAACTTTCTTCTCTATATTTCTGCTTCCGCCCCAGTCCAGTTTCAATTCCGGTTCCAAGCAGTTGCATTTCTTTTTGCTCCATTAAAAATATATGTGATGCTGTAGCAAAATATTGATTGGGTCGTCTTCTGACACCATAATAGATATCCGGGCAAAAGCTAAACAAATTATTTTGGGGGGTGTCAGTGTCCCTTCAAAGGGATACTAACGCCCCCCATTTTTTTTCTTCATTTTTTGCCAGGCGAATTAATACGGTTGTCAGAAGACTACCCAATCAATATTTCGCAACTGTGTCACAACCATTTTTTAATAAAGTCAGAAAACGCAACTGCTTTACCTAAAATCACAAGCAAATCGGGTAGAAATAAGGAGTCGGATGACGTTCAATGTGCGACAAAAAAAAGTTGTAAAATTGCTAGTTCTAGATTTTGTGACCAGCGAAACTTGGGATTGCAGGGTGATGAACCAAAGATGATTGTCTTGGCTAAGTAACACATCTTTTTGTCTATTTGGGGCTTGGGGAAGCCAAAGCGGGACAAAACGCCATCCCACAAGCACGCCGCGGAACGGCGGAAACCGCAGCCGCCAAAAGCGAGAATTCGCCTCGCCTAAATCTCGACGTCCGGTCGCTTCGTCCCGCGGCATACGACTCACCGTGGATGCCAGGATGTCGTGCGGGCAGCAGGCCAGGAGGAAGCTTTTGCAGACCCTCGGGTCCGTGAAGTGCACCTTGTAGCGGTTGTTCTCCCCTGCGGAGGGCAGAGAGGGCCGCCGAGCACGGGGCGCAGAGCAGGTCACGAGGGGTCGCACGCAAGGCGGGGCAGACCTCACAAGTACCGGGAAACCGCCCCCCTCCGCTCAAATCAATCTTTCGTCGTCCGGACGAAGCCTCGGAGAAGGAACGTCGGAATCGCCCAATGTGGGACGTCCGGTCGGACAATGGAATGCTGCCTCATTGCGCTACCGATAGGAACCGAACGAGCCAATGGGTGGCCCGAATACGAGGCCGGTGATAAGCAACTGGCAAATGAGCCGAGTGAATTGGAATGAAAAGGAGACTTGATTCGCCGACAGATTCCCCAGAAGAACAATTGCGACTTAAAGGGCGCGTCGTAGGACTGTAAACAGTAAGGTTACTGACAAGCCCAAGTCGCCAGCAACATCCTCAATGTGGCAGCTGGACCAGCAATGTGCAAGCTTCGAAATTATTCTTGTTAGAGGCGGTTTCGTTTTTTCTGCCCACTCATATCTTTTCTTCTTAAATTGTGTCCACTGGCTGTGTAGTATGCTCTAGGAAATTATTGCTACGCTGACGCTTAAACTTTTCTACGACTGACTGCCGAGTCCAAGCAAACGAGAGCAAATAATCCTCTACTGCAAAAGATCAGAGGATGATAACATTTTTTTATTTCTTTTTAGTGCATGCACATATGCGGTGAAAAACGTAGCCTGAACGAGACGCCGCAGCAATTTCTAGGAAATCTTTGAGAAGTGTTTATTTCGTTCAACAAATACTGAACGTAAGCTATTCTTAAAGGGGCCCTGCAATTACGTTTTTACAAAATTTTTATTTTGCTCCGAACCTGAGCGCACTGAACGTAGAAACTTAATGAAACCTTTCTTTTCTCGAATTTCGCTTTATTTTAAAAGTTATAGGCAAATTAAAATTACAAAAACAAGCAAAAAATAACCTCCTTCATGATGTCCTTGGTTGCTTGAGTGGCAGTGAACTAGAGGAGGGGTAGTGAGCTATGCGAGCGCTCACGGCTGCCACACTCCGTGTCGACGGCGCGAGAGGGCGCCACTAAAGCATGTTCTGGATAGGCTGTATGCAGCAGGCAGCCAGGGCGACTCACATTGCATTTGCTGCGCGATTAAACACTAGTTCGGCATGACACTTCATTTGCCACAAACGACAGCAAACACGGGGTAAAGATCAGTTCAGAATGGAAGCCACTTTGCGCTGCCATACCGCGAAACGGCCAAACCGCCAGACAAAGCTGCTCGTCGAAGGCCTTCGGAACGCTCGGAGCCGGTCAGATTTTCCTGTCCCTACGACTGCAGCGCCGCCGCGTACATCCGGTATTTTTCCGTGTCGGCGCCTGATCCCACTACTCCTTTCTAGTATGCGCTGCCTTTTCCACCGCTTGGTGGCGGGTATGTCGACGGGTCATTTCTTGTTTCCGTACTTTATAAACTGCATTTGTTTCTTTTCTGATCTAAAATACTGAACAAAAACTACTTTTATACATATTTGAAACGGTTTGTGCCACTTATATTTTGTATTTAGACTAAAAAGCTTTTAGCGGCCCTGACCAGTAGTAAGCCCAGGACCAAAGACGTCACATATCGCGCGCTTTCGGTACCGCGGGTCGCCCCCGTCAGTGGAGGAGGTTTTGTGTCGTTCGGTTAAAATATGACGCACTGATATTTAGTTACCCTCTCCGTGCCTGCTGGCTTGCCCTAACCCCAAGAGACGTAGAAACCGCAAAAAAGGTAGACGCTTAAATATGACTGCAGGGCCCCTTTAAGCAGGAAATGCTTAAATTGGTTCGTCCAAACTTAAAAAAATTACAACCACAGCTTTACACCGCCAACGAACGCCTTCCTTGCAATCGAAAAAACTGGACACCTTTCCGTTGACCTAACAGCCAGAACTGCGCAGAAGACCGTCTCTTATTTGAACTCAAGGTACACACAACGGTACTAGTTCTCCACTAAGACACAGCCAAGACAAAAGTAAACAGGTGGCTGTGCCCATACAGCTGGCTGCCCACTATAAAAAAAACAAAAAAGACCGAAACAAAGAAAAAAATTAACAGCAGCTGCGCAGGTTCCGAGAAACACAACCGGGAGCTCGCAAACACCGTCCGACAAAAGCTGAGAAAACAAGGACAGAACAATTCACCTCTGCTAGCCAGGAGCCTTCACCAACCCCAATAGAAGAGAGACCATTCAACCTTTGGCTTGACAGATGATGAGAGGCCTTCCCAAAACCCGTCTGCAATTCCAGTGAGCCAGAAATCTCTGGTAGCCGACAAAATACAGTTCCTCGAATGAAGATAGAAGGAGCAGATGGCGAACGTGCAGGTCAAAAAAGCTGGCCCAACTGGCATTCCTTCAGCTCCACGGGAACGGCCGATAGAAAGTGTAGACGGCGCTATTAATTTCGACGACTCAGTAGCACCGCATAAACGAGGCCTGGTAAGAAATCTAGAATGACGGTGGTCATGCCATACACCGGAGACCCCGAAGGTCGCGATGACGCCACAACCGCCAGTCAATGAACGAAATGTCCTAAACGGCGATGCCACCTGGACGTATTGCTCACCGACTGCAGACAACTCACGCGCACCTCTCCAGCGATGATCTCGCAGTTTCCCCGCCGTGAAGTGGAGCGGGGGAGGGGACAAATAGAGTGGTATGACACACAGCAGATTCGTACCGGCAGCAAGCAAAGAATTCTCAACAAAAACAAAACAAAGGCACAACAAAGTTCTTTCGAAGGACGTACCCAGCTTTCCTGGCCCGTCTCTCTCCATTTCTTTATTTTTTTTTAAAGACGTACCCAAAACTGTTTTTCCCGGCTTGACCTGAAGGTAGCAGTAGCGCTGCACTTTCTCTTCCCCCGAGTTTGCCCGCCCGGTTGGCGTGTGCGTGCGTTGCCGTGGGATGAGACATAGAGAAAAGGAAGGTGTGTGCTCCTCACCAGCACAAAAAAAGGGTTCATTTGTTTAGAAAAAAGATAGAGGGTTTACGTACGCCTTCCGACGCGCGACCGGAAAAACTTACGGCTCGGTGGCCCCCAAAGGCGCGCTCTCTCTCGTGTCGTGTGCGAGGAGGAGTGTGTGGGGAAGGTGGGGAGGGGGCGCCGGCGCCGGACTCGGCAACGGAGGTGGCGGCGACGGCCCTCCTTGCCAAACAGACACATACGCACAGGCCTGGCCCAATCGGTCGAGGCCGAGGTACCCCGGGAAACGTGGAACAGCTGCCAGAGTTGCTTTTTTTCACTTTGTGCCTACTTGGCAATGAATCTGCCTTTCAAATTCCAGGTAAAGATTGGTACAATAGCCGACCAGAGCTTAAGGAGCACGCACAAAAGTACAAACGAGCCCGATATCTCATTTCGGGGCCACAATCCACGTTTCCTGGGACCCCCTGCCTCACTGGCCCACTCCCGCTCACACCGGGAGAAGCAACGCGAGGCCGGCCATGAGACACAGTGCTCAAAAAACCCCAGAGTTAAAGGGTACCGCCACTCTCCAAAAGAGGGCGACACTCCGCCAAACGGGCTTGCTACTCCTCCCCCGTGAAGCTAGAAGGAAACACACTGAATGCAGACTTGTACCCTCCCACCAGAACAGTAAAGAATGTGGTACATTTTTTCCTTTTTAAAAAAAGACGTTAAAGGCAATTCAAAAGTAAGCTTACGCCACGATTTCATAGCGAGCAAGCTAAGTGGAGGAAAAAAAAATAACTTGGTAATCTTGTAACTTTTCAAAACTTACTAAAACATTTTTTTTTTTAAATATGACAATGAAAACAATGAAACGACGACCGAGAAAAAGAAAACGATCCGCGGGCACCGCCGAGAGACGGAAGGCGGCAGCGCTGGCCAAAAGATTGGTGCAAGTCGAGCACGTAGGTATATATGTCAGCAAGACAGCAAGGGACTCACGCAAAGTACAGCACTGAACAACTACATTCTCCCGGTTCCAGGCCCTTTAGTGCTTCGCCTGGAAAAACACGGGAACACCACCTGTAGACAAGCCACACGACCCTGCCCCCCAACCACGGCCAAAGAAAGAGCACCCCCTTGCCTTCCCCCGCCGCTCTTTCCTCAACTGGGAGGGGGAAGGCGGGGCCTCTTGTCTGCCAACAATCCGTAGGCTAGGTGGCGCTAGTCACCATGCATTTCTCCCAAATGCTACGACCAACATCAATCGTTCGTTCGTCCATCCGCTCGTTCATTCACAACGCTGTGCCTGCCCACACGACGTTGGTGGACTTGGCCCTACTGGGTTCGTATGTAACGGAACCTCTCGTACAATGGGCGCCTCACTATGGCTTTATACACATATGTGTATATAGTATATATGTATATATACAGGTATAGTCATAGGACTATATCTGTATATAGTCGTACGACTATATACAGATTTAAACAATACGTCAGTTATGGCTTCTTTTACGTTGCTAACTAATGCTGGGTCTTTGTTTTTAGCTATTTTCTGCCTGAACCGGGAATCCAATATTCGTGTCTGGTCACTCGAAGAGTGAAGAGACCAATCTGGAGCATTGTGCCCTCATCAGTGGCTATCTTCCAAACCAGACGATCCACATGTGCAACTCTGGTCCAATTCATTTAAGGACTCAAATGCTTAAGAGCTTGAAACAAATTTGTGAAAGTGGAGATTGCTTAAAACGTCTTGCATAAAGTTATCAGAAAAGAATGCCGTGCTCCATTAGAACTTTTATAGCGAGCTCCACTAAGAAAGGAAACAGTCACATAAACGAAGGTTCTAACTTGCTTTGTGCACTTTCTACATTGAAGCTTGCAAAATTAACTGTATGAACTCATGCCTCAATATTACCATATCAACAAACCTGTTCGTGGTCAATTGCATGTGGATATTCATGTTAAAGTTCCATATCTGCCTCTAAACAAACTTGACCACAAGACACCAGTTCCTTTCCCAAGTTTGAAGCGTTCTAGCACCTTTGCTTCCTCAAGCTATAAACTGTACAGGACCCTAAAACACCGCAGCAGGTAAGATAGCAGCTTCCTCATATAAAAATTTCTTATATTATACTTATATCATACATATACAAATGATCCTCACATGAAAGGTCTTTATATGAATGACTCTTATCTGAGAAGTTCCGCTCCACAGCCAAACCCAGGAATGTACCAAGGGATATGAATCACGTGGTCCTTTCCGTCAGCGCCATGTTTTTGCTACAGCTATAGGACTATTCATACTCCTCAAAATTTTGACGACTTCGATGTGCAACATCTGCTGCAGTTTCCTGCCCAGTGTTGCCCGCTGTCCCCGGTCACCAGACTAGGCAATGTACAGGACACGTGTGACCAAATACCATCCTCCTTTAGCAATATGCGAGTAAACTACGCCCTCTATAGAAAGTGCTTACACTCCACCCAATGTACCACTAGCAGTTGGGGTGACATCCCAAATCTTCACAGCTTTGCATTATCTTAACTAAAACAAGAGGAAATTTAAATGAGAATATAACAGCCATTACGAGCATAGATCACCATTCGTCTTCACGTTCTCACAGGTGGCACTTTATTTTTAATCAAAATAAAATCAACTTGAGAAGTTTTGCCACCATACTCCAACCACTAACGTTGGTCGAGCGAACTAGGAGCTTTCCACAATGCGTAGTTACGTGCATGCAGTGCAAAAAAAAAGCTATTTGCTTTCCTTGCAACGTGCCTGAGTTAAGTAGCTCCAATTTCCTGATGCTTGTGATTGATGATATGCCCCTAACAATGCCAACATAATCAAAAACGTTTTCCCGGGCGATACATCATTAGGCTTTCCAACGGTTATACAAACTACGACTGATGAAAAAAGGAAAAAAAAAATTGTATCTGACCGAGCGATCACTGGTGATACAAGCTAGGCCGCAGCAACATCATGGGCCATCGGGCGAAAACTCGTTTTCTAAGTGTTTGCTAGATTGGTGATTAAAAATACTTCGCATTAATGTTTTAATACTAGGCCGTGTTTACCCTAGCAACAGTTGCCAAACATGCAAGACTGCAATAGCAACAAGGGTATTGCAAACAGCATACCATATGCTCCCTAGTCTACCTTGGCCTCACTAGTACAAAAAAGGGGCAGATAATGATCATGCACTCGTTGAAAGGCAACCGCGAAAAGAAGAATAAAAGACTGAACATCCTTCCTCTGTTACCCAATCATAGGCGTCAAATGCTCGAAAAACTTGTCCTATTTTCCGCGTCGCAGTGATCTCGGCCATCTCAGCCTTCAACGTTCCATACATTGCCTAATCTTGACGAAAACTGGGTCACCAGGCGTCAGGCACCACTGCGCCAGAAAGGCTGATGAGCCTTACGATCATTCACTACCTTGCTTAACCTCTTGTATTTCGTGCAAGAAAATGTTCAAGAGCGCAACACTCAATCGCGCTTTTACTCGTGCCAACACCTCTACTCAGTACTGTTGAAAAGGTTGAATAGCTGTCCAAATTCAGCGCTAAAACAAGCATATTGGTAGCTACATGATTTCGCAATGTTAAAAAGACTAACGCTTTTTCTTTTTTTATTGTTATTTTGTGAACACTGGTTTTCCGCATCGGCGAGCGCCACAGCCCTAAAAATCGCTCACTCGCGAAAATCTGAAGCCTAAACACACAGTCGCCCGCCCCGACTTGAGACGTTAAATAAAAGGTGCGCATACTGAAAGGCCGAGCTGAAACGTGGCGAGCTGAGAGCTCCAGCTGTCGTTCTGTACACGTTACAAATGATAAAGACAAATACAAGAAAAGAAAACAATAGAGAGAAGACGGCAAATGTCCGCTCGGCCAGAAGCCCGCAGACGAACTACCACGCTATCGAAGGCGCTTCCAAGAACGAACAGCGCATTAAAATAACTTACCGTCGCGGCCGGTGCCCATAAGCTGGTCCAGCATTTGACGCATTTGCTCGTGAGCCGACATTTTAGGGGTTAACACGGTTCTGTTTCAAACACGGAGAAATGGGGCAACACACTCTCGTGTGCAAATGGCGGCGACTGACAGATTTGCGTTTGTGCCGTTCCGGAAGTAAGCAAATAAGGAAGTAGGCTAGCAAATGAATAGACCAACGAACAGTTGCTAATGGATAAAAACTTTTATGAATTTTATTTAATCTTTCAAATTGGGCGGTGACTCGCGCCACCTACCTTGTGTGTGGCAGAACTACACAGCTTTTTACCGCGGCGAGTGGTGGTGGACTGGTGGTGGTGGTAAAGCTTTATGGGAAAACTAGCCGGTGAAAGGCTCACCGCGGAGAAATGCTCATCGGAGAAAAGCTCACTGCAAAGTCGTCGGATGCGGAGAATAGCTCGCCAGCCTTTTGACAGATGCAGAGAAAAGCTCAGACATATTTGTGAAGCGAGCCTTGTTGAATTTTTTTCTTTTTAATATGTTTTTTGTAAGGCTTGGTCTTGTAGATTAATTTTTATCCTTAAAGGGTATGCCTTGTAGATATTTGGTCTTTTTAACATGTCTTCTCTTAAAGCTTTGTAGACTTCATTTCTGCCAACAAGTAGTACATCGTGCAGTTGACTGAACATTTTTATGCACGCAGATTTTTACTCCTTCGGCTTTTGCCGCTGCAATGTTGGATCGTCATTCGCTCATCTTCTGCAAATAACTTGTCACTTGCCCGCCCTCAGTGGTCAGAAGCGATCACGATATAAAGTTGCTGCCGCTATATAGCCGTGATAGCCGTCAATCGCTTCTCTTGGCCATGATGGAGGTGATTTCATCCAAAAAGCATAGAGCCAAAAAGGGCAAGGCCAAAGTTTTACTAGACAGCTATGATTATGTACAGAAACAGGCAAAAAACAGATGGATTCAGTGGCAGTGTCGGATGCAACGAACAGGAAAATAATATTAAAATATTCTCTCGGTGTCTCTATGATTTCCCATCATAAATGCTAGCTCAGCTTTGCGGAGTTTTTACACTTCATCCATTATCAAAGTTAGTGAAAAAAAAAAAAAAAAAACTTTTTTTCCAAGTGTTACTGTGATTTTCCTACACACACCCTAGGGAATGTGTACAACACCCCCCCCCCCCCCCCCCCCCAAACTTGTTTTTCTGAAGGCACCTCCCCCCCCCCCCCCCCCCCCCAAAAAAAAAACCCTGCTAGTACTAAATGTTCAGTAAGTTGTCTAGTGTATTTGCGTACAGAGCAGTGGTTCCTCAAATTTGTATGTCACCCAGGTCACACGCTTCTGGTCGATGATACCTCACAACCATTCGAACAATGTGAACAGCACCAAAGTGTTAAAGCTGGGAACGAGCCTGAAACAAAAAGAACAGGAAGCCTCAGAACAACCAAGCAAGATGCTGGTTGAAGTGCTCCAAGATGCGCGTCCATGGCCGTTCTGGAAAAGGAAGCCTGGAGACTGTGCATTCCAGCTAGGGATGCCGCGAACCTCCCGAAGTTCGAATTCAAAAGGTTTCAAAATTTTCGAGCCTTGCTAAGGTTCGAATTTGAAAGTTTCATTTCAAACATTTCGAATATTTTGACAGATAGGAAATTCCCAATATTTCAAATTTATTTAATATTCAAGTCTAAAAAATTCAAATATTTCTCGAAGTATAAGCTCGAAAAGTTTGAAAATTTCTATCTTAAAGGGATACTACAACGAAATTTCGGAGCTCATTTTTTGGTCTATATGTGTTCAAAAGAGCAGTATCACATGGAACATACCAATATCTTGTTAAAAAAAGTCTCGAAAAGGAATTTTAAAACGAATTAAACGATTAGCAAAGAGCACCTGGTGGATGTCGCTAACGCCTCGTTTGTAATGCTCCTCTAGGAACCTTGACAGCTAGTGACGGAGGTCGTCTCGTCTCCGGCCACGACGAGAGAAGGGGGGAAGGAGGAACTCCCCTCTTCCCGAGAATCCCTTTTGTGTGTCGCAGAAGTCGCTATTGTCCCCCTAGAAGATTATAGAAGATTAACCCGTCACTCAAAATTCGTACAAAAGCAGCCGCTTCGGTGGCTGGAACGACTAGGCCATCCTCTCAACGTCAGCCTCGCCGTAGCTTTGCTCGTCTTGAGACGACCTACGTCACGATTGCGTTGGATGTCACGTGCTCTAAGCTGGGCCTTCTCCGAGCGCTTGCCAGAGTGGGCCGTTTATAACGAAAAATACAGCCACCAGGATCAAAATACAAACGTGCGATTGTCGTTTACGGATATTGTGGATCATATTCAACCTATTTTTGAACACAACGGGAATATTTCAAATTTCGTTGAAGTATCCCTTTAAGTTCCACATCTTTGAATTTCACGGCTCCAACAAAATAAGGGAGAAAAACGGTTTTGGACGATCCAATCCAGCTGTTGCCATAGCAACCCTCGGACTCAGTCGGAAATGCAAGTGTGTGAATCGCCCTTAATTACTTGCTATTTGTCGTAATTAAACAAGTGTTGAAATGGTTTAACGGAATTCATCGAAAAGCCCAGAGGTAATCAGGTGAACGTTCTTCCCACTTATTTGCAAAATAGTAGCAATCCGATCAAACAACGCCTAAATGCGATGCTGGCATAAGACAACTAAATATGCGGAACAACGTATTCACATAAAGGCATCCAGGCTTCCCAAAAATGTTTAGTTGCAATGGGCGTTTATTTTCGGTGAAATGACCCGTGGGATGGAGAAAACAATGGACACAGGCACAGCAGCCCCGACAGATTGAGGAGAACGCCCCAGCCCCCGAAAATACAGCTGATCAGGTCATGACCGGTTTTCGTCGGGCTAACTATATTTCCGCTGTCTGAAACATTTCTTCTGCAATGAATGGAGATAATGGCCACTCTAAAATGCCACCGGTTACCAATAGTTTTGAAGTAAGCGCCGATTAAGCGTGCATTGTGTGCATCGGCGTCGCTCCCCGCGTGCGCCTTCCCTTAGCGCGAAAAAAACGAGGGACTTGCGTTCAAAAACAGCTACAGTAGGCTCGCGATAATTCAGACTCGGCTATTTTTTACTTCCGGTTAATTCAAACAGATTTGAAAATTTTGGTTGTCCCGCTATGTTTTCAATGCCGCTTAATTCGAACGGCGTTTTCGCTTAATTCATACTTTTTTGTTCTCGCGACCCTCTTGAGTGCGCTTCTTTCCAAGCACCGATGCACCGCAGAGAAGCAGTTGATACCCGCAAAGCTTGCTTTCCCGAGTGCTGCTTCTCCGCAGCGCACCGGTGCTCGGCAAGAAGCGCACTCAACGGGGCTCAAGCATGCACACATTAGCGAAAAACGGCGTTCACATTGTGTGCTTCAAGACTAGCAATGATGACCAAGACGACATCGAGGATGAGGAACAGCTCACTGGCATCATATGCTTTCTGACCTTGAAGCACATAATGTGAAAGCCGAGCGGGCGGAATATGCGAGTCTTGACGACGATATGTGTGTTTGTTAGAAAACATAGTACAGGAAGTAATGCCAGCACAGTGCAGCAGTGAGAGTGAAGATGACGATGAAGAAAGGGATGACCCACTACCGACTGTCACAGCCGCAGAGGCCTTTGACCACATCGCTCAGCTTTGGAAGTTTCCATCTGCAAAGGAAGAGTCCCGTAAAGAGCTACTTGCGTTGGCTGGTATTGAAAATTTTGTTTTGAGATCTTATGAATAAACTTATTGTCACTGTTCTTTCACCAATGTGTTATGCCTGTACTTGCTTATAATTAGGCCTATGTAGAGGAAACTGGCAAAAATCTGTTTTTTTGTATGTGCAGCTCTCCATGTAACAAATCATAATGTTGTCAAGTATAATATTTAGATTATTTCTGATAATTCAAACTTCTGATAATTCAAACTAAACTGATAATTCAAACTAAAATCTGCGACTTCCTGGAGTTTGAATTAATAAGGGTCTACTGTACTAATGCTACGAAGGACGCTCCCAGCAAAGCACCTTGGTTAAATTTCGAGCCTGCCGATCAGGGATCTGTTGGCCCACAGGTTACCTTGAGGCAACCTACAGAGTTGTCCACGGGAGAGGCTCTGTGCCGAAGTCGAGAGAAAAAAGTGTGAGGTACGAGGCCGAAGTCACCCCAAAGTGACCGTTCAGCGCTTTACAAGTGCGTCGTTTGTGGCACAATCGGCTAAGTAAGAGTCCGAGTGCAATTTCAGCTCCACTTCACACATTGACATCTTGCATTATTTATATTTGTTGCCTCGAACTTTTGTTCAGAAGTTCAAAGTTCGTCAAACTTTTGAACTCGGCAGGTTCAAAAGTTCGAAAATTGTTGAATTTCTTAGCATAATAAGTTCAAAAATGTCAAATTTTATAACGTAAAAAATCGGAAGTTCGAAAACAGTCGAATTTCTCAGCACCAAAAATTCGAAAGTTTAAAAATAGTCTAATTTTTTATGTAACGAGTTCGATGTTCTGAAACTTTGCGAACCTTCCAAACCTTTTGGTTTGATCTTCGAACCTCAGGTTTGCAATAAGTTTCAAACATATCTAACCGAAACTTCTGCCAGTAAAGAAGCAGTCTGCAGAATGCACCCTACGGAGCCACAAGTCATATAAGAGCTGAAGGCAACGGACACTTGGGCAACTGCAGGAGGGGAGTTCCCACTACTTTTCCTGATCTATGTCAACCGCATAGAGTACCAAGACCGGACGGTTGTTTTTGCCAGCAACGAGCGGCTCAGGACGTTGCACACTAGTCGAACGTGGTATATGGGCGGCACGTTTTTCGTCTGCTTGCAGCTTTTTAAGCAACAGTACGTGTTAAGATGCAAAGTTGGGAAAGGATTCGTGGCTTGTCTATGCTCTTTTTTCTGGAAAGAGCCTGTCAATATGAAAAGCCCTTTCAAGCTGTCCTGGATGCCTGTGAAGTGAGGGGGTACACCCCCGATTCAAGAGCGATCATCGGCGATCATGAGATGGCTGCAACTAGGGTCGCCAAAGAAGTCCTTGGGCAAGACATCTCCACCGTGAAATGCTTCTTCCACCTCTGCCAGCTAGCACACACAGTAAGATAACTTGCATTTTCAGAACCTTAATTACAGAAGGTTTGCAACACTCGCTTACCTGTAGCAATATATTTGCCATGTATCGCGAATGTCTTATTTTATGTGGCGAATGAGCTCGTTTGACATCGTTAAAACCTGGCTTAAGGCAGGATATCCAGCGTCCTTCTTCACTTTTCCGATGCAATTGTTTTACGCTCCCATTTTTTCGTCTTTTTTAAGCAGGTCTGCAATCCGAGCCTTGTCGCTATAGCATCGATGTTTTCCGGAAGTCCTGCGGCACGCTTGACGCGCTTGCCTTCGTTCCTCTTGCATGAACCGGCCGGACTCGACTACGATCGGCAGCCTGCTCCCGATGGCACGACTGGCCTCATCAGGCACTTTGATGCAATGTACGTGAACGGGGCCTTCCACATTGTTTCGTCAGCGGGAGTGGCTGGACAGGTGACGACGGCGGCGTGACACAGACGCCACGAGCTGCCGCCCGAGGTGAGGAATGTGATGGAGGCTATGCTACAGAATAAGGATCGCACCTACAATGCCTGCAAGGTCGGGAACAAATGCCTTCGAAGCATCTTGCTGGACGCTGCCACCCTGGTATTCGGAGACTTCTGGAGCACCTTTGGCGAGACCAGGCGGTATCCATCGCAACGTTGCTGCGAGTCAGCCGAGGTGAGCCACCGGCCAAAGAAAGCGAGGAGAAAGACCAAGAGCTCGCAGGGCTGCTTACGAAATCTCTGCAGTGACGACTTCTGGCACAATCCGCTCCCCATGCTTTTTGAGACACTTGGCGACTGAATTCACTTTTAAGGTTAATTAAAATAGTCTCGTGCGCAACAAATGTCACGGAGAATTCAACTTAATATTGTTTTTGCGATGTGGATGCCCCCAGTTATGTCGAAATTAAATTCGTGGCAAGCTTTTATTTGTGATGTAAAAAGTGCGAAGAGCTTTTCTCCGGACCGGCTAAAAAGTCGGTAAGCGTTTCCCCCCCTCCGGGCTTCCTCACCACGTAAACTGATGTCGACACCCATTCACCTTTTATTCGGCTCAATAAAGAAATGTATGCGCTTCCTTATCTCGTAGGTAACGAAAAGTAATCCACGTGTTTCATTTCCATGTCCTAATTAAACAATATGACAAAACAAACATGAAAATGGGCACCATTACTTCGGTGCTTCAGTCATATCAAGTTCTTCCGCCATCTGCTTCTTGAGAAAACCGACTCCATCTAAAGCCACGATTCCACAACTGTAACTTATTACCAACGCTGCCTATTACGGGCATTTCCCAGAGCAGGGGTTCTCAAACTTTTTCGTCCCAGGGAACCCCAGCAAGCCTCAAAAAGTCCAATGGAAAGTTTCCCCCCATCTTGTTGCCAATCGATCATACTGGGTAATAAAGGTGTTTAGATAGTAAACAAGAGTTTATTGCACTGACAGAATAAGACAAAATGAAGGACTACAGATGGAATAAGAATGCAGAGGGGTTAACCTGGGGCACAATGTAAAATATATATACCTAGGTATTAGTACAAAGGGTGAGGTTGCTTTGTACGCAATACCAACTCCATCCATGGCACAGTCCGTGGAAGGTTAAACTAGGCGGTGGGGGAGGGGGAATTGCAATTTGGATGTTTGCGGAACCTTTGTGTTCTGCAGACCCCAGTTTGAGAACCCCTGTACTAGGGTAATCAAAAATAATAATTAAAAAAAAGAGCTCTTCCTTTTCCTTAAAAAAAATAAAAATCCTTCCTTTTTTTTTTTTTTGTCTTGTTCCTAGGTTAATGCCATGATAGCAAAGCACAAAAAGGACTTGGGCAGTTATATTAGTTAGAGAGGTCGACAAAGCACGAAATAAATACCCCAATATCAGACTGCACTTTTCTACAATTTTATTGGGCTTCATTTCAGATGCCTCCTGCATGTGTAGGCAACAGCAGTAAAGCATGACCATCGATTTAAAGTTTTCCATTGCGTAGTTATAACTGTATTTTTTTTTATTCATTTTATTCAAGTAACATTAAGTATAGATGACATGGCAGACCAAACACTTTTATACAGTTCAGCTTTCCAACATTACTAAACGGTATAACAATATAGAAACATTATTGCACTGCAAAATAAACTCGAGGTTGAAAGGCGGGAAAAAAAATCACTTCCAGAAAAAGGTAAGCTGCATTTGTGACATCTCAATATAGTGGCTCGGTAACAGAACTTCAACGGCTTATACAAATAAAAACATGTACAAAAAAACTTCATTATTCATGTTTCTTACTGCATCTTTTTAGTTTACCCATTGCAATAAAAACCTTACCTAACCATTCAAAATTACTGCAAGACAAAGTCTATTGAGCCTAACACTCAGAAAAATACTTTTTTTCCAGGAGAAATATGTCACGCACGTAAACTTTCACGAATCTGTGCTGACTTTGATAAAACCTTCCGGTCTCTATCATGTTTATGTGAATGCTCGCTTCCTGATATTTGCATTTCGTACAGAAATTTGACCTTTCCAAAGTCAACTGGCACTGCGGCAACAAAGTCTGCAGCGAGGCTAACAGATGCGTCGGACAATCAAAGGTCCGAGCAACAGAAAAGAAATACGTTTTAAATACACAAACTATTGTAAGTAGTTAAACTAACAACAAACAAATTCATAACAGGTCCACCGTGGAGAGTAGCATGGCTGTCACGATTACAGCCACAACCAGGATCCTTCACAGATCTCGTCACTCTTCCCTGGTTCCTCCAGTCAATATTCATCAACTTGAATTGCAGTTGTTTCTGAGAGCTCCTTCCTCCCTACGTCATGAGCATCTTTATCACATCACGATAAAAAAATGTTTTTCACCGGCTCGTGTAGATGTGTAACTGCCCAACGTGGACCAAAAATTGTGCCCCTGCGTTCCGACAACATTCGTCTCAAACGTCCCATTTCCTGCTACAAGGATTAAGTGCGTAATCGAGATAATTCAGCGGCAGTTTCACCTTATCAAAAGTTGTCTTCCTGGTTTTCTAACCGATGCTTCAAAATAATACTAGGCAGCTTTGTCGCGCAGTTACGAGTGGGGTTCCGTGTTTTCGGCGCCAAATTTCCTTCGAATTCGAGGGTGTCTCTTGGCGTTCAATATTTTTTTCCCGCAGATTCAATGTTTTCCTGTGTTTGTTTTCGGTGTCAAACAAATAAACGGAGCTTATGGGGGGCCCATGCTGAAGCAGACAGGACACGGAAGGACTTCCCAAGCTCCAGAAAATCGTATGTGTGACCCAAATATTTAGAAGACGTATTTGGAGAACAGCGCCAAGATATATATAGGTGAGGATACATGGCGTGGAAAACGCTGCAATGCGATCGACTGGATAAAGTCCTTTAGGCGCACGCCTGAGTAGCCTCGGCCGACGGCACAACTGAGGAAAAAAAAAAAAAAAAAAAACCCAAAAAAGTGTCTCATTTCTTGCGCGCGTGCCCGAGTGTCCCTCAACACCCGGGCACGCGCTCTTTCCACTCAGAGCATCTGCTCTGAGCTTGACCAACTCTGGCTCGAACACCGCGCTGGAATCTCTCCGTATGAATGCGTTCGTAAAAGCAGTCGTCGGCGCCGTTGACGCACGAAACAAGGATCGAGGAAGCGGTGTCTAAATAACACGTGTAGCGCAAGTGTTAAGTTCTACACGATGTGGCTCACCCAGAAAACAACTTAAAAAACAAGCATGTCTCCCATAGGGAAGTGTGGGAAATTGGGCCCGTGACTGGCTACCGTTAGCTGCTCACCGAAGAGTCGTCAGGTGGCACCACTTGCAACGAAGGCGAGGAGAGGATTTTATCTGGCACCCGCGACGAGTGTGGCGTCCACACCTATATATATCTCACACCGTGGTTCTGGGTCAATGTAAAAAAAAATTCCGAGGACCCCTAAGCAGTTCTTATGAGTTGTGAATGCAAAAGCATGAATGTCATTCTTCTGCTCCCTTAGTTTGTGTGCAATCTAGTGGTGTAGACGGCCATGTTTCGCAACTGCCGATGTAGTGGCCAACAGCTGAGCGCGCGCTCTCGTGAAGTGGTCGCGCCGCGCTGAGTTCGGCCGTGCATCCTCTCTTGAGTTTGCCCGTTCGGGCTGTCCGTATCGCGTTTTTCCCCTGAAACAGGGCCACACTAGGCGTGACTGTTTTGCTTGTATAAAAAGCTTTTACAGTAAAATTCAGAGCAGAAAACAAGAAACATGTTTATTTACATGCTTAAGTGGTTCGTTCATGCCTTTAAATCAATAAGCCCTCACAGATTCTTCCTCGTATGAAAGGTCTCGAAGCACTCAACCCTCGATCATTTAGGCGTCGCACAACCAGTGCACTCTTGTCGTGATTGGGGCTCGAAACTGCTGTCGGAATCGCTCCTGTCATGAACAGAAGGCTCCGAAAACTCGCTATCTTCACCAAACGTCCTGTCCTGAAGGTGCGTTAACAGCTACCACTGTAATAGGGTCTTTTACAGTTTCTCCAGGTTATCGATTCTAACAAATCCGTCTCAAGGGTCGATTTCCGAGTTTATCGGCCCATACCGAAAACACGGAACCCTGGAGTTAGGAGGGCCAAACGGTACAGGGCCGATAGTCGTCTTCGCATTATTGCAGATCATGCGCTGCGTGGCTTCTTAAACCGTTACGGATTTTGTGCCATGAGAGCTTCAACAATCGCAACACAAAATCCAGGTAAAAAAAAAAAAAAAGATTTGCACGAAAGACAGATCTGCCTGGACACTCACGCCACGTGATTAAGCATCCCTGTATTGCACAACCACAATCCCTTTTACCGGAAGTCGCGTTTTGTGAGAAGGTGGAAGCCCGAAACTGGAAAACTTCCGCTTTCGAGCATTCCCGACAAAAACCTCCGTTTTGTCGCTGACAAATGCACCTGGCCAGGTTGGAGACGGCGGCAGGTGGTGCCGATAAGAAAATGCCCAAATAACAAAATAAATAATTAAAAAGAAGGAAGCACAGACGCCGAAATTAGGAACGGATGGTCCGAGTCAACGTCACGCCGACGGGCTTGCAGACAGCTTCTGCTGGATCTCGTCTACTAACTTGCCAACGCGTTCCGAAAGGCCGGAGAACTTCTTCAAGTCCGGCCCCAACATCTGGATGAGAGCGGGCACCTGGAAATGGGTTGGAAAACAATGTGTCCCTATATCAGTCTTTTACCGTCTTGTACAGTTTTTTCTTTACGATTTTTGTCCAGGTCTTTTTTTTTACTCGAGTAAAGTGGCCCCTACTCTTTCTACGGATGGTGTAAATATGGAGTGTTGGCAACAATGAGGTCAATGTGTGCTATAACTGTTGGCAACACTGAGACCAATGATAAGCTTTTGCATATCTTGAGTTTTTTTTTCTTTGTTTTTTACATCGTCTGGTTAGGTGTGGTTCTTGAAAGTGATCGGCTAATAGATAGGGCTTAGCCATCACACTTCGATACAACAATCCCATGCACTTCTGTTCACCTAATACACGACTCGTATGGCTTGCAGCAGGAGTTGCAGTCAACCAACGAACGTGAAACGGTGCCAGTTTCTAATACAGTCGAACCTCGTTAATTCAAACTTGAGGAGGACCAAAAGTTTGTTTGAATAAAGCAAAGTTCGCTTTGCTTTATGGGAGGAAACCGGGAGTTTCGTCCCATGGAGACGCGTAGGATGGGACCTGCATGTTAGTTTGAATGATCCACAAGTTTGTATTAAAGGGTTTGAATTAACGAGATTCCACTGTAAGCGTGGCAGATTGCCTGTTACGAATAAAAACAACATATTACTATCTGTTCAGAGATAAGAGTACAATTCGACTCAATGACTTTGCCAAGAACACTGACAATAACCGAGCCATGTAAAATAAATAATAATAAAAATAAATACTAGGGATTTTGTATTATAAAGAAACTAAAACTATGAACAACATTGAAATTCCCTCAAGAGCAGTTTGAGCGAACCTGTGGAGAACCGCAACAAAAGGACACACTACTACAGAATGTCTTTACACAATGCACATAAAGCAACATAAAATTCTACAGCTTTTCAAACTTGTGACTTGTTTCAGACCAACAAGGTTTCACAGCAAAAAGCAGAACTTCCACTTTTCCCAAGTTTCAAATTCTCCCGTAGATGTACGGTAGACACGTAAAACGTGAAACGAAAAGCAAAGCCGTAACTCACGTCATTGTAGCTGATGCTGAGAAACCGCAAGAGAGCCGTTAAACAGTGGAAGGCTGGAAAAAATATTTTGGCACCATGAAATAAAACGAGGGGCAACAGACGCAGAATAGTTGCAAGGGTGATGCACAGGACACAACAAAGAAGTCCCGTAAAAGCAAAAAAGAAAAAACCTACCAAAAAAGTGAAAAAAAATAAGGATTTCGTAAAAGTGTTGAAAGACGTTCCCGTAAAAGCTTACCTTGCTCTTCCTTGATGTCGCCGTGCAGGTACTGAAGGATTGCTGTCGACAGTTCGGCCGCTGTGTCGTCAAATAACTGCTGGAGAAACAACCAAGACGATATAACAGACCTAGGTTACTGAAAATATCCATCGACACTATCACATTGATAAAAAGTTGGGCTACGTAAAGTGGAGAATAGTTTCTCCCGGCAAGGCTAACATAGAGTAAACCAATAAAAGTGGCCAAGCAGTTGCAAGTGAAGCCTTAACACTTTGTGCCGTAGTGTACAAGTAGCGACTGTAACGCATAATGAAGCACATTCTTTAAAAAAATAACAGTGTCTTCCACTCGATTCTGCTGCCATACGTGTAGCCACGTCCTTCCCAGAAAATGCACTGTCAAGCCGGCCGATACGAGGAGGCACATGACACTTTATCTAGGAACATTAGTTGCACGCAGTCACTGCCGTAATTGACCGAGCAGGCACCCCACTAGCCATTTGGAGATGACCTGAAAAAAAACGGGGGGATGGGTTTGGTTCGAGCTCAAAAACGCAAAAGGAGCACACGACGGGGTGGGCTTTGATGCCTTGAAGCGGCGAGCTGGGAGAAGTGGTTGACGAGGAGGAGCATGTTTGTCAACTGCAGCCCGTTCTGTCTGCGACGCTTTCGTGACTGCTGGCACGAGCCCACGTGCTTCACTAAGCGTTTGATTTGCACGGCCTCTCGCGCAAACGAGACGCTACAGTCACTGACAAGATGACAGGGTCATACACTAGGTATTAGTGTTGCGCGAATGTACAAATTTTCTAATAATAGCTTCGAATACGCTATTCAATATTCACTTTGAGGTGAACTGCAATATTCATACCCTCCAAAGTGTCAATCGCAACGAGTGAGCCCCGTTGAGTGCGCTCCATGCCAAGCATCTGTGCACTGCGGAGAAGCAATGCCCGCGGAGCTCACGGGTATTGCTTCCCTGCAGTGCACAGGTGCTCAGTGAGAAGCACACTAAACAGGGCTATCGTGCCGCGATTATGCGAGTACAAGTTAAATGCGGTGATCTCTCGACAATTCACACTTATCCTTCATGCTTGTTTCGTTGTTGCTGTTTTTTTTGTCATATTTCAAATTGAAGAAAGAATATCTGCATACAAAAAGCAGATTTACAAACTACCTCAATTAGGATAGCTGCAACAATTCTGTTGTTTACATGACACAGTTAATAATAAATATAGCTATACTAAAACTAACTGAGCTCAGAAGTGGACAAGTGGAAGGCTGGGATAAACCTTCACGAGTTCAGTTGAATTTTCGTTTAAGCATGGTGCACGGTAGTAAAAAAAACTCAGGAAAAACTATTCCATATTCAATTAAAAAATATTATGTCAAAACCATCATTCGCTTCGAATTCGCTTTAAACTCAAAGTCCACTAGTATTTGTACATGACGACTAAGTATAAAAGGGAGTATAGGTGGGCTCAAAGGTCTGAGTTGGGTGTCCTTAACTTATTTTTCTAACATTTCACAAATAGTGAGTGAGTGCTTACTGTGACATGGGTACACGATTGGTATTTTACAGTGCTCGGCTAAGAAAAGTAAAACAAAACAAAAGAACTGTGATAAGCCATTCTCAACACCTCGCCAAAAAAAGTTTATAGAGCACTACCAGGAGAAAATTCACTGAAGTATGCAAAGAGAAAGAGGGAAGGACCTTCAACCCTGCTGAAGTTTTCCCCCCTCCCATTTGCAGACAAAGAGAGAGAAAGAGAGGAGTTACAGCCTCGCTGAAAAAGATTTTGGGGTTCGTCCTACGACTAACTCCAGCCATAGCCTCCTATATCGGGGGCTATGGACGGAAGCCTGTGCCTTCCGCGCCAGATCCACCCGGAAAACTGGAAGCGAGAGAATGACAGAATGTGACAAAAAAAAAAGGTATGGTCGGTGGCGTCTTTAAGAATCCGCAGGCACTTTTCGAAACTTTCCACTTCTGTTTGTTTTTTGCCCCCCAAAAAATGTTTGTCCATTGCCGCTCCCCACCTACGACTTACCCTCCTTTTTCGGTCCCTTGGCACATCCTCCCACTTACTCCTGAACCCACTAGGAAAGGAGGGTAAGCCGTAGAGAGAAACTGCGGAGGAGACAGGGTATCTTTTCTCTTTGTTCTCGCTTCTCCCTCAAGATGCAAAAAGATAAAAGTGGTTCATTGATTGGCCACTGGATTCCTGAGTGGTGCTGCCTCTAAAATGGTCACCCCAGAACTCCCACTTTTCCCGCGACCTAGCAGTCTATTCTACTGGTGTGAAATGTGCAGGCTTTCCTTCATACAGTTTTTTTTTCTTTTATATACTTTATAGATTTGCTTATAAAAAGCCGTGAAAGCTACACTAACGCGGTCGGAGCAGGTGAGTTATACGGCCCGAGGGAAAGAATAATGGCGGATACTCGTCACGAAAAGTCGGTTATTACCTAAAATTTGTTCATTACCTTTTTTTGTTATTGAAAATAAAGATAAGGTTCCAATTAGAAACTTGCTGAATGTCATTGAAAACCACTAAATAAGTAAATCTTAGAAAAGTTTGAGGCATCTGGTAAGCGTGGTGGTGCACTAAAGTTATTACTCGCGATGCCGTGATTGCACCTAATGCACGAGCGGTAACTTTAGCGCAACATGCGCTTGCCACGCACCCCAAACCTTTCTCAAATTTATCATTTAGTGCCTTTCGATAACGCCCAGAAAGTTTCTAGTCGGAACCATATATTTACTTTCATAAATTAAAAAGATAATTATAAATTTTAGTTAATTAGCTGACTTATCGTGGTGATAAGTCCGCTACGTTATGTCCCCAAGGCCGTATAACTCACCTGCGCCAAACACGGTGTAGCTTTCACAGCTTTTAGCAGAACAAATGTGAACAGCCTAGTCAAAAAATGGATGCATCTTCACGTGGTGAATCATGTTGATTTGGGCGAAGCTCTGGTGGTGCTGACGATACTGATTTTATTGTTCATAGGTAATGCTGATGGTGCTGATTATATTTTTATTGCTCATGAGTAGTGCTGAGTTCCGGGTTGCGTTTTGACTTCATTATTACTGCTTTATGGTCGGTGAAATGCAGAGCCAGTGGTTCTAGCGGATCAGCTTGGATCCGCTAGAAGCCGTGGAAACACATCTCCACCGCTTAAGTCAACAATCTATGTCAGAAAGAATGTGTAGAATGGATCGTGGTTATATACACAGTTGAGCATTTGAGCGCAGCGCCCTCTCGTCTATAAACGTTGAGCCAAAGCATGCAAAGTTTAACGCGATTATATATGCATTTCCTTTAGACCCACATGGTATTCGTTTTTTGGCCATCGATAATGAGGACGGGGTGCCTTTTGATTTGTTAATGCTCCTGGGCCTTCATAGTCTATGGCTCTCCCGCACGGCAAGGCTCCATAACGACGTCGATGCTCAGGCGGCCAGGATGTAATTTCAACAAAATGTTGGGGCGAACATCGCAAACTGTAGGACACAAGAGACAGTACCTAATTGGTTACCTAGAATTGAAACGCTCGAAACGTTAAAAGAATTTTGAGGTGTCAACGTCAGACATTGAAGGGAAGACGATTCCATATTTCTTACTCATTTGTATATACCTGTCATGTAACCATGTCATGTAACCACATCTGTGTAATGTAAATATGTGTGTTTTGTTTGAATAAATCAGGTTATAAAGAAAAAAAAGAAAGAAAAAAAAAGAAGTGTAGCGTAGTGGGTAAGACGTCTGCCTCGTAAGCAAGCAGTCCTGAGTTCAAACCCCCGTGCGGGCGTACGTTTTTTTTTTTTTTTTTTAAAGTGGGCCAATCCCGGAGGCAGTGCAATCGATGTGAGCACGGACGCCGGCCGGACAAGGCTAGACCCTAAGGAGCTTCGCCCCTAAAACACCCTGTACACATGTCTGCAAGTACAGCCTCTAGACGCCGCCATCTTGCTTGCTTGGGGTGCGCTTTGTTCTCTGTTATAATTCAATTACGGCCGCAACCAAGTGAGCAAGACAGCTTCGCCCTGAGGACATATTTGCGGACGTGTATGGGAGGCCATGCTCCAGTGGCTTCCCGCGCGAAAGAGCGCGTCTCCTTACCTCCTTGAGAGCGAGGTTAAACATGAGGCCCGCACTCCTCTCCTGGGCCACGGGGCGGTCCGTGAGGAGGCCGTGCACTGCGGCACGCACGGTGGAGCGGGCGTTGTTGCAGGACTGGCCTCCCTCTTCGCTCCACTCCGAGATGTACAGGAGCCAGTCGTAGCTGCTCACGTTGCTGCACATGTTGCACAGCTGGCCGGGACGCCATGGGAAACAAATTAAGGTCAGGAGTTGGGTTTCGAGACTAACTTTTTAAGAACCACAATCAGGCTAATGAAATTTACTTCAGCTTTCTACTTTGTTAATTAAGAAGGTAGACTGTACAAAGTTTGAAGCTTTTCTGGTCATTGGTTTGTAAGTTAGAAGATTTTGCATGTTGATGGTCTGTACAAGCCCCTTAGACCTATTAACACACTGTATCATTATAGAACTTCACGTATAATGCCCCAAGACATACTCCAGGGGGTGAAACTATTAGATTATTTTTGTGTTGCATCAAAAACGTTTTTCATACAAAACGGTTTTGTGCTACTTAGTGCTTAATTTTCAGAAACGTTTTATGTCGCTCGTACAAAAGCTACATACAGGCCAGATATTGATAACCTAATAGTTTCACCCCTTGCATTAGTTATTTAGAAATATAATACAGCAAGGAGAAGTGAAATCGGATGAGCAATTTTCAAGATGTATCGCCTGCACAGGCAAGACAGATGACAAAAAACGTGTTTTGAGAAAAGTGAGAAAGAAGTTAAAAGGTGGGGCGGCCTAGCCTCATATCATGTAGCACTACCTTAAAAGTTACCGTAGACGTCCAGGAGACATATTTATATCAAGAAACACTGTAAAAGTAATTTAAGTACCATAACAAAACAAAAAAAGAAAGCTTGAACAGATTTGGCTTTCGAGTAACCTTGGCCATTGAAAATCAGCGACAGTTCCTCATCGCATGAACAAATGAAAATAGAAAATAGACAAGTCATTATTAAATCTTTTTGAGCTTTAGGAACACCCTGACAGATCTCTCAAAAATAAAATAAGTAGTAATTTGAAATTATTTTTTTAGTGTTATAAATATTATGTTAATGTCCATTAAGATATTTTTTAATCGGACCTATAACAAAAATGAAGAATTAATCTTAGCTTTCTGCGACATTATGTCAATGAAAGATAAATAACAGAAAATTTGACTATTAGAAAATGAGTATCAACAATCCCTGTCGGGCATCTGCCAGTTGTGAAATTCTGATATCTGGAAGTTAAGGCTACCATTTATATTGAATGTGCATTATTTGACCACAACAGGGGTTCTTCTTTTTAATTACTTCTCTGCATGAAATCACGTTTCGGTGCAAAGTGTGAAAACGGGCAAGTTTTTATTCCAATTGATAGGGTTGCACATAGAACACCCCCCTTGACGGCCATAGTTCACCTGCTTTGAAATGTATTTTTAGTACAATTTCTTGCAATTGTGAATTTTCAAAATTTGGACAAAAAAGCTCTGCCTACCAATGGCAGAAACGCCGCAAACAAGGCACAGAAAAGCCCTTCGCAAGAGAGCAACAGTTTCACACCGGCACGAGCAGACGACGAGGCTCACTCGTTGAAAGGGGAATTGAACCCGCGATTAGTGGGAGTGCGCGCTCGGACCACTAGCTCCATGGAGCCAATGAGTGCAACCGCAGTGCGTTCCGGATTTCAACGTTTTGTGCACCTCCCGAAGGCGCTACGGAAACGTCATCATCGCCATTAAAAAGGAAAGAAAACCTTTCGAACGCACCCGAGGTCGCCATGCTCGGCCGCTGTTTTTGTAGCATTTTCGGCGGTTTTCAGTGCACAATTATTAATTCGTTGCTAATCTTGCGTCAATTAGAAACCCAGCACAGTAAAGAAATTTTACAGGTTGGTTCAATACAACATAAAGAACAGATAAAAAAATTATGTAAAAAACTAAACTTTTTTAGTTTTTCCGATTTTGAAAATTGCGTACCCCCTAAGCAGTTTTTTATCATATCCGATAAGCTTGGAGACTCGCAGAATGTGCTACGAACGAGCCAGGCACATGCTGTGAATGTGTGTCACGTATCACGGTGTCATGCGTTCACAAGACTGTGATGTCGTGGTATCACATGACCTCACACAGTGTCATGAATGTGACATCATGTGCCACTTGTCATGCATGACACATCAGTGTCACATGACATGCGACACCTGACACATCAGTGTCATCTGACATCATGGCATCACGTGACACAGTGATGTTACACAACATTTTTATTTTATTTTAAAACGATAGTTTTTCTAAGCGAACACAGTGACTTCCACATTGTAACATTCGTAACAAGCTTCAGAATTGACATAGGACGATGAAATTTGGCGGGTGTGGGCTTGCCAATCATATTAACTTCCACTGTCCCCCCTTAAGTACATCACAGCCACAAGAAAGGTCTTGCTCAGTGAAAGGCTCATTGTACGTGCAAGAATTATCACGACGTGCTGGACGAAATTTGACGGAAGCTTCTTGACACGGACCCGGAGGAGTACCGAAACCTGCATGGTGTTGGCCGGACAAAGTTTCTGCAGTTTCTTTCACGCATAGAACCAAGAATCGCACGACAAAATGAAACAGCAAACAAACAAAACACAATGTTGCACTGCTTTAGTTTTAATAGTACCGTTGTAATTGTACAAACAATGTCCCGTCAGATATCCGTGAGTGAAAGGGCGCTAGACTTTATCAGGCCGCGGATGAGGCTGGGGTCGCAGGAATTGGTGACATGACGGCCACGTGCTACACGGCCCGCAGATGAAAATCGAGATTCGGTCCGTCGTGTAAATCAGCTATAAGGGAGGTATATTGATCATGTTGTCTTGACCTGTGTGTTGGTCGGGGCATAATGTGCCGGTTTTTTGCGTTAAAAAGAAACTTTTACTAAGTACACAAGACAGAGGCGGGCATAACGAGGTGTCCGACGCAATCCACCATCTTCAAAATTACCGATCCAAGACTAAATCTGGCAGAAAGTGGGCGCTACTAGACAGTGTGGCATCATTGAGCTGATATGACTTAAAGTGAGCTCCCCAAAATGCTTACAAAATAAATGCACAGCTTACATAAAATGTAGGACAAGTAAAAAAAAAAATCTGACTGGACAATGCTTGTCTAATCTATTTTATTTTCACTAGTCCATCTCTCATCTGCTACTCTTTCACAACCGTGGTCCAATATCTTTTGCATGCTGTGCATTTCTCCGATACTTATAAACCAACTCATCCACAATGCTACTACTACCTTAACTTCCCAACTGCCACTTTTGTACCCATTGTAGATTACGTTCTTAACACCTTCCCCCTTGAGTTTGTGCTACAAAAAAGCCTTGTTCCCTCAACTCTCCAGCAGCACAAAGAGAGAGGAAAATTAAGGCAATCAAATAATCTCGACTTCATACTTCTGAGAAAGGTGGACTGCAAAGGAAGCAATGCTCGTCGACATAACAAAAGAGTAAGTGTAGGTAAAATGAAATCTCTTTATTCAATTTGGTCAACAGACCAGGCAACACTGTTCCCCTAAGCAGAAGTCCAAGTAATAGAAGACAAGAACACCATTTTAGAGACACGGGAAAATCCAACAAACACCTTGCAAAATTTCACCTATCTTGAAAGCTGCCTGCTTAACAGAGTTACACTTGGAGAGGTTCCATTGTATATCTGAGTCTTGGTTGCAGAATGACAACTAGGAATGATACCCCCCCCTGTTCACATTCTGCAAACGCCAAAGTCAGAGATGAAGGTAAAGCTGAACAAAATAAAATTTTGATGTAAATAGCCGCAATAAATCAAATAAGAGAGCCCGCAAACTTGAAAATGAAAAACCATAAACAGCGCATTATGATTTTTCCAGTGCAGCCCCTGCTCGTTGTTGCCGGTGGAGCGGCAGCCAGTGATTCATTCGGTAATGTATGCGCAAACTCAAAAATTCATTTTCTCGGAAAAAAAAAATCAACATTTTGACGAAATATTTTGTAGACGCGCCGGGGGTGGATATTTAAAGCATGGAGTGTATCTCATAAAAATCGATGACCATTTATATTTTTTGCCGCAGCTCAGCCAAGAGCCACTCACCAGCTTTAGCACTTCGTCCTGCTCTTCAGGGGACAGGGTTTCGATGCGGTACACGTAGCTCATGATACAGTGGCTCTTGCGATCCTGGTGTAGGAACAGGATCACATCTTCCTTGAGTGCCGCCGCCTGGAGTACCCTCAGCAGTGCTAGCCGCACAGTCACGGGTAAGCTTGCGTCCGTGAACAGCCGCCCTGCAAAGAGCAATGCATAGTTGTCAAAAAGCTAGAACTATTAGAGAGACACGGATGAAACACTAATTGCTGCCAAACCCGATCCTTCGGCACACATTGATGCTAGAGGCGCCTGCTAAGGAATGAAGTCTCGAAGTATGTTGGGTTTCATCCATGCATTTCAAGGAACTTGTCCTGTCTTATGGTACCTTTGATACCTTTGAGCAAACGAAAGTGCACTTGCAATAAAAAAAAAAGAAGTTCCGAGCCAAGAGTGGGTGAACACCGTTGCCTCTATGTGCGCTACCATCCTCGTCCCCACCCCTGCACATTTCAATTAGGAGACCTCACATTTTGTAAATGTCCAGAACTACTACTTTTTTACTTTCAACGCTTATACCCTGGTTAAACGGGTGCACCCTCAACCACGGTAAGGTGTGCCTGAGGTCAGACCTAACAGCGGTCAGGGCTGTCTGACGGCATGCTAAACTGCAGTTATGCTTCAGTATGGTTAGCAGTTACTGCTAACCAGTTGCACTTAGTCACACTTAACTACGGTTAAAAGTGCTCGTGTGAACTAGGCTGTTAGATATTGTCGAAGACTAGCAGCGTACAAGCGTAGCAGACGAAAGGGAGGAGTGGCAGACCTCGGGCAGCAAGGTTACGTAATGTGGCAGTGAACTGACCAAAGAGGTCCAACTGCGCCGTTCCCAGGGCCCAGGCGCCATTCTCCGTGACCAGGTACTCGTGCAGTTCGCGCAGCGCTGCCTGCTCAGCCTCATTCAGCTTGTCTCCCAGCGAGTCCTCGAGCTCCTTCAGCGCGGCGGCACCCTGAAAGACCGAACCGCGGCCTCTAGTTGGACGGGGTCTTCGCTCGGATCCACAAAGACCCGAAGACAAAGTGATTGGCCCGGTCGAAACAAAGAAACTCGCCCCTTTTCTCCCATACCACTGTGGCAGAGGCAGGAACCAAGGCCTCTTGGCTCGAAAAACCTTTGACAATGTTATAGATAACCATTTCGCACATACAGTGTGTACATTTGATGTTGCAAATACCCCAAAACCTTTGTTCTAGTGAAGTGCACTTCCAAGGTCGCCTCACGAATGGTGCCAAAGCGTTCTCCCGTCATAGGAGACCCCGAGAGCTCGGTCCCATCTTCGTAATCCCCAAATTGCCTGAAAATTCGCTAAACACACCAACAGACATCAGTGAAATACTAACCCAAATATCTGGCCAGAATAATTTTCTTTCTTTTCGCAAAGTCATTGAATTTACAATTTTGGTCCTCGTCGCAATTTTCGAAGAGAAAGACTACCGGCAACAGTGAAAAAGTGATGCATGCGGCAGGATGCATGCACTCTTTGGACTGTCAAATTTGTCCCCAACTGAACCCAAGCATTCGTGGTGCCAAACGAATGCCTTGGAAGCTCGCTGTAGAACTCGCGCAGCAGCACGAAACAAATGCTCGGCATAGTTCATTTTCTAAACTGCCCGCTCAACCTGGAAGCCTGCCTGCATCTGATGTCGTGGCACTGAAAAGTGTGGGTATATCCGAGTGTTGGCTATGGCATCACCTTCCTTTGCTGAATTCACAATAACTACTATTCTGAATTTCGCGATACTAAATGGCATACTGGAAAGGAAGGCCAGCGATTAAAAAGATATAGTTAGTTAGGGTAGCTCAGAATATCGCTGGAGTGCACCTTTCAGAAGTTGCAAGTACGTGAACCAGAAATGGCTAGTAAATATACATAAAAAATTTTTTTTAAGAACAAATTATTTTTTTATTTTTTGCTTTTTGAGATGTGGCCTTAGAGAGTGTGTCGGACGCAAGAACGTCGAGAACTCACGTTCACGTCGGAGTAGAACACCGGCGGATCACTGTAGCGGCGGGACTTGCGGACAGGAGCCGGGCGCTCCTCCGCCTCTCCATCGCTGTCGTGGGTGCCCCCGTTGGGCCGCGGGGTCCGGTCCGGAGACGGACTGGCACGCTGGTCCGGCAGAGCCTCCGTGGCCGACTCCGAAGACATTCTCGGGGCTGGCGCTGGGTTGCGGGGACGCGGTGCCTCGGGGGACAGGGAATCTGTGGGTTTTGGATCAGACTTGTAAAGAGTTTTCGAAGCGGTAGATTTATAGGGTCAACCAACCTCGGGAGTCGTGTAAGTACGATATGTGTGGTTCAATCCATAACCGCTAAACAATCTAGAAAAAAATGGCAACCAGTGCCAGGGATTGAACCCCGGTCATCAACATGGAAGCAGAATGCGCCGCCAACTGAGCTACGAACGCAGCACCCAGGAATGGGAGGAGCAGAAGCAGGTGGTGTGAGAAAGTGTGTGGAGCAGAGAGGGGTAAAAAGAGCACGAAAGAGAGAAGCAGAAATGGTTGGTGCAGAAAGAGCATGTGGAACGAGGAGGGGTGGGCAAAAAAGCGTGCTTCCCCTCTCTTGGTGACACAAGATTATCCAATGCAAACGCTTTGTATTAGGGAAATGCTTAAAGGGGTTATGACACGAAAATTAAACAGATATGGAATGCTCATAGGCTACTTAGTATATACACCAAGTTACGCAGTCTTTAGAGCTCTGGTAATTGCAATAATCAAATTACGAATTTTTATCATTTTAATCTGGTGACCAAGCAACACTGCCCAAGTTAGTCACACCATGGTGTCCATAAACCACGTGACCATGAACGCTCTCTCATTCTAGGCGCGCCCATGATCGCCCAAGCTCTCCCTGCCATGGTATGATCAAAACCACCCACGCAACTCGGCAACCCAAACGCTATTCTCACTCTCGCTTCCAGCCCGCTGACCTTCCATCTGCATGCGCCTGCGAGATAGACTCAGACGACGGTGACCACGGCGAGTTCGTCCGTAACTCGCCGTCACTGGAGCTGGTCGCCAGCGGGTCACAGACAAAATGAACAGCTTCCAACATCTCTTGATAGCAATCACTCTCATCGCTGCTGCGATCAACGTCGAACACTTTGACAAGGCGAGCGATGCCGCAGATGTAATCGTCACGGACCGCACGCTCGAAACACGGAAGGTAAACGAGGAAGCTGAAGCTTGAGACGCCAAGAGAGCCAACTCTGTGAATGCGTGCAAGGGTAAGTCGCACGGCGGCCTTTTAAAATGAGGCGGAACCGAGAGACCCGCATATAAATCGATTTATCCACAAAACTATAGCGTCATTTTCAAGACAAATTTAGCAGGATTATAGGAACATACAATGGGTCCCAGCAGTATAGTTATCTCATATTTTACTTTTGCCGTGCCATAACCCCTTAAAAAAGGAGCACGCGCGTCGTCACAAAGGCACAATGGTGGGACGTGATCTGTTTCCATACAAAATCCCTGCCTTAGTCACCACCCAAACTAAGGGCACCACCCACCCCGTAAAGCTACCGTATTTAGACGCATTTGGCAGAATGACCAAACACGCAGCCAATTTTTGAACACAAAACGTGTACTAATCTATGAAGGCACGAGTGACGTAGCGACGAAACTCACTTCTGGCTCTCCGCTCGGACGACGGCTCGAAGGGGATGAAGTCGGCAGGGGCTCCTCCACCGAAGCTAAGACCTCGCGCTGTTTCGCCTCGCAACGAGAGATTACTGAAGTAGCCCTGGAGCGAGCTGCCCAGTGGCCTGCACCAGAAACAATTCATAAACACTGCGATCCGCAAATCGGATTCAAGGACAGAGGGTTAAGGTAACGGATAGTTTCACAGAACGCTGGCCAAATCACTTCTGAAAAGAGTATGCGTCGTGCAGGAAAAAGGTTTGTGTCAAATTGGTCGCTGCCTATTTTAGGAAAATTAATAATGTCTGGTATAATTAAGCTCTTAATTACCTTTCGAGAAATTAACTTTTTAGTTTTACAGCACAATCCTATAGCGAATATCCATCTTTTAATTCCCCCAGCTTTCTTTTCAGGCTGACCAGACAGTTCCCGATGATTCCAGGTTTTTTGTGTCGCGTGATACTCTGTGACTGTGCCGTTCTAGCAACTGCCTTCTTGTCAACAGCATCGGGTCGACAGTTCCTGTTCTCAATTATTATTTCTTTTTTACATGAAGCAGCCTGTCACTGCGAATTGTGCCGAGGCTACAAGACCCATAAACCTTTTAGACTGACGGATTCGTAAAAATGTAGAGACCCATCGCTCACCTTACCCTCCCCACCCCCCACTTCCACCTACACAAAAAAAGTAAACAGATTCGAAAGTAAAGAAACCTGCCAGCAGAGAAAAATATAGACCCTTTCAGGCAAGATTTCATGGGCGCCGCCATCTTGACGTCACGTGACCCTGCCGCCATAGCCGCCCTTCAGTTTCTCGCCGTTCCTCCGCGTTGTGTACTGCACCGGCCCCTACCGGAGCTTTGTTTTCGCGTTATTCTACGTTCCGCGTTGAAATCGTGTGTTTTCTTTAGGTCTTTTCGATATTTCGGGCTTTCATTTATTCATTTGATATATATATTTCAACGTAGCTCTTTTATTTTCTTATTTATGGAACGGAATCGGAGAGCGAATGGATTGACGATACAAGATTATGCCTTCAGAGACTATGTAAGTTCATCGCATTCTAACATTTTTCTCGCTAATAAAGGGCAGTCAACACCATTGCGACATATGCAAATTTCAGCTGCCGCAGTAAGGCTATCCAGTCGTGCTTCTCGCTGCATGTGCGCGCTCGTTTCCGTAAAGCCGAACAGCATGTAAGCGATTTAGCGTGCGACGAGTCGAACGACGACGACAACGACGAGTCAGCGACGAAGATTTCTCACTGTCGCCTGTTGCATCGCTCGGTTTTTTGGGTTTCTAGAAAACGTCGCTCACCGTCTTGGTCGCTTGCTCCCGTCGCTTCCATGTGGTTTGCCTCGTCGCGCGACTGCCCAAGCGACAGCGAAGCGGGTCACCGTCGCTTGTCTCGTTGCTCGCCGAATCGCTTGCATGCGGTTTATAGTTAATATCGAGGCGCCAATGTTCAATGCTGTGTGCATGAAAATTAATTGAGTATAAACCGCATGTAAGCGATCTGGCTAGCGACCAGATTAGCGACGGCGACCCGCTTCGCTGTAGCTTAGTCAGTCGCGCGACGAGGCGAACCGCATGGAAGCGACGGAGAAAGCGACCAAGAGGGTGAGCGACGTTTTCTAGAAATCCCAAAACCGAGCGATGTGACGGGCGACAGTGAGAAATCTCCATCGCTCGTCTCGTCGCACGCTAAATCACTTACATGCGGGTCGGCTTTACGGAAACCAGCGCGCACATGCAGCGAGAAGCACGACTGTGATAGCGTCAGTTGCAATTTGCATATGTCGCAAAAGTGTTGAATGCCCTTTATTAGCGACCAAAATGTAAGAATGGAGATGAACCTACATGGTCATTGAAGCCTCATAATCTTGTATCGTCGACCCATTCGCTGTCCGATTCCATTCAATAAATAAGAAAATACGAGAGCTATGTCGAAATATAAATATGAAACGATTAAATGACAGTTCTAAATATCGAAAAGATTTAAAGAAAATACAAGATTTAAACGCGGAACGTAAAAGAACACGAAAACAAAGCTCCGGTAGTGGCCGATGCAGCACACAACGCGGAGGAACGGCGAGAAACTGAAGGTCGGCTATGGCGGCCCGGAAAGCGCGCGAAGGGCGCGCCGACTGGTGGCAGCTCGAGTAACTGACTCGCTGAAAGCGTCTTATCTGAATACATTCGCAAAAGGGTTGCTGAAGCCAGCAAAAACACAGCTCGTGACAATTAGAAACAATGAACGGTTCTTTGTGGTTGTTCAATTATTCTCGACAGTGTAAAAAAGCCAACCAGCAGGCTGCAATGGAGACATCCACATTATGCAAGAAATCATCCACATTATGCAAGAAATAATTGGAGACGTCAAAATGTAAAAGAATGTTGTAAAACCCTGTAATAGCTATACACCCCCTTTCTATCTCACAGCCCTCAAAAACAAAAAAAAGAGCTAAAAAGTAAAAGCATATTTAATATAGATTAAAATGAATAAAAATATGCCACAAAGCATAAAATGAAAGAGCACCATTTACCCAAAACAAACTGTCCCTTCCTGAAAGAGACCCGCTTTCGTAAATGGCAACTCCACACACGAAAATTATGACAACAAAAACAAAAAAACTCGAACAAACCCGACCGAAAAATAAACGCCAAAGAAACCCGACACCCCTCAGCAACCCTGCCTTCCAAGCAGACGGCCAAACCGGGACACTCCGAAAAGCAGACGACGGTCGCTTGTATCTGCCGCAAACGACAATGTCGTTCGTTGCTCGCGAAATCCCTCCCCATCATAATGATGCAGGAACAAACACCAAATAACAAAAATTCCGACAGAAAGGACGGGCACTACCTGCGAGATGAAAGCAGACGACGCAACCGGCAACCAAGCAGACCACGCGAGGCAAGCAGACGGAGGGAACGCAACGGCAGACGATGTGAGGGTGGCAAAGCAGAGCAGAGAGTGCCAAGCTTCTTGCCTCCTTGAAGGAGGTATGGGAAGGGGGTAGCATATGGTCTGCCATGTCTCCACCCTCTGCCGAGGATGACTTGCCGTGCAGCTATTTTAGGAACGCTCCCCGAATAGTGGAGATGTCCTCCTCTCTCTCCTCTGCCACCCCCTCCTTCTCCATAACACCTCCTTCGTCAAAAGAAGTCGCGGGGGTCGGAATGCCGGCAAAACAGACGCAACTCTCTTTCGCGAAAGGATTGTCACAACGCTGTTGCTGTGTTACAACACAAACAAAAAGGGTCATGCTTTGGGTCTCCATCAATTCTTTTTGGGGCGTGTTAGACCCCTTACGAAATTTGCGTTTCACACTTGGAGGGTCTTAACATGCTTTAGTACGATATAATATGGTCAAAACCTCAAAGCACACATTTTTGAACGACTGTATAGTAGATGCATGTAATAAGAAAGGACAGCAGTTCGGCTTGTATGTTTTGCCATGTTTTTTGCAGACATCCATCACCACACAACAGATTTTAGTTAGAGAAACACTTGTCATGGTTTAATTTTTCTCAGTTGCCTTTTGCAATTGACTTGGAGTTGCATATTTGCCATATTTTCAGTGTATAAGACACACTTTTTTTCCAAACTTTTCGGCGGTGTCTTATACACAAGTATGTCTTATATACTAATTTTTACTTAGAAACTTGAGAAAAGGGGGGGGGGGGGTGCTTCCTATATGCTAATTTTTACTTAGAAACTTGCGAAAAGGGGGGAGAGTGCATCTTATACACCGGAAAATACGGTACTGAGGTCTCACCTTAGTCTAAACACTGTCATGAACTGTGCACCCTGATCACAGCCTAATAACTTCATTGGGTATTTTAGTACACAATTCATTGCAGTGTCATTTCCTTTTTACCGGGTGGGGTGCATAATAACAATTTCTAGTGCGACCCGTCTAGAATACCTCCATCTATAACTACTGTTATTCGAATTAAGCACTTTATGCAAGGCTACCGTGTATCTAAAAAACAGGCTGTTCACAAAATGGATGCATTTTTGCACGACTCTAGACATCCTCGTATAAAGAACTCTGTGGAGCTCCCAATACCCAACATAAAAGCAAATGAACCAGCCTGGAAATGACCACTTCTTTCTATAGCATTGCTACACTAAGGGAAAGAAACACCCGTATTTCCCCACGGTGCCATGAGGGTCGAATTTCATCCGACCTTCATGGCAGAAATACCTACTAAGCAATATTTCAAACTTTTTTTAATAATATTAGTTTTCTCCTTTTGTTGACATGTTAATTGAATATTAAGATAAAATTCAGCAGCCCCTTTTAGACACACAAACTGTTTCTACTCAAGCTCGTTCTTTGGGGGAAAAAAGATATTTGATTTTTATTTTATTAATAAAACATACTTAAAAGAGCTGTGCATCGATTTTAACGATGAAAGAATTTACATCTTCTACTTTTGACATTGTTTATCTTGTCACAAAGGACAGAAAACACATCTCCCTCCTTCGAAATGTTGCGATTCCGCCGCGTAATCACGAGGCAAAAGTTCGAACGTTTCCCGACCTGCAGCCGCGAGCGGCGGCCATGAGAACCACGTGGCATGACGTCAATCAGGGTCTTGTAGAAAGATGGCAAGTTGTGCAAATACCTGCTCGATAAAAGGCGACTTTTCTATAAATCTTGTCGTTTCAACATAAATATCAATGCGTCAAAAACCTCGCATCATCGACAAAACCTTTATTATACGGAGTTTTAGTGGCGCCATCTATCCGAGGTCAACAAAACCATCAGCTTTGTCTGCTACCGCGAACAGCCACCAGAAGCCGGAGGTGGACGGGGGCAGAGCCGGACAAGGATGGCCGGACCCAGACGAGACTTTCCTCCCTTCGCCATGTTGATCGCGCTGCGCAAACACGTAGTCACACGGTCGCGAGCGGATGAGTTCTCGGCTCTAGAGAAAGAGCCTCACCGGAACCCTGCGCGTCCCCCATTCATGTCACAGGGCACGTGATTCGGAAGATCGTGAAGGAGTTGAGAGGTGCCGAAAACCTCAATCTTTGTCAATTTTTAAAATAAAAACTAGGACATGCAGGCAAAAGTGCTTTTTTGTTCTTTACTGCAGAGAGTCGAGACACCAACTCCCAAATTATTTAAGCAGAGCACTGAAATTGTTGCACAGCTCCTTCAATTTTATTACTATTTTGTTTCCTAGAGAAAAGTAAATTTCTTCTATCAAGAAGAAGGGGGTCAGAGCTGAGGAATAGGATTCCCCTCCACCACCCCCCCCCCCCACCCCCCCCTTAAAACAAAAGCTGTCCTCACTGTCGTTTCCACAAAATTAATTATAAGTGAAGGCTTGTTTTCAAGAGTTAGTATAATTAAAATTTCACCATCCTTCCTAAGAAGCCCTCTAACTGATAAACTCGCCTCTAAAAGCCTTTTAATTAGAAACTACTGCGCTAAGTCTTGCACTTAACTGCTAGTTTATCATGTAAAAAAAAAACAAAAAAAAACTGAATTTTTTTTTTTTTTTTTTTTAAGTGTTTGGATGCTTGCCACAAGTGCCTGCATGTCACGAGTAAAAGTAAACTACTTCCCCCTCAATAAAAAAAAGTTATTATACTTTGTTTCAGCTTCCGTCCGAGCACAGCCAAAGCTACATGTGGAAGGAGCCAATCGCACGCCGGCAATAAGTCACGGGATCTCGCCTGCACTTTTGTATCACTCCGCTGCGCTGCTGGTCGTTCGCACCGCCCAGACGGCTCGCCGAGTATTTCGTCTGCTACGGCTGTATCAACGGTATCGTCTTGCTTCAGGCTTAAAAAGTGCACTTTCACCTTCTGAAATTTAGTCACAGGGGATGTCAGTAGTTTCAAGATGTAAGTACGCACTGCAAGGTGCCCGATGACCCGGCCGTTGATGTTTCCTTGTATTGTCTGGATATACCAGGGATCGAGGCGCAGTACTCTCCACCAGCTTCTCGGAGTTTAATGTGATCGGCAGGTAAAGGGGTGCCCTGATTTCGTTGCGTAAGAGTGAATTGTTGTGGCCTGGACGCTTTTCTTGTTTACAATGCATTCGCATTATGATGCGGCTGGAGTCTCTTGCCGAATTTGCAAGTAGACATTCATCACGGCTTCTCGCGCCTGATGCCCAAACGTGCCTTTGTGAAAGGACGTTTTGAAGCGACTCGGTGAGGAAAGCAGCAAAGCACATGATTTGGCCATTACGGGAACGAAATCAGACAGAAAAACCGAGCGCTGCAGCCGTGTTGCCAGTGGATGTACTTGTTTTCACCAAACCACATTCATTTACATATATTAATAAAAACATAAACTTCAGATATTTAATTTCTTTAGTTGCCAATCATTCTCAGAAGTACACATCTGGAATATTGTGCAATGTTTACGCACAAAACAGTTATTTAAAAAAAAATACTTTTGAGGACTACTTTGTGGTGCGTAGCAATGCTCTTCTCGAAGTTGCGAACCGTCCCTCAGCCTTTGGCTGTGCTCGGACAGAAGCTGAAACAAAGTATACAAGATGTATTTCAAGTTATGTAATACAGTAAAACCTCGTTATAACAAAGTTGAGGGAGCAGTCGTAATTATTTTGTTATAACCATTAGTTTGTTATAGCCAATGTCCATGCCTTCCCACTATCAGCAAGCAAGGGGAATTATGATTGCTTTGTTATATCTATTAGTTTGTTATATCCCATTTTGTTATAACGAGGTTTTACTGTATCCCGAGATATAGCCCACCTAAAATCAAGGGGGGAATTGGGCAAAAATAAGGCGAGGGGGGGGAGGCTAACTTTCAATGCATGACCAAGAAAAGTTAAAAAAAAAAAAAAAAAAAAACCCACTGTAGTTGGGCGGGGAGTGACATGTTTTTTCGAAATCAAAAGTGCAAAAGTCTGTTCAATCGTGGTCCATGCGCTCGTCAACCTTTTAATGAACGGTCGCTGTTGCACGAAATTTCATTCAACTTGTCGCACATTGTTGTGTCGGCATCGCCGTAAGCGTCGTTCATTCTTTTTTATGTACTCTCGCAGTGCGCTTACTTCGCTCTTCCCATTTGTCACGCTGGTGCGGCCAGGACGTAATATCGGCGACGAGGACGGGATACGTACGAATGCCCAATGTTGCCGATACGAGTGCATATCAGACATAGTGTACACAGGAAAGCATAAGTGGGGAGCACTGATGCGAGCAGCTCGTTGAGCTCGGCCGCTTCCTTTCTGTCAAGGACAGCAGGGATCCCGTAATGCTTGAATGTCTGGGACGCGATTTTTACGACTACGGGGTCCTGGGTGGATTGTCGGTATCCTCGGAAGACTTGGGCCGACCCCTGTTTGAGGAACGTTCGAACTTCGTATAAATCACACTCTGCAAGGTCCACGCAAAGCCCCAACCGCGAACCGTGGGCGGGTGCTCTGCCGTTCCTCCTTTGTAGTAATTTGTCAAAATGGTCAACACCTTGCATAGACAAGGTCCAAACTTGTAAAAAAAAAAAAGCATACAAGTCACACCACTGTACAAGACGCACCTCTACTGAACAAGATGCACAGACATGAATTTGGGGAAAACAATGCGAGTTTTTATACGCCAAAAAATACCGTAACTCTGTATGCAACCTTCTACCACATCTGGAAGACCTTAATGCGCAAAAAACACGGACGACAAAGAGACATGCATGTGTCTCTTCCTCGTCTGTGTTTTTTGCACTTTTAAGCCTTCCAAAATATAATGAACCAACTAGCCCAATCCAAAGTTTTAATCCACCGCCTTGCTATTTTTCGGTCGAGCTCAAAGTAGTGTGGTGTTTTTTCCCAGACCCCACATGCTTTCAAATTTGTTACGACGCGAGCCAAAAATGGCCATCGTATCACTTTCTTGCTGTTTTCTTTATCTCCTGTCATAACTTGCCACATTCTGCTGAAGTCACCTGACTGGTGTGCTCTCTAGGTGCACGCTAGCGTTCAGTGTTTTTGCAAATAAAAACACCGAAGCCGAATGGATGACAGAAACCAGGGACGGGTCATCCTTCGGGGGTGAGACAACTCTCGGAGATTGCATCAGGAGCGATTCTGAGATGCACTACTACTCCGAAAGGCCGACCCCCAAAATTTCGAAGTCGTGCAAATATTTTCTTTTTCCAAAAGGCTTTTTGCCTCCTACCTTTGATCACGCTTTGGCATCTCATGGACACCTTGCGTGCACATGCTAGAGGACGGGCATTCAAAATTGTGTGCTGGAGGGGGGGAATTTCAAACTGTGTGCTGGAGGGCAGGCATTCGAAACAGTGTGTTGGAGAGTGGGTATTCAAAATTGTGTACTGGAAGGTGGGTGTTCAAAATTGTGTGCTGGAGGGGGGGCGTTCGAAATTGTGTGCGGGGAGGGGGGGGGGGGGCATTTGAAACAATGTGCTGGAGAGTGGGCATTCTAAACAGTTGGCTGGAGAGTGGGCATTCGAAATAGTGTGCTGCAGGGTAGGCATTTGAAATTCTGTGTTGGAGGATGGGCATTTGCAAGTGTGTGCTGAAGGACGGGCATTCAAAATCGCGAGCTGGAAGAAGGGCGTTCGAAAGACATGCTCGGCCATCCTCACTCTGTCAGCGACTATAACCGACAGACTTAGCAAAGTGGCTGTCAATGGACGTTTCATCGGACGAGTCAGGGAAAACTCTGGGGCTGGACAACTTAACGGGAAACTCACGTGTTAAGGAACTCCTCTGGCAGGTCCAGGATCTCCTGCGGAATGGACTTCCCCGTGAGGAATGTGGCCACCTCCTGGGTGAAGTTGTTGCAGTTGTGCTTGAACAGGTCGTAGGTCTGGGGCCTGCACAGGGCCGCGATGGCCGGACGAGCAGGCGTGAGAGGGGCACCGATGCTGCAATTCCTGTACAAACTTCGATGCTATGTACTGAAGTAAAATAGCGCAAACGAAAAGACAGGAAGAAAAACGAGATAGGACAGAGCGCCAAATCGCAACTAGAAATTTCACTGTAAGGAAGGGAAAAAAGTTTCCTTTTTCGTAGCTACCGGCTGGGTTCAGGCACTTTGTCAAAAAAAAATATTCAACGAAATATTTGCAATATACTGAACCCTAAGTACTTGTTAACTCAGAAAATATGCAGATACATGTCATCACTGCCTCATCGTATGCTGCATGCCAAACAGTGGCATTCTAGAGTGAGCATAAATATCCCCATCGCTGTCAACATACGCAAAATAGAAATGACACTGAACCGGGGTTTTGAGACACGAAGAAGTAACACTGAACTTGAGGTTTCATTACACAAAGAAAATATAAACATAGGTGAAAACAAAGTAATTCGCCGATGTAATATGCCAACTAGAGAGTCACTTATGTCGGTATACTCCGTTTCAACATGACCTGGCAGAAAAACAAAAATAGCTACGGCCCACGTGAACTAATAAAGTACTGGGGTGAAGCACGTGACGACTTGGCCTGAGAGGAGAGGAGCAAGCTCCAACTGTCCGTTGTCCCGTGGTTATGCTGAAATGGAGTGTACAATATTGGCATCGAGCTCTTCTGACAGTAATGAGCAATTCAGAGGCAGCAGAACTATTTGAGAATTTGACGGGGTGACGATGGTGGTAGTGGGGGGGGGGGGGGGGGGTGCACGAGATTTTCCATCCTTTCCCTCGTATTGTTTGTGTAAAATTTCTGAAATGTATGGGAGAATGATCGCCACCCCCATTGCCCCTGCCCCCCCCGCCCCCCTCAACAAGCATTGTGCTCTTCCGAAAGTGCCCACCGTAATTGTGCCGTCAAGCGAATCTTCCTTTCCGACTGTTAGCCGGCTATTTCAAGCAGATTTCGTGACCAGACTGGTAAAAGCACTTACAAAATCCCAGAAGCTTTTCTTCCTGTCACTTGTCCTGAGAGAACGGGGAATGTTTGGAACCGTATAACTACAGCAACTATGCTTCCACTGTACACCAACTCGACTCTCCGACGTCGCGCCACGTCACATCACGCCACGGAGACGTGGGCTTGTTCGTAGACGGTGCATTGTTGTATAAGTGCGAGCGAAGCCGATACTACAAGCACGAGCCTGTGGGCTTCAACAACACTTACATTTTAAAAGTGCAAGTGCACGGAAGCTCTTCTCAGAGTGTTGTCCTCGCTTTTGTACAGTTTTTCCTCTGGGCTTACGGTAAAACAGAACATAGATCTTTCAGATTTAGCGAGTCAAAGTGTTGCCATCTACAAATAAGAACCAGACACGCCAGCTTTCGTGATCCTCTGTCTCCAGGTGCACTCTATAGACTGTATGTGGTAAGCACACAGACTACTATATTCGAGCAAGTATGGTAGTCTCTTCGTCGCTCCAACCGAGCTTCTGGCGCAGCCATCAGGCAGACAACAAAGTGGCGTGCCTCACTTGTAAGAGGACTCTCCCAGGGCAAATATGTACTCCAGGAAGAGGCTGTACGGCAGCTCCGTGTGGCCAAGGGTCAGGATCTGGTCTGGGTCGTGCAACACCGTCTGGCCCTGCACAATCCATTGTCGCTGCATCATTAATTCACCGACATAACGACAACTTGGTGAACAAAATAATAACTCGGGCTCAGCCACGTTCCCAGAATCAAGTGTTGACAAAGTTCCCAGCTGCGGTTCTGCCGCTTTAGCCGTCTGATGGTCGTTGCATTACATACTACGACGATTACACGTTCGAAATTTCCCCCCAAACGCAAAACCATGTGCACTTCGGGAGGTGCTGCCCTTTCTTATGTCTTTGGTAAACTGTAAACAGTGTCTACGCGCGTGTTTTGGGCTATTTATAGCTTTGAAATTAAACGCTCCGTGCATGTGCGAGATGGTGGCTTTGCGTGTTGGCTGCTCTGGTGGTGGTAGCAATTGGACTGCCAGCATGCATTCGTAAGCCTTTAGCCCTCCTCAGAGTTAAATTCAAAGGATGAGAGTTTATCGTCCGAAGGAGAGGCTCTGCAAAGTATGTCGGGTTCCAAGTCTGAGGACTAGCCAGCACGTCGTGGAAGGGGACAAGCCGGAATGAAACCAAATAGCAGGAAGCCAACCACTTTTACCCTCGATATCTCCATTCGACACTTCTCCACCTGAATAGCTTGCAAGCGCCATGCATGCTCCATATACCGGGTGTCTAAATCACTCCACGTCCAGCTGGATTATGGAACTGGAAATGAAACAGTCCAGCTAAATTCCAGCTGGACCCAGCTGGACCCAGCTGGAATCCAGCTGGACTGCCTCATTTCCAGTTCCATAATCCAGCTGGAGGTGGGCTGATTTTCGCCTGGAATAGCGGCCAGCATCTTTAAATCGACAGCAAGAATCTGTTTCTTAACCTATCGCATTAAGATTTTGTGCAGCATTACCCACAGGTGGTGCATTTTTGCTATAAAATTTGCAAAGATCGAACTTACCTGAGGAAAAAGTAAAAAAAAAAATAAAAAGGCATCAGGGGGGACACTATCCAGAAAAGTCAACTTCTGTACCGCTTGCTTGATTTCGATCAAATTTGCAGGGGAAGTTTATATGAGTGGCAATACCATCCCTGCCAAATTTCATTGTCCTATGTAAATTCTGAAACTTGTTACGAATGTTACAACGAGGGAAGTCAGTGTGTTCACTTAAGAAAACTATAGTTTTAAAATAAATTAAAAATTTATGATTTTTATGTGTAATATAGTCATAGGAATACCCATAGCACAAAACCAGCTATTTTTTTTTGCTATATATTGCGTTGTTTTTCGTAAGTATAACCCACTAAGAAGATTAGAAATTTGTTTTCATGTCTGCACTTTTTTACAAATGTAGTTTTTTTAGCATAAAACAATGTTAAAGTAGAAAAACTGACCAGCCAGGCATGTTCCTCACATAATTCTATTCCAGAAACCACCTAAGAATAATTCTCTATTGTGTAACAGGAAAACAATAGATTTCCTAAACTAAACTTCATGCAGAAAAGTGGAACGGAGAAAAAGCATGTAAAGCGCTCCAACCCTACCTTTTCTTTAGCATTAATGGACCAAAATAATTTATAAACCACTATGCAGTGTTAAATAATGAAACTTTCTGGAAATACTCCCTAGATGTTGGTGGATGTTAGTATGTCATTTTTTCAAAATCTACTTTTTTTGCAGAAATAAGTTGTTTTTTTCTGGGTAGCGTCCCCCCTCAACTCCTATGAGAACGCAGCGGAGCTACCGGTCTTCAAACCACAGGGTGTCCTATTGTTTGAAGACCGGTGGCTTCGCTGCGTTTTCATAGGAGTTAAACCCGTTTCTTTTTTTACTTTTTCCTCAGGTAAGTTCAATCTTTGCAAATTTCCTAGAAAAAATGCACCACCTGTGGGCAACGCTGCACAAAATCGTAGCACTATAGGGTAAGAAATAAATTTTTTTGGCCGATTTAAAGAGACTGGCCGCTATTTGCGACACTGGGTAGATCATTTAAAAAAAAAAATCAGTCCGCCGGCACTTTCTGTGCGCCTTTGGAAACAAGACTGACCGCCAGGGCACACCTTTCAGGAAACGAAACCCAACTGTGAAAGATTTAAGGCCCGTTCACACGCACAACGCAGTGGTGACTACCGTAAAATCCTGACAGATAGCCCACCTAAAGGTGATAACAAATCGGAAGACAATAAGGGGTAGGCTAACTTTTGGCATGCCATTAGAAAAGTTGTAAAAATGCTAGTTTTAGACTTAGTGACCTGCGAAACTTGTGATCGCAGGAAGGGGTGATGCACCAAAGATGACTGGCCTTCCCAGTCAGCAATGTTCACTTATTTCCTGCCCTGGTTAAGTAACATTGTTTTTGCCGAGGTCACCATAGGCCGGGGCCCCGCAATTACTAAAAGTGGGCCATCTTTCGGTGTTCCTGAAAAAAAATCACGCCCAACATAGGGGGCAGCCTATCTTTCAAGGGTGGGGCATCTCTCGGGAAATTACGGTAAATGCTAAAGAAGCAACACAGACGTTATGGTACATCAAGGGTGTACTGGTGCTCCGCTGCATGAGATCCGATCTCTTCCGCTTCGTACACACAATGTGGCGCCAACTTGGAGACGCGTCAGTGCTGATGGTAGCGACGATCCAGCACCGTGCTGGCATGCATGCGTAAGCCGGCCTTTAATCCACCAATGCCACCACATAGGTTGGTTCATCTCAGATTGAGAAGTCGGCGATATTGATGCAGTCGAGTTTGATGGCCCCGGGGGTGCCACGCACAAATGGGCGCGTTCCCACGTGGTTTCAGTTTCGGTTTGTTTCCCGCCCCTTTTAACCGGGACATCATCTTTGTTTTACATGTAGTGGCATGTAGGAGCGAGCGATGAAAACAATGTTTCATCCCGTAATGTCACTTTCTAATGGCACGTGATTTTTTTTTTTTAGTCGACTTTTGTTTTGATGTGCTCCATCATTTTCATTTATTTCCACCTTAAAGGCTCAGTTAGGGCACTGCATGAAGAGGGGGAGCAGTTTAATACAATAAAACAACAGATAAATGCAATTACGTAAAATAATACAAAGTAGGAGTTATACAAAATAAAATACAACCGAAAGAGCACTCACAAAAGATGGATTTGAAGAGTGTTTAGAAACGCTGTAGTGTCGTTGACGGTAAAGATAGATGATGGCAGCTGGTTCCATTCGGAAATCACGAGGGGAACAAAGGATTCGTTAAAAGCACCGATCTCATTAAAAATTCGTTTGATAGCATGAGTCATTTGGGCGGGAAAATGTTGTTTATGGTGGTAACCGCAAAGAGTCTTTGAGCAGTAGGAATGAATTTTGCGAAGAAGGCAAAGTCGGGGGAATAAAGGGCAAGTCGGAGTTTATTTTTTAAGGCAGAAACACTCGTAAAATTATTGTACAACGATAATGATGAAACGAGTGGCTCGGTTTTGTAGTGCTTCTGATGTGTCGACAAGGTACAATTGATATGGGTTATAAATTGTTGCGGCATACTCTAGCCTAGGTTTACACAGTGGTGAATATATGTCGTTGGACTTCACGCTTCATGGCGAATGCCGAGATCTAGAAATTACCAATGAATTCGTCATTTGACTGCAAAAACAAGGAAGCCACTGTCACGAATGAAAAAGGTCCGAGCAAGGCCACTCAAAAGAGTGACCTCAAGGTGCAAGGTCGAAGTGTCGCTGCATAGTATCGTACCTCGAAAAGTATGATACAAGAAATTTGTCACATGTTAAAGGCATGAAGACATCAATTAACTTTTCGCCCATAAAACAGCCTACCTTTTACAAATAAATGTTCTTCACAGAGCGTGCAAGTTTTACCGAAACCAAAATCTGCGTTAAGCAAGCTGGTAAAAAAAAAAAGAACAGAAAACGGAAAATGGTTAAAGGGCTTCTGAGAAGGCACTTAAGCCGACTTGGATTTTAACAAAAATATGACGTGCTGATAGACCCAACCACCGAGAAAAAATACTTCAAATCTAGCTCTTTTTCCGCACCAAGACTTATACACCAAAAGATGAGGTAGATGACCGCAGCAACAGAGGAAATCGGTATTGGAACTTGGTGTTAAACTGCCGACAGCAACAAACGCAATGTTCAAAGCCAGACGATAAATCTAACTCTGGAGACTTTGCCACGGTGCCCAACGACGCTCGACGCCAGATCGCCACGTTCCAGGGGAAGGCACTCACCGCGCCGCAACTTTCGATGCCCATGGAACCGAAGAAGTATTCCCTTCCATAGGCGACGATGCTCGTGTGCCAGATGCCCGGGATTTGCTTTCCTGAAATCGAAAAATGCGTTGCCAGTTAAAAGGTCCACTACCGAAACATTTCGGCTCAAAGATTTCATACACTTGCTACCCCCCGCACTGCTCCTCTGCAGAAAGAAAACCAACAAAAATTCTGGCAAAAGAATGCAGTTTGTTAATAGTATTGTCGTACCACTTTTAGCCAAGCAACTTCTTGAATAAATTTCTGCGATAATGTCTGTGCTTCTATCATGATGAACGCTGCATTAAAGCCATAATGTAAGCCACAGAAATGAGCACAAACTATACTTTTCTTCTCGACAAGCAGCTGCTTGTTTCGGGTTTTTGCTTGTTCGGGTTTTTCAGTTACAATAATGTAACTGAAAAAACCCGAAAAACAACTGCATATAAAACAAGAGTTTAGAAATGTAAATATCCCAAATACCCCCCCAGGGGTGGCAGTAATAAAATTTCCTTTTGCAGTGATAAGCAACATAACTCAATCCATCATGGTACAGGCAGTGTAGTAATGATTTACTGTAAGCTAGTACAAGTAATTAAAACACTGAATAATTATCTTCTTGTGGCAATCTTTCTTTACAAAAACCAAAAAGAGCAGCTCTGATGAGACTACCGTAATACCTCGAGAGATATCCTAAAATTGAGGGCAAATCAGGTAAGAAAAAGGAGTGGGCTAACTTTCGGTGTGCAACCAAGACAAGTTGAACGAACGCTAATTTTAGACTGTTTTCCTGCCAAACTTGTTATTCCGGCGGGGGACAAAGAAGCAAAGATGACTGCACTTCCCAGTCAGCAATGTTCTCTTATATCCCCCCCGTAGTTACCCAGTTGCATTGACACAGAGGTCATCATTTATCTAAACACTATGATTATACTAGGAGTGGACTATAGCTTTTATCGTTCAAAAGAAAATAGCAAATCATGCTAAAAATAGAGGGCAGGTTATCTTCAGAAAGTGGGGCGGCATCTCTCAAGACATTACGGTGGTGGGAGAAAATAATAGAATTAGGGATGTCGCAATGCTTAGGACTTTTAGCGAAATTCGAAGAAGGATGGATGGATGGATGGATGCTAATGGCTGCACCCTTTATAATGGGCAGTAGCTTGCGCCGCCTAGCCTAGAAATTAAAAACCAAAAGTATGGTTTCTCTCCTTTGCCAATTTGCTTACCCTCTGCAATTTCATAACCATTACCAGGCAGTGTGGGATATCACCAAGATGACCTTCGGGGGATTGGGCAAAAAAACTAAAGACATAAGCCCCACCCCCCCCCTCCCATTTTTGTCTTACTTCTTGTGAAAGCCCGGCAACACTGCCTATAAGTTGAACGAAGTTCAACTTATAGACAGCGTTGCCGGACTTTTATGCAAAAATATTGAAATTGGAAAAAAATAATTTATAAAATAGTTCATTTTATATATTAAAAAAAAAAATGATTAGCAATGTTTACACAACACCAAAGCAAACATATGTACTTTAAATGCTTTAGTAAGTTCATTAAAGTGAAACCATGCAACAATATACTCAACAAATATTGCACTTTTCAATTATCGCACATGTGCACAAAAGTAAAACTTCAGTCAAACTCTGCGTCAAAAAAATTAGAGATAATCGCGCAAAAAATGGGGGATGGGCGCTAGTCCAGTCATCAATTTTACATATCAATGTACTGTGCATATTTTCTCAGATCTTACAAATTTGGGTATGGGTGCTTAGTGTGGAATGGGTGGATGTGCGGTATTCTACGGTATAATACTTATTATATTATACATTATATTATATTTATTATATAAATATTAAATTATATATTACATAGTGCTGTGCAAATATTCGAATTTTCGAATAGTAGTTTCGAATATTACTCTATTCGATATTCACTTCGAGAGCAGTTGTAATATCCGTGCCGGAAAACTCACGGTTGCAAATTTGTTTACTGTCCGGAAAACAGAAAGGAACAATTTCTAAAATCAAAAATATACTCACACGTTCGGCAAAATGCTATAAATATTACTGTGGAAACTTTCAAATATACTCATCGTAGTTATTTCATCAACTTTTTTTTGATCAACGGGAAAAAAGAAACTGAGCAACAAGCTCCAGAGACGCCGGCGCCATCTTTGCCAATCTTGGCACCCTGGTTGCCAGCACTCTTTTCTCACCACCACCGCGTCCAGACATAAAGTTAGAAAAACAAGTTTAGGATAAAAATAAATACATTTAGAAATTTCTCATAACCTGCTAATACCTCAAACCTTTATTTGCGAGAAAACTCATAAAAACCGTTTCAAAACATTTAAATTATAATATTTCAAAAGAATACTATATTAATATAGCGACAAGGTGAGTGAATGACATCGACATTGTCAAAGCGGCGGAAGCTAGGTTGGTTGGCAAGATTAGGGGTGTCGCGAACCGGTCAAGGTTCAAGTTCAACCAGGTTCGACTTTTTCTAACTTCTTGTGAAAAGTTCGACAAAGGTTCGACTGCTATGCGCATGTGCGACAGGCTTGCTAGTTGGCTTCGGATTGGATGGTAATGGCTAAGGGATGAATTAAGGGCAACACTGATTGGTTATTTCAGTTAATACAGTACAAAAAAATAAGTTATTAACTTCTTCAGTGATCAGAATTAGTTTCTTTTAATTGCAACGGTTCACAAAATTAAAATAATCCTTTGCATAAAAAAAATTTCTCCAAACCTAGACATGCTTGTATCAAGGTCTGGCCACGCTGTCCATAAAGTCGAACCGGTCGAACCTGGTTAAAAGTTTGAAGGTTCGTCAAACCGGTTCGATCCAGTCAAACCAGTTCGACCCAGTCGAACCCTCGAAGTTGAGCCTAAAAATGTGGTTCGACAAAAGTTTGCGACACCCCTAGGCAAGATGGACTCTAATGACAGTGGGAAAAATCCAGTTTGGAAGTATTTCTCTAAATTTCCCTCTAAAAGCAGCCAAGCATTTTGAACGGCAAGTATTCTATATTCAATTCGAAAATATTTGTCCAAAATCACTATTCGCTTCGAATTCGATTCAAACTCAAAATCCACTATACGTACAACCCTAATATTAATTATATTATAAATGTTATAATACATAAAAAAGAGAGTATGTGACTCATGGAGGGACAAGCCTTGAAGAACAGAAGGAACTTAGGTCGTTGGAAGAACAGAACAACCAGAGGAGGAGTGTGCAAACACACAATGTTACCAGTTTAAAAAATAATTTTAAAAAATTGAAGTGGACGCAGGAATTCAAAGGCGTAACCTTTGTTCTCAAAACAACTATGGCACTTCTATCGCGAGATTGGTTGCATGAATACCTTGAGTGTGCTGCGCATTCTCGTCACGAAACAGGATCTACAGTTAAAGAGGGAATTTAGTAAAGTGAGAGATGAGAGGCCAGTGTAAGAGGTTTCATAATAGATCTACCACCAAACAGATATTTGGTCGATTATTAAAAATCAAAGGTAGCCTTTTTGAAGATAAAGTAAGTAGGCAGGCGAGCTGGTTGATGTTACACATTTTTGAAAACCGGAGACGACGGACGAAGAAGGCCTGCGGTTTCACCTACGTGGGGCAGACAAAAAGGTGCTTGAATGAGAGACTGCTTGAACACATGAGGGCAGTTAAGATCGGGTCTTCAAACTCTGAGATTGCTAAACACGTACAGGAGTGCAATAATTGTCTGCCGGTGTGGGGGTCTACTGTTGTTTTAAGCAAAGAAAAAGATTGCGCAAAAAGAGTTTTGAAAGAGACAATTAGAATCACGACTGTAGGAAACTGTATCAGTCAGCCGTCAATCGCATTAGACGAAGCGACCCGAAAATTTTTGCTGTTGTAATTTTTTTTTTTTTTTTTTGTGTTTTAATGCGGCGTGCTTGTGCGTGATACGAGATGCGAGTTAGGCCTTGCAGCTTGTGTGAAGGTGTGTGCGTTGGATCTGACCTTCGGGGGTTGCGACAATGAAGGGAGTTCGGAGATTTGAATTGTTATCAGACTAGACGAAGCCACCCAAAAAGTTTTGTGTTGTTATCAATTTTTTTTTTTTTTTTTTGCCGGTTAGGTTACGTGGGGTGTGAAGGTGTGGTTCCTTGGGTCCGACTTTAGCGGGTGTGATGATGGTGCTTGTATTGCAATGCTTTGTACAAACTAAGTGAGGTGATAAAAGAGAGAAAGAGAAAAAAAAAAAAAAAGGGTTAAGACGAGATGTACCCTGGCTAAAAGTTGCTGTGACGTGGGCAGTTCCGGAAGACGTGTGGGAGAGATGCTATATAAACGACTGTTCAAATAAAATTTAGTAGCTGCGTTTGAGACGTTTTGTGTGTTGTCCCCTTCTTCGTCCGTCGTCTCCGGTTTTCAAAAATGTGTAGCCTTTTTCTTCTTTGTAAAAACACTGGCAGCTGCTGGTCCCTTATTTTTGCTTTCTTTAGAGGATATTGCGGGAAACTGGAAACGAAGCCGGCAATTATATCTACCCCGTTTTGTCCAAAATCCACCAAACACAGTGAAAATGCACGCAACAGCCGGAACGTGCACAAAACGTGAATAGCCTAGAGTTGTGGAGTCACCCCAAAAATTGCCTGCCAGACCTCTCGTTTCAAACTCTCCTCTCTTTTCTCACATTTAGCTTTACAATGCTTTGGATCTGGTGTGGCAGACTCCGAAGAGTGGCTTATAAAGTGATTACAATGTAGACAAAATTACCTATTGCAAGAAAGTAATAATTGCTTTTTGGTTCATATAAGGAGAAAAAAAAAGTATTGTAATTCGAAAATAATGTCATTTTTTTAGTAATTTGTAATTGCAATTAATTAAAAGGTTAGGTTATGACCATGAACCAACTGGCCCAAATAGCCGCCTAGCTGCAATAATAAAATTTTCTTCTGTAGTATTTTTTATGTAATATAATACATTTCAGGTGTACCAGGCAGAGTAATTAGGAACGTAATTTAATTACAAAATATAAGTAGTCTGGCCACCCCTGACGTCCCATCCTTCTGTGAGCATTTCCGCCACTCAGCAGTTGTTTCACTTTATTTTATCACCTCCAGAGATGTGTGATGCGCTTGAAATAAAACCGAAAGTCCAGCTGCACTGCTACCCCACAGTTAACGGGACAGTTGCTTTGCTCCCGCCCTTGGCCACTTAAATTAACAAAAATGTCATTAAAAAAAAAAAGACCTTTCTCTTCATATTTGTTGGTTAGATTCACATATACTTCCCTGTCTTTATTTGATCAGAATGACCCGCAGCACCATAATTTCTTTCCTTTTTCTTTTTTTTCCCCCTGAGAATATGAGGAAAGTCCATAGAAACATTAAAAATTGTACAGAACGTCATCCCCCACCCATAAAAAAGAAGTAAAATAATACAGAATCAGTGGCGTAGCAACTTGTTTTTGAGTGAGAGGGCAAACCAGAAGCACTCCCTCCCTCCCTTCCTCCTCCCCCTCCCCCCCCTCCCTCCCTCCCTCCCTCCCTCTCTCTCTCTCTCCCTCCCTCCCTCCCTCCCTCCCTCCCTCCCTCCCTCCCTCCCTCCCTCCCTCCCTCCCCTCCCCTCCCCTCCTCCCCTCTCCTCCCCCCCCCCCCCCCCCCCCCCCCCCCAGGGCCAGGAGGCGGTGCTCTCGGCATCCCTTGGGCGCCGCCGGTCAGTGTTTGCCCTGCCCAGTGGCGGCTGTTTCAGGGGGGGGGGGGGGGGGGGGCAAGTGCCCCCTTGCCCCCCCCCCGGTTGGTACGCGCATGTACAGAATGACAAATCATGCATTGCCGGACACTCATTATCTGCCCAAACGTAGCGCTAGTGGTTCGAGCCAGGTACCAAAGTTTCACAACTAACCGTCGTAAGCGATTTCTTAAAATTTTTTATGGGAAAATGGTGATTGATGAAGCCAGTTTCAAAAAACGAGCCCCATTTTCTCATTGAAATTTTCAAAAAATCACTTAAAACTTTTGAATAAGGTAATGGTTAGTTCTGAAATTTAGGCACCTGGTTTGATGCCTAAGTTTCATCATCCATTAATGCGGTAGAAAAAAAAAACTGAAGTTTTTTAGGAGTGTATGTATGCTGCATTTGGTGATCGTTGATTGAGACAAGTTCTTTGTTTTACATGTTCACAAAAACAGGCGAGCCAGCTAGCTGCACCTTGGAAGCAAATGGCAGTCATACCTGTCATACTTTGCTAAACCAATTTTTGAGATTTTAATTTAGACCATAAAAGTTGTTCTGGGAACTTCTTATAAAGTTCGGTCACTGCAACAGTTCTCATGAACCACAGCAGATGAGTTGCATTAGATCTCTGCTGTCTCCATCATCATGACTATCAGTTTAAAAATGTTGAAGCTCATCCCCCAAGTCCCTAATTATTTTATGGTGCGTGTTGTCAAGGCCTGGAAAGAATACATAAACAACAATATTTTGCATCACATTAATTTTCCTTTCTTCTTTTTTTTTTTTTTTTTTTTTTTGCTTCGCATGTTAGACAAGCACAACTGACAGTACACATCCTAAAATGTGTCAAATCTGTATTACCTGTTTACGAAAACTTTTATACAAGGGGCCTAGGTTCGTATTCGTAACATGCGGTTCTAGTACCATTTTGATTATTCAGAAAATCATATAAATTCTGGTCATTCTTATTTTTGCACGCCTATCAAATTTGTCCAAAACAAAACAGGGACGCGCCAAGAGAAGTCATACATTGTTTCAAACGCGCGTAAAATAATATCCAAAAATCTTGGGCATCGAAGACCCCAGAGGAAATGGCCCTGGTGTCAATGAAGAGGACTGACACACGTCCACACGACCTTGAGAATCCGGAATTTTATACGAGGAAGTTCTTGACACCGGCAAAACGACACGGGCATGACGAAGTGATTTTTCGACCTCTCAACACCATTACATGGATCGACTCGCGTTCGGTAACAAAATGTAACCCCCTCCAAGTTTATTTATAATAAAAAAAAAAAAAGCACATAACAAAGTCTGCTCGAAATCAGAGATGCCCAAAAAGCTACAACCTAAAAATAAACACGCTCCCTCCCACATCACGGAGCGCTCAGTACGCTCGCTGATTATTTTCAAAGCTTTCTCTCCAAATAAACAAGCGCCGCGTGCTCCTCCATTGAAAGTCAAGTTAAAGGTCACGATCCCTAAGTCACGACCGTGAGTTTGGCGAATTTATGATAGAAATCGAGGGTAATGGGGTGCTGAAATCTGACAACTCACCTAAAAACAGCGGTGTGAGAGACTTGGCCAGGCCCCGTGAAAGATCGTAAATGTATAGCTGAACCTCAAAGCTCGTCTCAGCTTGGACGTTGGAAGAGTTTTCGATGTCTTCTAAATCCATATTTGCGTCGATCTCTAATCTCGATTAGGTTTGTTGTTTTTCCTCAGGCAATGCGAACTCTACAAAAGCGTCTGATCATGTCAGGAGCGGAACGCCATGAAGCACCAGCGACTGAATAGTACCGTAGTACCCACACTGTCCCCATTGACATTATGGCGCTGGTAGATATATCGAATAAAAATTAAAAAGCGAAATATGGACTTGCCGATGATTCACCAGATGTTAAAGCGCAGTATAATTGAGTTCCTATAGAAACAATTACTTTATAAATTGTTTACGCACATTGGAGTAGACCAGACAAACAAAAATAAAACACTTCGCTCAAATTTAGCCTCGCGTATAAGCCGCACCATTACGTTTTGGAAAGTTGCGTTTTTTTGTTTTGTTGTATTTCATCAATTATCAAAATTTAAAATTAGGGGTGTGCGAATGCTAATATTTTCGAATACGAATCGAATACGAATAGTTAGCTTCGAATATGTTATCGAAGGTTGAATAGTCGAAGGCACGGTGCATTTATTCACAGCATTTTTATCTTCACATGTCTTTTTTTTCTTTTAAATATTTTTATTTTTGAATTGCAGATTTGATTTTTCTGCATGACAACTTGTGATCTTCCCTACACCTAGTATTTTCGTTTTTGTATTTTATTCTCGTTCACACCAGTGCCTCACTGGTGGTAACGAGGATAAAAACACAAAAACGAAAATACTAGGTGTAAGGAAGGTCACAAGTTGTCATGCAGAGAAATCAACTGCTGCACATGGTCAGGTAGGAGGTGCTCCCTCCAAATAAAAACTACGCCTCCAACCGCAAAAAAAAAAAAAAAAAAAAAACTTTTTTATTTGGCACTGATGTATTGCCCAGTATTTGGTGCAAAGCTTCGCCAGACTTTGATATCTTAAACACCGACGTACACTTCGCGCTTTCCACTTTTGCCCGCCTCCTCCTTTTCTATATCCTCTCCACGTTTTACCTTGCCCCACCTGGGTCTCCTCGCAGCTTAGGAAAGGGGGAGCGGTAAGAGGATTATCTTCCTTGCAGAAAACCGAGGTTGTACGTCAGCCTTTAACAAGAAGGTTAGACCTCCTCGTTAAAGGCCGACAGTTCCCCATCACCGACAAGGGTGAACACCGCGGACCGTCCACCGCTCCGTGCTATCAGCGCCATGACGTGGCTGCCACGGCAGTCGCGTCATGGCGCTAATAGCACGAAGCGGTCGACAACCCGGCGTTCACCTTCGTATCGCGCACGACTGTATGTATTCAGAAGCATCTTTCCACTCTAATGAATCAAGTCCATCGATGTCACAGTCTAGCAAGCTCCACAGTGACTGTTTTTTTTTTAGTTCCAGAAGGAGAAACAACATTAGGTATTGGCTATTCCATCTCGTCTCCCCGTCTTGCACCAGACGTAGTGTGTCCTTTCCCATTTTCTTTTGGCACTCCTCAAACCTTTTCTAGGCTGATGAACTGTACTTGTGATGTTCCACAATATGCCTCACTTTCTTGCACAGGCGATCAATGGCCGGCGAACGGGATCTCGCGTCATTAATCGCCAGTTGATGCGTATGCATGAAGCACGCTCTTTCAGTCCACGGAAGTCTCCTTACAGCAGCACGGATGTTGCACCCATTATACGTTATGATGAACTTCGCACATTCATTGGGTGTCTCCCAGTCACGGCACATTTCTTCCAGCATAGTTGCAATGTTCACAGCACTGTGACTGGCAGCCGTGTGTCGAGTGTTCAATGTGAATTGCTTCATCATAAATTTTGGAGTGAGAAGGTGGCAGGTGAAGCTCACGTAACTTTCGTTAGCGCGCAATGCCCACATGTCACTTGTGAAGCCAACAGCGGTAGTGCCACCTTCAAAGGCACTGTTGAGCTCTGCTTTCACCTTCTCACGCCATACATCAGTGGCACAGGCACGCGCGAGAGTGTAGAGCGGGATGGCAGGCGATAGTTGGGAACGGCTTCTGTCAGAAGTTCTCTGAAGCCGCGGTCTTCCACAATGCTGCAAGGCTGTAAATCAAGCGCCACCATGGCGGCCTCCTTGTTATTTGGCGCTTGCACCCTCTTTTCTGGCACGGGCTCCGCGCGGCGCACGAAGTCCGTCGGCATCGGATGATATTTTCCTGGCGTACCAGCGGTAATCTCACGACACTCTTTCAACAACGCTGGATGTACTTTGAGATGGTTGACAAGGGGCGTTGTCGTACCTGTGGGTGCTTTAAGCATTGACTCGCATGCAGTACATTTCACCATTGATGCCGTCACCCTCGCAAAATATTTCCCAATAGCGCCCCTCTCTTCGTTTTTGTGTCGTTTTCCGCTCGTTTCTCCGCTTCGCAGACAATTCCCCGCAAACACCTCCATCCGCCATAACACGGGTGGGCGACCGCGAAAGTGAGCAGTTTAAAAAAGTCAGGAGTCGCAAGGGAACAGAAACTCGCAGCTTACCGCTACCGACACCGAGCCACCAGTTTAGGTTGAAGCTGCCATGCAGCTATGTCACTGTCCCCCCCCCCCCCCCTCCCCCCAATGGGCTTTACTTAGTGAAACTGAAGACGAAAGCAAAACTTTCGCTTGTGAAAACGATCTCGAATATTCGATTGATTTCGAATATTCGTGTTGCGACGAATATTCAAAAATTACCAAAGATTTAGTTTACGAATCGAATACAAAAAATGAATTTATAATATTCAATTCATATTCGAAATTTTGAATATTCGCCCACCCCTATTTAAAATACAGACAAACCCGTTTAAAACGAACAGCAGGAAACACTACGATCAGTTCGATATAGCAAGTAGTTCGATATAGCAGAAACCATTTACGACGAACTTCCACGATGAGCTCATTCTAAGGCAAGAACCTCTCTTTCTTTCACATCTCTTGACTTCCGCCTTGTAACAACTCGCTAAAACATTTTTTGTGTTTTTTTTTGTGCAGAGTTTATTTCTTTTAGCTCCTCCTTTTGAATTCCTTTTCTTCGTGGGCAAATGCTTTGGGGTTTTTTTTTTTTTTTGTGTGTGTGTGCAGAATGTATTTTTTAGCTTTCTCCCCTTCTGAATTGCTTCTCTTCGTTCAACTATGTTCGCAACTTGAGCTTTTTGAATTTTCTTTCTTTCCTACGGTACTTCTTTTTTGGGGGAAGGGACAGGCTAGAAGACGATTGTTTGCGCGTTTTCGGAAACTTTCCCGGGGGAAAAAGTTTGACATAGCCAATATGTTGTTCGTTATAAAACATACTTTTTACATCCATTTTTATTCACCTAAATTTTCCTTAAGTTCGATATCGACAATAATTCGCTGTACGTGGGTTTGTTCTAAACGGATTTCACTGTATAACGCGTTATTGGATTTTAATAGTCCCACGTGATCGCCCGCTCATTTCTAAGCACTATCCTGGTGGCACATCTTTCATTATCAATGTCAGAGTTGGGTCAAATCTTTGTTTTTGTAACGCCAATCTATCGATAAAATAAGCTGTAATGTATTGATACATCATTAATTGCCAGGTTCAATGACACAAGCTGATCTTGAAAAAGACACCTCGAAGACATGGTCATAAAGGTTTTGAAATAATGTTTATTCGCTGCTAGTTCACGCACAGAGGCAACAATATGTACAATGTCTATGCAGTGGACAGCGAATGCCTAGGAGGAAAGAAATCTCGCATTCGATTAAGAGGTCGGAATAAAAGTATGCCTTTGCAGACTAGTGGCTCAAACTAAACCAACGGCAAAAGTATTGCAACACTTATATTGTACACCGCTAATGCAACAACTCTGAAACAAGCTAGACCAATAACCCTGACCTAACTCTTGGAAGTACCACGGACAATCGAAGGGTAAGGCAACAGAATGTTTTACCAGGAAATAATACCGTAATATCCCAAGATAGCCCACCTAAAATCAAGGGCGAATTGGGTAAAAATAAGGAGTAGGCTAACTTTCGATGTGCAACCAAAACAAGTTGAAAAAACACTATTTTTAGATCATGTTTTCCTGCCAAACTCGTTATCGCGGCGAGGGACAGTGAAGCAGAGATGACAGCACAATTTCCAGTCGGCAATGTCCACTTATATCCCGCCATAGCAACCTTGCCGCATTTACGTCGAGGTCATCATTGATCCGGCCACTATAATTACTAGGAGTGGGCTATCTTTCGGTGTTTAAAAGAAAATAGCAAATCAAGCTAAAAATAGGGGTAAGTTATCTTTTGGGGCTGGGGCATCTCTCGGGACATTACGGTAATTAAAGCATTGTGACAAACACGAGAAATCAAAGTACTCAAAGTTAGTATTACGTTCCTAAAGGCATAGCACGGAATTGCAACCACACCGAAGTTCTAGTACGATGTTCAAGACAATGCTCGAGCATTTTTCTAGGATGAATTCGGTTATGGTTCAACTTGAGCTGTTGTGACAATGCACCGAATTCCAATAAAGTGCTACTAGTATATGCCTTGCAGCCAATCAGCCAGCCAGTTTCTTTTTTTTTTTTTTTGCTTTTAACTGTTTTGCATTACACTCACAAGTAAACGTGCCCAGAGTGCGTGCTGCTATGTGCATTTAATGCTGAACAGTGCAGCATTAAATGGAAAGTATGTTTAACCCTTTGAGTGCCATGCCCCAGGATGTAGTTTGCTCCCTGGCCCTCTCAACTAATTTGCAATATTCTTTTTCTTTTTAATGTGTAGTGGCATGTGTGAGCAAGCGATAAAAGCACTCTCCTATTTGTGGTGCCACTTTTTGGTAGCATGTCATTGTTTTGTTTAGGCAAGTTCTATTTCAGTATGCTCCTTCGTTGTTACAGAACGAGGAATCCATGACGGTCAACCTTGCTCTTCAAGCCAAACATCGAGATCTAGAAATTACTAACAAATTTGATATTTGACAACCATCAAAAACAAAGAAGTTACAGTGTCGAATAAACAAAAGGCCGTGAAGGCCACCCAAAAGAGTGACCTCGGGGTGCGAGGTCAAGGTGCCTCTACAACAGCTAAAAAGTTACAATACGAGAAATGTGTCCTGGGTTGGAGGCATGCAGACGTCAAAAAACTTTTTCTTTTTTTTTTTTGCCCCTAAAAGTGTCTTTTATACAAATAAACAGCCTTCACAGAGCACGCTGCAGTGTTACTGAGACCGAAATGTCCGTTCAGCACGAGAAAAAAAACCCCAAAAAGTTGGCACTCAAAGGGTTAATGGCATGGCGAGTCATAAAGCAGCAATGAAAACAATTTTCGAAAACATACTGAGCCACCTTACTTTTCGAACATCCCGGACGGGACTGACAAGATAAAACGGGTCGTGGTGATACGGCCAACTTTACGCAACCCCCATAAGCGCGACTGCACGGTAAACCGGCTCCTGCCTGGGACAGTCGACGACACCGAAAACATTTTTAAGAGAAATCAGAAAGTCAAGTGATCCAGAAAACTAGAAATAACAATCAAGCAACGGTAAATAAGTATGCTATTGCCGTGGAGCAGTCTATCGTTCTTAATAATGCCGCCACTATGGCACTGCTAAAAGATATTACACACATATCACAGCAAACAAAGGGTGCATAAAATATTGCAAACACTCCCTCAAGCAATCCACAGCATCACTTCGGAATGCCTGGGTAAACACGGGCACACAAAATATAAAATAATTTCCTCGAGATAACAAGGTGTATAAAGGCATCAAAAGCGACTGTGAGAAAAGAGACAACAAAAAGATAAGCATAAACTAGAGAAAAACCCACCTCCCCAAAAACAAAAATGGAAACGGCATCAATGAACACCAAAGTGAACAATGCAAGAATAGACAAGTCGACAACAAGACTAGAAGTGTATTGAATTTCCTTGCAAGTGTAGTGCCTCTTTTGAGATCATTTAAATTAAATATTAGGTCTCAGTAACTTCCATTTGAACATACTCAAAACCTGCAAGCAACCGTATCATTCTGGTGCCCTTAGAGATACTTCTGTGGAGCTTTCTTTCGCAAACTTTACCCATCACACAGAATGCTTATTTGCAGTGCAACAAGTCAATGCAGAGAAGTACATATGCGTAACGTGGGGAAGCTGCAAATGGCATTAAAGTATAATCAAATGGCTTGCGACTGTAGAGGTATGCAAAGCGAGGGAGTTTAAAATGGCACTAAAGCACAGTCAGAGAGCTTGTGATAGCACAGCCATGAAATTTCCTTGCTTCGATTTGACAGTGCTATCTTCGCGATACACTGTGTTTGTGGGTCATTTATGATGATTTAAACTAGGGAAGGAGCTATAAATTCAAATTACTAACTCATAATGCACAACTCCTTTTCTGACTAGGCTAGGAAGAGCTTTCAAGCCTTTTTCTTCCTCCATTTATATTTTTGCAGACTTTTAATACCTAAAAAATAGACAAATTCTGCCGCATTGTAAACTCGAGCACAGCGCTCAACACACGGAAACGTTGACTCGTGATGTACGGGCCCGAACAAAAACTGTCCAGGCACCCTACAAGTGCCGTGACCATTTTCACATTGCAGAGTAGCACGTCATATGGCGGCAGAGTGAGGCACATTGAAGTAGTCGTAGCCTTCCAATTTCCGTCGATACGAGCATGACCATTTTTGTTTGCAGGTGACCGAACAGCTCAAGGTGCATCCCACTTAAAAAAACTTTGCCAGCAAAAAAAAAAAAAAAAAAAGAGGCAGAACATACGCACAACAATAAAAGCAAACCACACACACAAACATCTATACGGTACAATACCGACAATTTAAGACACTAGGTAAAAACTGTCACCCATCCGGCCCCGCGTAAGAGGTTCGGCTGGTCGGTTCACAGTCGTCGCAATGACGGAACCCGCCTAGTTCCAAAAACTGCGGAGAGACTAGGTAACACGATGAGACGCTTATGCCTGCACAATAAAAAAGGAGTTGAAGAAGAAGAAGAGGCTGACCTGCCAAAGTTAGCTGCCTGGAAGCTGCACAAGCTCATTCATCCTTACGATTTATGGTGACACAGGTACTACTACAACGTCACACGCTCCGAGCGATAGGTGCCATCAGATCCGATGCTCAGACAGGGTTAGACATTCAAAATGAAACCCGGTTTATCCGCCCGCAGAAATAAACTACTACGCATCGCAGAAAGCTGGAACTACGCGAGATTGTGGTGCTAGCGGTAGAGATCAAATGCTAAAGCACATGATGTTACCTAAATCGAAAGATACAAAAGAAAAAAAATTTCTCTACGAGCCGACGTCCACTAGGCCCGATTAATATTCAGCATCAAACCGAAATTTGAAATCGCAGGGTCCCGTAGCAATTATTTCAGAGAAAAAAGCGTGCCAGTTAGAAGGATGACATTGTTTTCGTTCTTACCGACAAGTTCTTTGACTAAAATAAATCCTACAGGCACCCACAATTTCAAATTTCAGTTTGATGAATACTAGGCTTAGGTGGACGTCAGCTCGCCGAGAGATTGTTTTTCTTTTCTATCTTTTTATCCAGGTAACGTCATTGCTCAAACTTTTCCATTCTATGACCACCGCTAGCGTCACATTCTCACAGAGTTTCAGCCTACTGCGACGCAAAGTTTATTTATGCGGGATGAAAAACCGAGTTTCCTTCTCTCTACATAACCCTGCAGTTCTCGCCTTGACAACTGCTCTCGGTGGCGATGGCACAGCGCTTTGTACCTTGAGAGTTTAAAATGAATCTCGGCGTAGTCTACCGTTTGCAATGCCTGCGCCTTAGGAAAGAGAACAGACAAATAAAGCAGGTAACAGCCACTCAGAAGACACTATCATACTCGCTCAACGAATAGCGGCAGTCTGGTCTCCCAACGTTGGAACACAAAGAAAACATTTAGGAAGGAGCTCTTCACCTCAACCACACAGCCAAACAGACAAATCCCTTTCCGACACCAGCCAAGCCTTCTGCGAGAAAGTGACGCAGAGAGACGCTTTCCCGCAGTGCGCCACAATACCACGGGGAAAGCGACAGGGCAGGATACTTTTCCCTATTGCACCTGTGTGCTGCAGAGAAACCACGGAGCAAAGAGCACCACGGACGCATTTGCTTGATCGAATGCGTAACTAAAACGAAGGAAGCTGGCTCGCTCAAACAGTGGCTATACCCTGACAGGACACGTGCTTTCAAGGACGTCTTCAGGATGTCGTTTCATTCCCCCGAACGTCACCGGGACATTTATGGGACCATGCTGTCCGTCCGTATGGTAGACTATGTATGTCAACACCACTCAACGCATTGCAGGTAGAAGTGCGGCCGGGTTAAGGAAGGAAGGGCGGTAATGGTCCCGAGGAATATTAAATGAAGAATCGTAGAGACATGGCTGTTAAGAACTGTCCTTAATCATTGTGTCCTCTGCAGTGCATGTATCCTTCTGTCCTTGCAATAAATCTTGGTTCCAAACGTTACGCGTTTCGTGTGCAAAAGGAGAGGTTGATTTCAGAATTCCCAACATGATAGGGTCTTGGGGTGATGAGAGATTAAGAGATAACTCCAGAGCACAACAGCACTAGTAAGTGATCTTTCGAACCTTTAAAGTGACGGGGTACGTGGTGCTTTCGGAAATGCTAAATCGTCGTCGCCGACGCTAGCGCACGCCCTCGAACAGACTGAAATGGTGCTATCACAACTGTTCTCAAGCGGCTCTGTTCTCCCTTGCACATGTAGAGTTCTATATAAAACTTCCAAAAGGCATGTTCACACACACACACAGAGACAAACAATGTATTGTCGTGCTATAAGACGGAGAAACGCGTTGTAACGAGTGCTTTGAACACTGCGAGTGCAAAAACAACAACACCTGCTGCCCCACTGGCTTTGCAAGTTAACTAGGACACGTCAAGGTCAAGTTACACATCAAACAAGCCGTCCCCCGCAAGGAGACGTGTTTTGGGCATTTTAGTTTGACGCTTTTCGCGGGGCTCCTGCTTAGCTTCGTGCTTGCTCTCTAAGATGTTCTCATCTCCAAATTGAAGTTTAGCAAAGCTTTCCACTGGGCTGCGGAAATAAAAAAACAGAACAAAAAAACTTCCTCTAGTACACAGTTTAGTTATGTGATGCATGTGTAATGTAAATATGTAACATTTAGTGGCTGTACACCAACCTCATGTAAAGCAAGTTACAGTCCTTGCAAATGTGCCCCTGATAATGTGCGACCCTTAATATATCTTTTTTCCCCTCAATGACAAATATCAGGCCTTCGGAAATGCAGTCGGAGTGGGTGATGTGGCCCGATACGTTCCAGGCAGGCTGCCCACTTCATACTGCTGGGAAAACATCAACCTTTCTGTCCTTCAATTAAATGAGGATAAAATAAAACCCAAGTAAATAGAGCTCTCATCAGCACTTCCTAAAGATGTGTCGTTGTCATTGTGCCGGTCAGCAAACTATTTTCTTGGAGTGTCTCAAGTTATCTAAATTGATCTAAAATGCGGCAGGTCGTTGAAAGTCGCCTATCATCGTGACCTTGAACAGCTAGCTTGATCATGGCTGCTCTAAGGCCATCTCTGAATTAAAAGCAGCAGCTCTCAAAGCTCGTGATTGTTTCTGAAACCAACGCAACATCCAAATTACCTCGTAGCAAGCCCGCCTATTCAGGGGGTTCTAGGAACAGAGCTTCCCAAGTTGTTGACCTTTGTCAAGCTAACCACAAAAATAGTTTCAGAGTTAAGACTGCCTCAAACCGAGGAACCCGATCCGAGGTACTCAATTCCTAAGACACCCTAAAATTGACCTCGAAATGTCGCACAAAGGTTTAAAACTCAACACGAGGCCTTACACCCAAGACCAGAAAGTCGGGCCTCGCGACCCCAGTCACGAATCCGCCGACAAACTTGCCCACAAGCGAATGCACTCAACGACGACCTCAACGCCATGAGCGACCAACAAGAACCGTCCTTCGTTGCAGGGCAAAATCTCGAACCCAAGTTCTCACAAGTCGACACTAGACAACGGCGACAAATTTGCTCGCGACCCATCTCTCCGGAAGGTGGCTCTGTCGAGTGCCTTTACCGCGAGAGAGCAAAAGGCAGAGGCGACCATTGGCAATGAGACGTTTCGGTGGCTCTCTCGCACGACTCCTAACCGGGACGTCATGACCGGGATCATTGACTGCCAGCGACAGTCTCGATAGTGTGCGTAGAAAGCGCGGTGGAAGCTTGTTAATCGTCGCGTCCTTACGCCGACACTGTCAAAATTGGCAGTCCGATGTCCGTCTCATTTCCATCCGTAAAAGTAGGATTTATCATACTCAAGACGCCGCGGTGAGCATTTGATGAACCCGTGGAGGTAATCGCGAGAGAGAGAGAGACACCTAGAATATCTCTCTCCGACGCAGAAACCTGCGATGCGAGAGGCAGCCGCATTCAAACAAAAGGCAACTCGCTACGACCGCTGGTTTCAGCTCGGGCCGTGACTCGCGCTGCAGCACAATGCAGGCTCTCAGGCGAAGAAGAAGTTGAGAGCCCGGTTGACGTCGTAGTCGGCGGCCAGGGACACTTGCACGAGGGCCTCCCGGGGGACAGCCTCGCCGACGACGTCGCGGAGTTGTTCCACGCACACCTCGAGTTGTGCCGAGTCGTGGGTCAGGGGCAGCTCTTCCAAGGAGTTCCAGCTGCTGGACTGAGCCGCGCCTCGCTCGCCCTGCGTTGTCAACGCCGACCGGTCCATCGATCAGTCGGTCGATCGATTAACCAATATGGTTATTCGTGTTATTGGGCAATGGAAAGGGCTGCTCGTCCTTCGTCCGTGTTGTCAATAACAGGCAGCCGATCAATCAATTGACCAATGTGTGTGGTTAGTGCCGGAGTGAGCCACACCTTTCACTCTGTGTTGTCTGGTCAATAGGTCAATCAATTAACTAACATGCTTTACCTCCTGTGCCCTGTGTTGTTGATGCTATCCAGCCAATCAATCAATTGACAATATGGCCATTAGTGCTGCAGTAGACTGTACATCTCACCCTGTGTTGTCAATGCTAACCAGTCAATTGATTAATCAATCAAGGTGTGTACTCTTCAATTAGTGTTAAAATTGGCTCTACCGCCTTTACCCCATGTTGCCAATCAATCAATCAATCAACCAATATGCCTATAGGCCCAATGTTGGGCCATACCCCTCAGTTCATATTGTCTAGTCAATTAATCAGTCAATTAACTAGCACATTTACTTTTCTATTAGTGTTCACATATGCCACCCCTCCTTTGCCCTACGCCGTTGATGTGAGGCAGTCAATTAATCAATATGCTGACTAGTGCAAGTGGGCCTCATCTCTCTCTGCAATGTCCACTCCTTTGGTTCTCAAATGGGGGTCTAAGAAACCTTTGGGGTTGCTAAGCCCTGCCTCATCAGTCAAGCACCAGCAATAAAAGTTGTCTTTTTTTTTTTTTTTCAGATTGAGAAGAAACTAATTTTCGCGCGAGTTTTCTCGTGTATCTGTCGATGGGTAAAGTCTACTTCATATTAGCCCTTAGTTATATGCATTTATTAAATCATTATCATAATTAACCTATACCTTACCCTTAACCTCACCACGAACAGGGTCCTGCATCATCGCCGATTCACAAGAAATTTCCGAAACATCAACATCAATGGTCGAGAACCACTGGTCTACTCAATAAACCCATTAACCGATACGCCCATTTGTCTAATAGTGCTTTATCGGGTCGCACCGCCTTCACCACATGATGCCAATACGTCTAATCAATCAACCAGTATGTCTAGTTGTGCTTGGAGTGGCCTGCAACTCCTTTGCCCTAATACTATGTGCAAGCGCACTCACTCAACGCCTAACAGGTGACAAGGCCATAGTGCACGACATATTTTTTATGTTGCCTACCAGGCGCAGATTGGACGCGGGTACTGCGTCATCTATCAGCCGAATCCTGTGTCCAATTGGCAGTGCTGGGTAAAGTACATCCACAAAGTGCTCAAAGTAACTTACAAAGTAAACGAGAGGTTATGTACCGGTATTTCAACTAAAATAGTAAGTACACCAGGTGCAATGTACTTGATGTAAAGTACAATAAATAGAATGTACTTTCAGAGTACAATGCAAGTACTTTTTAACACAATTTTAATAGTGCCCTTTCATTCAGTGTTTATTTAACTCGTATGCATTGCCCCAGGGGTAATCGGGGGTGCATCAGTTGTTTTCGGAAATGGCGGCGAATACTGGATAAAGTCAAGTGGCCACAGAGTAGTAGTTGTGTTACTCTCGCTGACAAACTATTTAACACAATCAACCTATAAGGCATGTATTTGTAGTGGTCTTATAGCCGCCATTACTCCACTTACAGAACCGACCAAATGACATCTTGGAAGACGGTAACGCATATTCCCACAACGATGCGCCAGTTTTTGTTAGAGGTTGGTGAATCTTTATGCTGGACCTCAGGAGTTGTGTATACACGTTTGCAAGTCCGGCTTCAGGGCGCTGCCATCTTGCCTGTCTGGGGTGCGCTTGGACCAGTCATAATCCGATTACGAAGCCTTGCTAAGGCGTCGTAATCGGATTATGGCCGCTCCCGAGAGCGCACCCCACTGAGGAAGATGGCGGCGCCCTGAGACCGGACTTGCAAACGTGTATAGTAGTGGGAAAGTCAAGGACGCGAGCATGTGGTCCTTGAAAAGAGGCTAATTTCACCGAGACAAAACATGGGTAATGTACATTGAAGTTGAGTTATTCTTTCTTTGGAAAGTACCAGAAAAAATACTTTATGCAAAGTACAAGTACACACTCAGAGAATGCACCTCAAATAAAGTACAAGTTTTCTAAACCTACTCCAAGTAGTACTTTAAGCACAACATACTTGAGGTACTTCCCAACACTGCCAATCGGTAAGGACACAAGTTGCAGCCAATTGCTGATGCAGCACTCGTGCAACACTCTTCCGTTACGAAAATACTAAACAGGAGGGCTAGGAGCCAGCCACGCGAACAGACTCTGCGTCGAAACATAAAGCGTCGCACGACGCGGCTCGTGAGGTCGCTCACGTGTCCGTTGCCGGTCAGCTCCTTGCCCGAGATGTTGAGTGCCGAGGCAAACTCGTCCATGTCGAGCAGGCTGGAAGACGCCGAGCCGGGGCTGGTGACCTCAAACGGCCGGCCAAAAGGGGCAGTGTCCTCCGCCCTCTGGGAACTCCTGCGGAAGTGTGGGCCGTCTATTCGGTCAAAACGTGGGTTCTCAAGCCGGATTCCAAGGAGTAACTCATGGGCAGTAATGGATTTAGAAGGGGGAGTCAGGATGTGACACCCTCCCCTTAAATTCCGAATTTGTAAAAATTTAAGGGAGGGGAAAGGGGGAGGGGCAGGTTTTTTCAATCATCTACAACATATGACTCGGCAAACTAAAGAGAAAAGTGATTCTTTCTTAAGGGGAAGCTTTCTAATGTGGAATAAGTTTCTCCATGAAGAATGATTTGGGAGAAAAAGCTACCCACTTTTCTATGAGTAGCAATTTTTTTCCCATGGAAAGTAATGCTTCCCCATGAGAAAGCAGATTTCACACAACACATATGCCACTTGGCAAATAAAAGAGAGAAGTGCCTCGAACCTGAGCTCAAACCAGGTGATAGTCTCCATGATCTCCGTCTGCAGGTCCTTGGGCAACTCGAAGTAGCCCTCACTCTTCACAACGTCTTTGTTGATGGCCACAAACTCCAGAACTGAGTTCTGCACACGTCGGAAAACGGACCAGAAACACGTTTCAGTGAAACCCAATGCACGGGAAACAAGAGCGTACACCACAAACTAGAACAGAGCACCGTATTTCCCGGAGTGTATAGTATACCGTAATATCCCGAGTCATCGCCCACCCCCCAACCGCCTGAAATTCGTTAAAAAAGTGGGGTGGGCCATGTCTCGGTGGGTGAGCACAAACACTTGAAAAAAAGCGGAAAAAAACGCCTATTTTTTTCTGCGTATCTAGCGCTGATGCACAAGAGATACATCAAACTCAAAACTCGATTTAGTTTCATTGTTTTATAGAAAAAAATGCTCACGAAAGAATATTTTACTATAGCGAAGTCCGTTGCTTGCATACGCGCTAGAAACACCGCCGATCTGCATATAGCACGAAAGTTTGTTCCGTGAAAGAATGTCACCATTATGTTCTCCTAGTTAGTAAAAAAAAGAAAGAAAAGTCCACAAGAAAATAGAAAAACCGACCAGGCGCAACGAGCGAGCCAGCGAGCGAGCGGTCCAAAGAAGCTACCAAGAGCAATGCTGGGAAAGCGTGAAAGCCGGCGGTTGCGTTGGCAAATACTTTGGCGTCGGGCCAAGTCGGGCGCCTTGTCAATTGCAAGCTCTTGCGCAACTTTCTTGTTTGGTGCGTACATACGTGCGTCCGTGCACGGCGGGCTATCAATGCATGGTTGGGACGCTCTGCAAACGTCTGTGTAGGATGTTCCAGCGACGCTTTATTTACGCTTTGGCTTTGCCTAAAATATTGCACAACCGTGGTCGCCACGGGCGGGAAGAAGGAGCGGGTTCGCGGTGACCTTACTTCGGCGGAGACAGACTTTGACCTAACACTCCGCGGCTACGTTAACAAACTCTTATTTTGTTATCTCCATCGTTTTCGTTTCGCACGGATACACGACCACTTTGGGGTCGCTCACGGAGGAAATGCGTAAACAAAAAGAAGTGTCTTTCCCTCCTTCGTTTTACTTTGTCACGGAGGTCCTCCAACTGTAAGGTCCGCAGCCGCCTCATTCGGGTAGGATGAGTGTTTGCGGATCGCAGAGTCCGCGCTGGGGTATTTGAAGGGGTGGGCGATGACTCGGTGTTTTTTCGGATATCGATATTGGCCCAAAAAATGGGGTGGGCGATGGCTCGGGGATGGGCGATGACTCGGGATATTATGGTAGGTTATGTCTAGGAAATAGATTGTATGGTGTTTATTTAGAAAGGAAATCAGTGAAAGCTAGTCAGTGTTTACTATTCATTTTTAATATATGGGTTTACTTGGATGACATACTTCGAAGGGACGAGAAAAACGGTGATAGTTGGTGAAAAAAAATCTAATAAAAAGCTAAGAGTTTTAGTCTAAGAGGCGATGGTTTCTACAAAAACAGTCCCAGCTGGAGCATAAGTTTCAAGAAACCGGTATCTTCCGGTTTAAATTGATTTTGTATTTTTTGACACTAACAAATGTTTATCAGTGTTTTTCAGTTTTAACAATTTCATGTTTTTACACCGAAGTATGTTTATCGGTATTTTTTTCGGTTAAAACCGAAAAGCTTATGGCCAAGCTATGTCAGACGTCAAAACTAAAAGGCGCAAGGCTTAACACCAGCATGTTGACGTATTTAAGCGGGAAAGTCAAATTAAGGTTCAAGCCCTGCTAAGGGGAGGCAAAAAAAAGAAGGTGAAGCAGTCACCCTGAGGTTTCGTGCATTCAGCTGATCAGCCAAATTCAACAGGAACAGCGCCGAGTCCTCGTCCAGGTGGTCTCTGAGCGCATCCTCTGATATCTGCTTCAGCATGTCCACCTGGGAGAAAAAAGAAAAGAAACACACTATTGAAGGCCAACACTTCGTCCCCAAATTTCGATGTGACAGATAACGTTATAAAAAATCACAAGACGCGGACAGAACAACAGAAAAAATGTGTGTGCTGATGAGAACAGTTCTGCCGTTGCTTTGGAAAGTCTACTCCAAGCAAAAATAGTCGGATACTGGCAGAAAGATGGTTGCATGGTTGCGACTAAAACATAGAGTAACAACACTTTTAGTAGGCATGTGCAAAGAGGGGATTTTGAGTTTGAAGGGAATAGTGGTTTTGGCCGAATATTTTCAAATCAAACTCGCATTTACCAGCTGCGGCGTTAAGAAGTTCAATGCCTACATTGGGATGGCAAGTAAACAACGGATTTGACATAAAATTAAACCTATTAAACCCAGCTACGACTTATCGAGGGAATTTATAAATCTTGCTACATGCAAATATTCTTCAATTTCAAATCTAAAAAAAAGTCAATAAAAAATGATGAACGCAGGTTGTCAGGGCATCCCTGCCTTACAAATACCCTTGCATAACAGCCCCAGTTTATTTTTAAAACTTTACAGCAATGTAGATGCCAACATTCCCAAATTTTTCGCTTCTTTCTACATCAGACACGTGCGTCACCCTTCCTACATTGAAAGTGCGCTTTTCACCGAAGCATGCAATCACAATATTTGTACTTTTCGAAACGTCGATCACGGTGGGTTAGCCCCGTGGGATGTGCTTCTTGCCGAGCACCGGTGTGCCGCGGAGAAGCAACACCCACGGAGCTTGCTTCCACGGGTTTTGCTTCTCAGCAGTGCACCGGTGCTCTCTAAAAAGCATGCTCCATGGGGCCAACTTGCTAAGATAAACACTTGAAAAAATATGAATATCGCAGTTCACCTCAAAGCAAACATCAAACAGCGTACTATTTGAAACTACAATTCAAAAATTGGAATGCTTGCACAACCTAGCTTCAGAGCCGTATATGTAGAGATTTCGTCAATGGGGAGGCGCGGGCAGAGCCAGGGCGTGCACCAGACTCGGAAAGAGGGCTTGGCATGCTCTCTTGACCAACCAGAAGCCGAAAAGAATCCCCTAGCGGTGGTAGCGAGAAACAGTTCTGATCAAAGGTCTATGTTCGTAAATGGTTTTAATAAGCGCGTAAGAGTGAAGTATAGTAACTATTCGTGGTTGAAAATAGGGTGCACGTGTTGTTTTGATCATGATCATGCAGAAAGATGTAAGAAACGAATGCGCCGCTCAACTCTGTTTTGCGCAAACAGAGTGTGACCGCTCGGACGGCCGATTCCCGACCCTCGGCGTTTGGCGTACGGATTATGTCGATCGTTCCGCTAGTCGCACTCTTCCACCATCATTTTGGATGAGCGTGATTGAAACATCACGTGTACCATATTTTCAGCCATCGAGAGTTACTCCAATGCAGTTATCAGGTTTGTTTCTCGCGACCACTGCCAGGGTATTATTTCCGGCTTCTGGTTGGTCACATTTGAATTCCTGAAGACGCCCTGGAACACGCCCAGCCCACTTTCGGCCAATGGCGCCTCCTCATTTGTCTCCTATATTTCCCAACGAATGGCCAAACTCTCTACATATACGGCTCTGCCTAGCCTATATTCCGTTTGCCCTAAAGCTAAGACCAGAAGCTCCGCTTTCAACCGAGCTCGCTGACTTCCGAAGTGTTTTGGTTGTGCGTGCCTGCACTTTCACACTTGTGTTAGCAAAGGCAGAAAGCTCGCGCTGAAACCAGACCTTCTAGCCTCAGCAAGGGTGAATGGAGTATAAAAATCATATCAAAACTTAAAATAGTCGTTGCCGGTCATCCGACACTTCATCCGACATTGCAGAAAATGCTTTTCCGTCCTCCGGAGGCATTTCAAGAAGTCACCGTCAAAGCGAAACGACATTGCCAGAGCTCACTTGCGCCGCATTTAGAGCTTGGGAAGTCGCACTTTCTAGTCCTAACTATTACCGGTTGTGCTTGCACCGGACCAGGCAACCAAGGCAAAGGCGCCCACGAGACAATCGGGGAACGAGGCGTAAATAGCGCTTACATTTGGTCTCGCAAATACCGTGAAACCTTCGCTCTAGTAAAATGCGGTTCCGGGGTTGCCTCGCAGAGGGCGCCAGCAAGCCGATGAGTCTTCTCGTCTTGAAAGACCACAACTCGGTCTAAGCAGACGCGAGTGGGTGAGCGGGCCTCGGGACGTTAGGAAGGTAAAGGCGAGAAGTTGGAACCAACCACGAACCTCATAACGGTCTCCGAGCTGCATGAGTTCCACCAGCTGTTCCGTGGCCAGAGTCCGCGAGTCCAGGCAGCCCCGGTAGAGGTACTCCAGGAAGAGCCGGAACACCTCGGGGTGAGTGTCGTGGACCACTATTTTCCTGCGGTGCGACGACGGACACTCGTGGAGTTAATATAATCATCCGGAGGAAAAGGTCCCACTCATCGCAACCGCTTCGAAAAGGTGGGGCATGGATGCGAATGTTGGTGTATTGCTGGCAACGTTTTTTTACACACGAAGAAGTGGAAAAAACGTTGCTTGCACGGCCTGGAACTAGCGTCTCTCTAGCCTTATTTGGCGTATCGTATAAGAATAAATAAAGCTGTCAAACGCTCAGACGACTTCAACTCGTCGCAGCAAAACGAACACGGCTAACCTACCGTCTGCTTTCTCTCTCCACCCTTCTGTCGTTGTCTTCTTGCTTCTTCCTCTGGAAGCTACCGATGTCAGTGCTTAAGATTTGCTGTGTTCTGCTTTCATCTTTATCCCCCCGCAGCCACCACCTCAAAAAGCACAATGAATTACTTTTAATTCAATGTATCTTAATCTTATAGATAGTCGGAGGCATAAAATCTGCAGCAGGACACAAATAGTTATCCACTTAAAAAAGTGAGTTGGTGTAATTACTACTTAAAGGGAAGCTACGGAGCTTCTTGAAAAAAATTAGAGGTGAATTCTAGTGTATTTGTGCCCCGTGAACCCGAATACCCAAACCATTTGCTGCACAAGTATTGTTGAACGCGAGAAACCGCGAAAGACAGCCGCTGTACGTGACGTCATCGACGGATCTTTTGGCTGCCCAAGGCTAGGGAGGCGGGGCTTCAGCCCTACTTTGAAATTGCTCTTATGGCTCTCCGGCGCATCACATTGAAACATAATTGTGAAATCTGTTATTCTAAAGGCCAAATGAACGCAATACAACTGTTTTTTCTCAAATGCAGAAGTGTCCCATCTTCCCTTTAATACTTGTTAACTAATTTAAAGTAAATAAATTAGTCTGAATTAAAGTATTTAAGTTTGAAATAGCTACATATATCAAATCAAATTAAATTAATGTTATTGATTAATTTAGCAATCAATTAAACTAATTTAAATACATTGAATAAATTAAGTTACATCAAATTCCATTAAACTGATTTAAACAAAATAATTAAATTGGTCTAATTAAATCAAATAAAGCACAATAAATTGGCATGACTCTCAATTAAATCATTGTTAATTAAAGGTGCGTTCACACTCTTGCAACCGAGTACGACCGAGAAAGACTTCTTGGGACCGGATGCACTGAGCGGAGCTGGTCCTAAGAGATTGCAAGAGGCTTAAAAACCGGTTTGGTCTCTCTCGGTCGCACTCGGTTGCAAGAGTGTGAACGGGCCTTAAGTTTACAGGCGTAAGTCGGCTAACTTAGCGGCCTTGGTACGGTTTTTGTGGCGCTCCTTCGTTATATTACACTGATTTCATGAAAACTGTCCCTGTAACACATTCTGTGTTAAAAATAAAACATTATTTTCATTACACCAGAAGCTCAAAAGCCTACATCACCATTACGAGCCTAACGTGACTTTTCTTAACTGCATTCATATTCATATCATGTATTCAAATATTTATAGTAAATTCAGCACTTTTTAAGCTCCACTAATTCAACACCCTTATTACAAAGTACCTCAGGTGCTTCTACCAATGTTACAAACTTAGCACAAGTGTTTTTTTACTAACGGAACAACATTACTTTTGTGAGACTTGTAACGCTGGTGATAACGCCACTTGAAGAGCCAACAGAGTAAATATACTAAAGTTTTTTCTTGAGGTAAACTGACATGGCTGCACATATAATACATTCTTCTGCACCTCACTTTCGTTTAATCCAGGGGTTAACCACCTTTTCGCTGCAGTGGACCAAACCGCCGCGAAACGGAGGCGGAGCGGGCCGCATAGGAAACAAGGGCCCGGGAGGGGGGGGGGTGATCAGCTTTTAAACATGAACGATATGACGCACAGTGAACTGCCTTGTCCTGTGCTGCACGCTGCATCTTGTGAGGCTCCCGGGGCCCAGCTTCCGCCTCCATAATTTTTAAGGTCACACAGTTCTTATTCCAACATCCAAAAATCAGGCACACTAAACTCCGTCAGTCCAATTGGTTTCTGTAATAATGGCGTACACGATTTAGGCTAAAATTCTGACCAGTCGCTTGGCCAGAATTTACATACTAAGCCTCCGTGTGTGATAGAAACTGTTCAAATTGGCAACGGTACAAAACCGTAATTTCGTACAGTTTATGCTGGACATGATGATCTTAATTATTGATTCTCAATGATTCACCTTGGTGCACAACAACTGCGGATAGGTGATACATACAGAGACAACTCCCTGGTGTGCTGTTGCAGAATTAATACGTCCGAGTACAAGGTTTGCACCCAACCATATTTCTTGCTCCATTAGTCCTTGAGAGTATGAGTATGAATGTATGTGTGGGGCTTTCTGGTAGCGTGCCAGGGGCCGTATCATATGACCTCGCGGGCCAAATCTGGCCCACGGGCTGCTGGTTGCTGACCCCTGGTTTAATCCAACTCCCGATTTCAGGGGGATGCTGTTACTGCCAATAGGAGGTGCCGGGGGCAACATTAGTGTTACTCTTCTTTTGGCTTTGCTGGGTCTCGCACCTCAGAGGGATGCGAGTAATTTCATTATCATCAATATTAATTTTATTAGTGGTAAAACTAGACCGCACTTTCCGTCACTTGCCTGTCAATGGATTCCCGCATGCCGCTTAGCAGCGCCTTCTTGAACCAGTTGCAGCGTGTTGCCACCACGACCCGATGGGCCTCGATTCGACGGTGCGACACTGTCAGTGCGTCGCCTCCGCTTTCTGGACTGGACTCGCCTCCGTAACCTTCAAGCAGGAATTTGAACGCATCAGATCATCAATCTATGGTAATCATAATAATCACAATCAATCATTCAATCAATCACTCAATCAATCAATGATGACAATGACCATCAATCAATCATAATTGTCACACTTAATCAATCAATTATAATCACAATCAATACATCTTAATAATAATCACAATCAACCAAGAATCATCATCATTAATTAATCATAATCACCATCAATCATCCAAATCAATCAATCACAATTTATGTACCTCTCCTCCAGAAGAGAAATGGCAAATGAAAACAGCTGACCTGCAGCTTTCTTTCAATTGAAACAAATGTTTTAAAAACAATGTTGCTGATTACACCCTGCAGCATTGTTTATATACAAATGACTGTTAAGGAACACTAGTAAAAAAGGATGATTTGCTTTTTGAACCTATTTAGGCAAGCGTTAATACTCTTGTACAAGTTACACATGTAATCTATAGCTCTATTAAATTCAATTTGAAAGTATATTCAAATGGCAAAATTGCATTCAATCTCCAAAGTCAATCAATATTCAAAAACATCTGGCCTAAAAACTGTACTACAATATCAGTTTTTTTTTCTTAGGGTTAGACAAGCACATGTCCAGTAAAACTGTGACAGCAAATGGAATAGGTGCATTCTCCATTCCGTACGTGCTACGAGAAGTGTACCATTATGATTTACACCTATTTTTTTTGTTGCAGATACCAACCACTTAGAGGTCGGTGGGTATGTCAGCCTCTAGACGTATTCCTTCTGAAGCGAAATGCTTTTGTACCACTGGTGTGGCAGTTTTTGCATGCCCTGCCGGGACCATTTTCTATGAGTGTGTCACTCCCACACCCAGACATCTGTATCCAGCTCACCAATGACCATAGAACAACATCCTTGCAGGGCTCTTTTAGTGGGCTCAAACGTGTCATAATCACAAGAGTTTGGATTGGGCTGTGCACATGCATGAACAACCGTTGGAAAGATGGCCAAACATGTACAACCAGGCACCAGCCAACCAAACATCACGTGCTTCATGCGAGACGGCGACTGGCCAGTGTGTGGTCAAGTTCCGCCCCTTTTCCTACCTCATTATGCCTCATTTTGTCGAAAAGTGGTTTCCGTCAGAACACATAGTACTTACGGGGGTGGAGACTGTACTTTGATGGGACTGAGATTGAAATTTGACGGGGACAACGGGGACAAGACCGTAAATTGAAAAGGTTGACCCTAGTTTGACAGAAGACACAAAATGCAACAAAATACGATCCGACCACCGCAGTACCGGGACTTCCGTCCCCAGAATCCGAAACCCAAACATTTACACGGGGGAAACAAAAAGCGCTACCGTGGCTCACCGGGGACGACGGGTGGCACAATCTCAAAGGACATGTCTGTGTCCTTGCCGTCCAGCAGCAACTGCAGACTGTCCTTGGCCAGCCGGCTATCCCTGGCCGGAGGCGGAACGCACAGGGATTCCAGCGATTCCGTCTGAAACGACAGGAGACGTCACCGCCATGTTTCGAGCCGGTTACGACAGGTGCACGCCAAAAATCAAGGAGATTCTTTTTCAGGTTCTTTCTACTGGCTTTGTCGTTATGCATGCAGTGGTGCAGACAAAAAAAGCAACATCACAAAAGAAAAAGCTTATTATGCATACATCGAGCACAATGGCAGTATCTGTCGCAAGTAATGCCAGATAACCAAAACACTAATATCAGAAGGTTGCAATTAAATGCTCATAGACACAGAAAACTGTGGCTATTAAGACAGACTTCATGAAATAAACATGAAACAAAGCGCATTGCTAGCCAATGCAAAAAAAAAAAAAGAGGCATTCACATGTTAGATATTAAAAGTGCTAATGAAATATAAAGCATCATCATACAATGAAGGGTATTTAGTGGATCATAACCCTAGTTGGTTTTGGGCAATTAAAACCTGTCCAATCAATCAATCAATCAATCAATCAATCAATCAAATTAATGCATTTGACATATCATAGCCAAAGCTCATTTGGTACATCAGAGCCTTAGCGGCTTCTGGTTCACTAAACCTCGACCAATCAATCAAGCAATTAGGAAACAGTTTTTAGCATGTGCTCTTGAGCCTTTAAACATTAATCAATTGAGAGAAGGCTACTCGCCTGCAAGGAATCCACAGCGGGCGAGACTGCCGCTGCAACCGGCGCTGACGTCGCATCGTCGTTTTCCACGCCGTTCTGGTGCGGCTGCCCGGACGCAGGTGTCAAGACTCCCAGCTGCACAAGCGCCGAGGTGAACTGGTCCCTGGCTACCAGGTCGCACAAGTGGGCCACCACCGTCTTCAGGGTGGAACGGTGAGACACCAGCTTGTTCAGCACCCAGGTCTGCAAGTGCACGACGACCGCCGTCAGTGAACAAAACGAAAACGAACGACGAAGTCGCTGGCTTCGCCTCCCGAACAAAGGTGCACCGAAATGCACGTGTCGCAGCAACAGCTTGGTTTCGCTTCCGTTCCCGATCCGTACCCCGTCTACAATGAATCTCCTTCACACGCCATAACCAAAGGTCGCATTCTTCAGACCTGCCACGGACTTTTGAAGGTCCACAGGTCTGCCCACACGGCGGCAATCTTGCTGGTACTTTCTGCCCCCCCCCCCAACCTCAACAGCGAGCACCAGAGAAGGAGAGGCGATGCCGGTCTCGGATGGTCATGCTCATGCACCAGCCCAACAGTGTGCCAACTACAGCGGAGGCAGGCACAGCAGGGATTCCCAGAAGCGGCAGAACTGGGAGCGATTGCACGATTGACAATATGGTTGACGATGCTGGCGGGAGTTTTTGTGGCGGACCGCCACGTAATCCTCGAGGGAGGTTCTCACCAACAGCTGTCGCTGTAAAAGGTTTCGAGGTCGTTCTTTAACGGAAGACATGCTGTACGGCCAGCTGGCACCCAACAGTTTCCGGTGACGCACTCCCGTGATGAATGAGCATCGTATCAGTGCCGCGTCGGCGTTCGACTGGAATTCATGCCAGCGCTGACTGAACGTGAATTCCAGCCGAAAGCTGAAGCAGCCATGGCCTTGTTATCTTAAGGGGAGACCCTGGTCTTGAAACACAAAAATAGAAAAAAGAAGTTACCTTTTATTTATTTTCTTTTCTCTTCATCTATAAGTGACAAACAAAACGTATTGCAAGTACTAGACTCAGGAAAGGCACATTTATATATATTTACATTGATTCAAAGCTTTGTGTCCATGCTATTCGTAAGCCTGTTGGGAAATCTTGTCCCGTTTTCTCGGAATTCATTTTTTTTTGTCACGACACAAAGTTTTGCCCACGGTATCTTTAGGTCCAAAACTTGAACCTGAATACATTATTCGGCGTTCAATACCTGATATATCGAAGGGTGCGACGAGACTACTATTCCTGGGAAACATCAACTACAAAATTCTCTAATTGGCAGAGACTTTGATGACTTGTTTCTAATTATAAGCAGAAACCTTTCAACTTGAGACAACTTTTTCTAGCATGATGCCAAAATTAAAACAAGTCTTGCCACACCCTCTTCTCTTTGTAACACACTCCTATATTTTGTGTCATACTTTTTGATGGGGGTGCTGTGAACAAATTTGGGCAGAAACGTTTGTGATAAAGTTGAAGGTTTTCTTGAAAACCACAATTGATCGAAAAAAACTGTGCTTATGATTGTGCTTAGCACAAGAACTTGAAAGTAGAGGTGAAAATTAATATATAATAGGCCACAAATTACAGAAAAATGTTAAAGAACAGGATCTCCACATGCTTCAGAGGAAATGGGAAGACGAGAAGTAGCAGGGTCAAAGCCGGGCTGCACGACAGTGGGGAATGCAAACTTTGCATTCCACCCCTGCTGAAGCACTAGCTTTAGAAGGATTTTCTTTCGGAGATGCTAAGCTCCGCAACGTTTAAGCCACCGAGGCACGAAATGCATGAGAAGCACCACACAACAAGGGTCCTCGTAACACTAGAGCTAACTCATCTGGCCTTTTAGCCTTCCACAATTTCATAATGCATAAGGAGAAAGAAGAATTCAGTTCCGTGGTACAAAAATTTGCAATCTACATAACTTCAACGAAGCACTTAAAAATACCTTCTGCTCTTCTCTTAAATCAAATTCACCCTCTTGATCATCCCTCGATCAGTAAATTACTGCAGCTTCAGACATCAGGTGCTTTATATATTGTTTCCTAAATATCCCAGTCCTGCTTCGTTAAGCTCCTTGATTCACTTTATGTAATAAATAGTATTTTTAATGGACCCGAACTAGCCGACTGGCTACGGATGCATCTGCATTTTTCACCCAATTGCATCAATCCTTTTTGTGAATAAAACTGATTTGATTGGTTTGAATACATGCTGTGCTACCGCTGCCTTTGCCACCATACTGTGGGAAAGAGGTGAAGTTCTCTTTTTTCCTCGGACCAAAATCTTTTGTCAAAGTTTTAAATAGGGGAGGCCACACATGGAGATACAGATGGAAGAACTTTTGAACCTAGAAAGCATGTAGATCAAGGTATGGTTTCTAAAAGCCAAGAACCTCCCCTGTGTAGCTTTGAGATGACGAGAGCGTAAGCGGGCACGGCGAGTGCGACTCACCACTTTGGAAGTGCCAAGCTTGAAGAGAAACTTCCACTCTTTCCAGCTCTGCTTTTCCAAGACCGCCGAGCGAAGCTCTTCGATGCGCAGAAGCAGCATGGGAATCTGCGTCGCCAGAAAGATTCACATTCCCTTGTTTCAAACTAGGCCATTCAAAGCAAACTTTCGATGTAAAAAATGGAGAACACCGAAGTTGGGGTGAGCACAGTTTCTCCCATGCTTAGCAAGAGTGCACAAACACACCCCAGTCCTCCAGTTCTAAAGTATAGTAATTATAGCATGATTCAAGTAGGTCTGAATGCTTTCCAGAAATATATTCTAAATTTTTCTAATAGATTCAAATGGAGACAAATTCTAACTTTTTCAACAAACATTCTAAACTTGCTTATATTAAACTGAATTTTTACAGATATTCTTTACAAAGTATTAAATCGAATACCTAGTAGTGTATTGTAACCATTTCTATGACTATTCAAGTTTCTAATCTTGATTTATAGTGTTTAATTTCACCTTCAAACGAAAAAGTGCTTCGGATTTTGTTTTGTAAATTATGTGGTGTTGTGCAAATATTCAAAATTTCGAATAGTAGTTTCGAATAGTGCACTATTCGATATCCGCTTTGCGATGAACTGCGATATTCATATTTTTCTAAGAGTTGGTAACGATGGTTTAGCCTTGTTGAGCGTGCTTCTCACCGAGCACGGGTGCACTGAGGAGAAGCAAGACCCGTAGAAGCGAGCTCCGCAGGTGTTGCTTCTCCACAGTGCATCGGTGCTCAGTAAGAAGCGCCCTCAATAGGGTAACCCGCCACCATCAACACTTGGAAAAACATGAATGTCGCAATTGCATATTTGGGAGAAAAGCCCACTTTCAAAGCGGGATGATGCACCTGCGTGCCTGGTGTATTTAAAAAGAAATGGGAACTTCGTTAATGTTGATATCTACAGTTCAGTGCTCTGTCCGTGTCGCCACAGTTCAGTGCACTGTCTGTCCTTCACCCCGTCTCTCGTCCTTTGCACTGTTTCAATTCTCAAGTATGTACCAACTCACCCAAGCTTCAACATTAGCATTGATATTTATGTTGCAGTAAATATTTCAAAATTAACTGTCGCTGTTATGCAAGAGTATGCAAGGCAGAGATGCCCTGAAAACCTGTGCTCATCATTCATGATTAATTCTGTTTTTATATTAAAGATTAATAAAAAAATATTTGTAGATGTCAAGATTTGTAAATCCACTCAATTAGGTATGGTGGATAATTATAATTATATTAAAATTAGCTAATAAATAGACAAGTGAAGCTTGAAAACAACCTTCACAGGTTTAGCTGGGTTTTCATATAAACATGGTGCAACAGCAATGCAAGGCTTAGAAAAAACTATTTGATATTCGATTAGAGAACATTGGGCCAAAACCTCTATTCGCTTCGAATTCGCTCTAAAATTACATCTTAAAAGTTTATTAGAGAGGGCTCTCCCACATTGACAAGCGAACTTCCCTCACAACACGGGTGGCCTGTGGCAAAGCCACAACATCATCGGTGCACCGGTCTGGGTAAAAAGAAAGGGCACTTCTTTCCAGCAACGAGCCTCCCCAAAAAATAAAAAGCAGCTCTTTACGTGGATGTTAGAATTCTATTTTGAACTTAAGGTTAAGATAGCGGACTGCCACTAGGGTTTAGATTTATCAGAAGTGACTATGAACTAGAATTCCATTTCAAGATTAGGGTTAAAATATTGAGCTGTCACTACATCGCGGAAGTATCACACATGGCAAGTGTCCGAAGTGACTGTGAAGCTTTTTTTGCAAATGCCCTAATTTCCAAAGGATCAACATGGACCCACCTCATCGATGAACTGCTCCAACTTCTTCGCAACCGACCGGATCTTGCTCCCACTGCCCATGTCGCAGAAGCTTTCCCTGCACATCCGACGCACATCCATCATTAAACGCGGGCCGGCCCCACGGGCACGAGGACGTAGGCACGAGCGAGACTCACTTTTTCCGCATGAGGCTGATGAAGGTCACAAACACCTTTTCGTAGAAACTGCGCAGCTTCACCAGTTCCCGCACGTTCAGGGACTGCAAGCATGATGGACAAGAGAGAGAGAAGATTTTTATGATGCCGTGATGAGTTTTGCGATGGACGACTTCCCATTAGTCTAATTTTAGCATTTTGAAAACGGGGACAAAAAACTGTTTTTTTATGGGTTTTAGCAGGTCAGTCATAAGCCTGGATGTTATCAGACACAAGCAGAGAACAAAAAGGGATGCGGATAAAGACTACGGCAACTGATCTGATGTCCTAATTTCGTCTCCCCTGTGCCATTTGTCCCCACACTTCTCCGGAGGAACAAGAAATAAATCTTTAATTTCCGAAGTACCAGTACCCAATTCGCTCACTAGGTGATTACCGGCGGAAACTCTCCCTATTAAGCACTCGCGTATTAAAGCCATGAAAGTAGGAAAACAAAGTTGCTTGTGCTTCTAGTACTGGAACCTGAGGCATCGACATAACTCGACCCTTGTACAGTCGAGACTTTTTCAGAAAAGGCTCGAGGTACAACTAAGCACCTCTCATGAGTTGTGAATGCGAAAGCATGTACATCATTCTTCCACTCTGCTCTGCCGGCGAAAAGAGAGCCGCTGTGACCTTGGACGTTTCGTATTGGCATGCTGACGGACGCGCAGCGCCATGGGGTGGCCGGTCATTGAAACTAACGTGCAGCGTCAGTTTCAACGAGCGGCCATCCCATGGCACTGCGTGTCCGGCCAATGGTAGCCTCGTTGACGCACACCAGCCAATGAGATTGAAGCCGAAAATCCATCAGCTTTACTCCGCTGCTTTGGGATCGGGAATTTTGGTCCCGTTGGCTAGCTTTGCGCGTGGTTTCATAGCTGGGAGCTGGCTTCACTTGGAGAAAGGATTCATAGTACCTTTTGGCACGGTTTAAAAGCTGATGACGTTGGCTCGCTCCATGAGACAGTTAATGCTTTTGCATTAAAAACACGTACCAGCGTAATTCACTGAACAAGTACCAACAAAGGTGGCGTGCTGTGACAAAACAAATTTGTATCAGCAAATTTATGATGCACCACAGAATCAAACCCTCGTCAAAAAAGGGCTGCTTATGTAACCCAAGGTCAAGCTGCGCCGGATGGTCTGGGGATCTTTGGTTGCGACGTTTTAGAGGTTTCGCCGTGAAACGACAGCGGTTTCGAGGGAGCCGCTCACGTTTCTGAGGGACCGGTTGAGGACTTGTCCGACGGTGGCCTTCCCCTCGGAGTCCGAGGCCGCGGATGCGGAGCACCCCTTGTCGTTGCTCATCCGGCTGATGATCAGGTCCAGGGCACACTTGGCCTCCGCAATCAGTTGGAACAGCGAGTCCAGGGAAGACTCGATCTGCGCGGGCCAACGTTTGGCATCGTGCCATCGTCGTTCCGTCTCTATTTCCATGCCCGCAAACAACTGATGGTCCAAATAATGAGGCAACGGCGACGTTGTAAATAACCTCGTTTGCATGGGTTCTGTATGCTGCAAACTAGGCCCGGGTTCAGAAGGGTTGAAAGCACAGTAGTCTCACGCTAATTCAAACATGGATATTTCATACTTTTGGTTGATTCAAACAAATTTCAAGAGGCAACACCTGCGAAGCTTGCTTCTGCGGGTGCTGCTTCTCCACAGTGCACGGGTGCTCGGTGAAAAGCGCTCTCAACGGGGCTGGAGCAGGGTGCCACAAGCTATAAAAACGGGCACCGCGCGGAAATTTCCATAGCAACTTGCGCAGATGCTGCGACATGGTGGCACGGCATGGGTCCACGTCACAGCTTCCGTGCAAGTTGCTGTGAAAACTCCCGCGCGGTGCCCGTTTTCATTGCTCCTCTGTCCACTGCTTAATAGTTCCCATTAGACAACTTCTTGGCCCAATAAACAATCTTAATTTTGTTTTGAGTTGTCATGTGCTGTCTAAACAGTCCACGATAAACAACTTTTTTGAGGGATAAATAAACCTATGTCATATATTTCACAAATTTTTCTCGTGCGGCATACCTGCCCCCGATCAGTAGGGTTATGTAGAGGAAATCATTGAGTATCTGCTTTGTATGTGTAGCCATTCATATAGCAAATCATAATTTTATTTTGTGGCATATTTAGATGAAGTTTTGATAATTCAAACTTCTGATAATTCAAAGAAAATTTGTGGCTTCCTAGAGATTTAATTAATGAGAGTCTACCATAATAAAGTAGCAAAACAAATTGTGTGAGAAATTTTCAACGATTCTGAACTAATGACAGCCATTTTGGCAAGGGGGTAGGTGATTTTCAGTGTGTTTTTTTTTTTTTAACTGAATCTCAAAAGATCAATACATAGTATAACTAGCAATATCGGAGTTGTTCAGTGCACCATCAATCTCTCTCATCTTCTGGAATTTGTGTCAGTTTGGATCAAGATCAAGTTGCTGATCACCCAAATCTCACGTGCCCCTAAAAAGTTTCCAAATAGTTTGTGCTCATCCTCCTTACCACGAGGTGGAGTCGCAACAAACAATTGCGGTGGCTTGGCTCAGTTATGCCAGGATATACGTAGCATGAGTTTATACGCACAAAATGAGAGGTGCTATCAAGCGGCTCCGGTGCAGCGTCAGACTTGGCTACTGCGCAACGGAGGCGCACAGCTGGGCACGCGGCGGCGCCAGTGCGTCTTCCACGGCTGTGACGTCACTCCTCTGGAATGGGCAGACCGGCAAGGCAAGCGCAGCGGCGGCGGAGCGTGCGGCAGCGGCACGGTGCACGGCGGCGGCTTCGCGCGGCTTTCATAATGAGCCGTGCTCATTATGCGAGCCGTGCTCAATATTGCGCACTCAATATGCGAGCTCATTATGCGGAGCTCTGTTGCCGCGCACTCCGCATAATGAGCACGGCTCACATAATGAGCACGGCCCATTATGAAGGCCACACGAAACTGCTCAATTTCGGCCAGTGTAGCTAACGCTACAAAAAGAATCTGGTAATATGCTGCCCTCCGACACCAGCAAGTTGAATGCCTCCATGCTTCAACTTGGACACCGAGCGGGGAACCTCGAGATGTCCATCCAGGAGAAGCGACAGAGTTCGACAGTACACTCAACGCCAAGATGGCGGCGCCAGAGATCCTCAGTAATGGGCGCCTTCGGACCCACCTCGGGTACGACGTAGGCCGCGATGACCGTGCGCTCCGTGAAAGACAGGTTCCCGAATGACCGCTTGACCGCCTCGAGCAGTTTCTGCAGCTGGTTCATGAAGATGGGTAGCCTGCAAGGCAGCGCCAGTGACGCAAGTAAGGCAAAACGCTCTCAAGAACCATACATTTTCGTTCAACAAATGCCAACACGAGGCACGTATTCATGAGCCACAAGTTGTGGTGCTGTGCTTCGGATGTGTCTCACACTAGTGTGTCTACCCACATCTTCAATTCAATTCAATTAAATTTATTTTCCCAACAGGGTGTAGGGCACTTAAAGGGGAACTCCGCCAATTTTTTGGTAGACCTTGATTTGGTTGGAAATTTGCAGACCGCATTAATAACCCTTTCTTATCAGATAACCAAAATATTTTAAAGAAATAAAATTTTTTCGTGAAAATATTAAATTTTCAAGTTACGCCGGCCGCGAGGGTCCCAGGGGGCAACTTTCTACTGGCAACAATAAAAAATCCCTACTTTTCCCTACCCGCATACGTCACACATGTGCAGGCGGACAAGCGACTCGGGCAGCTGCGAAGTGGCTTTCCGGACGCCAGCGATCGAGATAATTTTTTTGCAGCTTCAAGGTTGCAAGTTCCTATGCAATGGGTAGCAATCTGTGCTCCGCAATAGATTGTCGAAACAGTGCCGGGAAAAAGCTTCTTTTTTACCCTTGTTTTCATGGCAGAAAAAAAAAAAAAAACGTTCCCCGGCAGCAATGGAGGCCAGCCACGTCAAGGTGCTTTTGCGCGAGCTGTGTGCCAGGAGAACTAGTGTCACGTGAAACATTTTCACTTTTGCTCGGAATACTTTATAGCTGCGAGCTGAGTATCCTTCAGCAGCTGGAACAGTTTCAAGAGCGGCAAGCACAAACTCAGGCCAGCTGTGGCCATTATGACATCCGTCCAAAGAGCGCTAATAATATTGAGAAAAAATAGTACACTAGCACCATAGTCGACATTTGGCAAAGTCACATTTGTTATTCACAATTGGTTGAGTGATTTCTTTTTTTTTTTTTTACAAACACTATATTTGTTTCGGACGTCGAATCTACTCTCGGAGTTCCACTCACGCGGCCGATATGTTGAAGACGAGAAGTGAAACGTCTAAACAAAGTTCAAGACTGAATTTAGACATGACTTTCGACATATTGCTATTCCTCTCTGCTATTACAGAGGTTCATGAAGCAGGTGTTGAGCTCCATTAATATACGATAGAGCCTTGCCTGGTTTGTCAAATGGTTGGCGTGCAATATTCGCTACAGAAGTGATGAAAACGTTTTTAATTTATTATATTGCGGAGAAATTTTATATAAGGCTGAGAAGTTTTTTTTTTTAATTATGAAAATAATTATGGTGCTAAAGGGAAGCATGCCAATTTACAGCTGATGAAAACTGTGCTAAACCAACTTAACCTTAAAAAAAATCTTATATAGAATTACCCCCTTCCCATGTGCTCTCGTGGATGGGCGTTTGAACGCGTTGCATTCTACCGCAAAAGTAAAAAGAAAAAAATACGGGTACATTTTTTTATTAACTTTTGTTAACTTATTGAATTAAAAGGTTTATGATGTCTTTCTGTACCTCACACACTATTGTATCTTCAAGCAAATATTCTTTATTTGGAGATGAACAGTGTATTTGTGTATTTTATATGCATTCCATTGCACCTTGATGTTTGGCTTGGTGGTTGTGAAGTTCTTTTAATCGTCATTTCAACACAATCTTCATGATCAGTAACCTGCCATCTGATCTAAACGAATGCAGTTCATTCCATTCTTAACATTTCATTCTTTTTGAGAAAGTCTACATATCTTAGGTCCCAGCCCAGCACGCAAATGTTCATCGCTTTGGAAGGCGAGCAATGTATGCGCCACACGCACGAACGCTGAAAATGGCATCGACCAGAAGCGCTTTTCAGAAATGTCTACAGATCCCTTGCTAAATTACTTAAGCACCAAGGAGCATATTGATGCCACAAGAGTAGTTACACGTGCTGATGCCTGCAACAGTAACTTTTCAAAAGAAAATATAAAACAAATGGCACGTTTCTTCAGGTGATACGAGCGTGTGGGGCACCTGTACCCACGTTCCGAGCATTTCTTGCGGTGCTTTGGCAATTCATCAAAAGATGTATCGCGTGACTCTTCGACCTTTCTTCGCCAGCCATCTTCTAATAAAAGGGAACAGATCCACCAGCAATATCACGAAACTAGTGAGGCGCGGCTTGAGCGTAGCGAGTTGCAAAACCGGTTTTATAAAAATTCCAATTGCTCCCGTTGTTCTTTTCTTTTTACTTTCTTATAGTTGTGCACGTAGACCAAGGCCATACTTTATGCAAATATATATAATTATCAACTTCAAACAGCACGAACGCCCAGGTTTTCTTGCCGTTAGACGCGAGAAAGGCAGGCGCGAGCATACTTGATTGCCGGCAGCGTGCCTCGCTGCACACAAGTGACGTCACACTTGGGCGGTGGGGAAAACTGGGAAAAACCTAGGGAGAACGATGTTTCAGTTTCGGCAACAAACAAAATATCACTTTTTTAAATTAACTAGAGTCAATTTGGGAGAACGAGATAGCATTTCAGAATCAGGAAGCCATCCACATTCAGATTATGCCCTTGGATTCGGTAGCTCGAAAAGTCGGCGGAGTTCACCTTTAACACACCAGTCAATGATGCGCTCCAGGCACCATTGCTCCAACCTCCGCGTCTGCTAGTTCCTGTAAGGACGGCGGACGTCGCACCGATGCTGGTATTTTTCGCAAGTATGATCAACGACCGGGACAGCTTGCCAGAGAGCGTTACAAACGCATCTACCGTGGAATCATTGCCAACAATGATTCAACCAACAACTTTTTCCGCCATGATAGCCTACTGTTTTTTGTGTGTTGCTCGCAGTGCCGCGAGAGATCTCAATCTGCATTCTTTTTGCCTTCCTTTTTATACGCTCGCCCTTGCCTTGGCTTCCAATGGTGGCTGGCAGTATTTCTAAATCATAAATAAATAATATTAAAAAGAAATTTATGGCAAATTACTAGGCCATTGTGTTGCATGTGTCAAACGTCCTAGCATCACAAACGTTTAGCGATACTAGAGTTTCCCGACACCAGATGCCTACAATCAAGGCACTCTTCATCAGACAGTTTAACGTGTACCGTGAGTAAATTCAATAGTTGTTCCTAGAATGAAGCGGTATTATCACTAATCAAACTGATGAAGCTGGCGATTTTCCAAAGTTTTCCACACTTTCGAGCCCCTCTCCCTCAGTGCGCACGAGTGGTCGAGCTCCTTCTCGCCTACCTCACCCCTCCTCACCTACCCTTCTGGTCACACAACCTCTTTGTAAACCAATCGGCATCGAGCACCTCACTCCTCCTCTCCCATCCGTCAGCCAATCGGCGTCGAGCCTCCTGGCCATGCTTCTATCAGGGCTTCACCCAATGCTGAACACCCAGCCAAAAAAAATTTCAGCTTTTCCACTCCGGTGAAGATAAAAGACCAGGGAAGCTGTACTATGGTAAGAATGAAGTAATGGCGAGCCACTAGTCGGCAAGCCAAAATGGAAAGGCTCGAAAGGTTGTCGCCCTCTATGAGTGACAGTGGCAACCAGACAACCGGCAAGCCGGTTGTCTGGTTGCCACCATCACTCATAAATGGCAGTAGCTGTCCAAACTTCTGTGTCATCATTTGTTTACTGACGGATACAATCCTGGGGAAACTAGCCTTTAACAACTCCACTGTAAAACACTTCTAGTTAAAATGTGCGATGCCCAGGATACAGACGAGGCCCTTTCACCTGGACACGCAGTACTTGATGAGGTCGCGCCTCTCCTCGCGCGAGAGCTGGTGCTTGTGGCGGGAGAAGAGGTCACACAGCAGCAGCAGCTTGGAGGCTGCCACCGCACACTCCCGCAGGGCCTGCCCCACCACGTAGCAGAGGCGTGCCGGCGCGGCTGCGGCGTTAGCCACCGCACCGCCACTTCGGTGCCCACCGCCGGGCGAGTTCTCTGGGCCGACCTTGGCGCTGAAGCAGTCGACGACGCTCGATGCGCAGCGGTGCATGTCGGCGACCAGGGATACCACCTCTGCGCAGAAGTGGAATGCATGGCACGGAGGTGGAACGCATGGTGTGAGGATGGAAATGGGTGATCTTTGAGGAGAGCTACACGTGCGACGCTGCAGAGGCATTGTTGTTGTGCCCCCTTTCTTAGACGCCAATGACAACAATGATTGTGCAGCATCATGTGTGCCTCTTTATGACAAAATGGTGCAGAAGAGGACTTCGAGAGTCCTTTGCTGGCTGTGTGTTCATGGGGATAAACTAAGTTCCACCCATCTCACGACATGTGCAAAGTGCGACCATGAAATGGTCGCATTTTGCAAATATGTGACCATGTGCAACCATGAAATGATTGCACAAGGTTGCATGTGCAACATGAAAGGGTCACATGTTTCATGTGCAACTCAAGCACTATTACACAAACACGTGTTTTAAGTGTGACCACGAAATGACGCGCCCATTTAATGGGCACGTCATTCCTAGACCTTGCTAGACAGAGAGCCCTATTTTGACGTTGTTGACTTTGTTCCAAAATATTTTTTACTGCACCGAGGCAATGCAGAAAAGAATGCCTCCTTCCTCCTTTTCTGCAACATCTAACTACATCATGACCAAAATAAACATTTAAAGGGCCCCTTAAAAAAAACATTCTTTTTAAACAGTCTCGTTGAGAACGCGTGTCAAAAAAATTAATTTTACGCAAAGAAAAATTTTTTTAGCAGTATTGACGGCGAGAGACTTATCTGAAATTCTGCGTGCAAAGTCCATGACGTAAAGGAATGGTCATTCGCTCTTTCGACCTCAACGTGAAGGCGAAGTTGATCCACCGCTCCTCCACGCGCCCAAAATGTCGGGACAGAAAACAAGTGGAAAGGAGGTGACTACCAACCAAATTGCGTCTCGCGCCGTCGATATTGCTCTAAGAAAGTGTTTTTTTTCACGTAAAATAATTTTTTGACACGCGTGTCCTAACCAAACTGTTTCAAAAAAATTTGTTTTTCTTTTCAGGGGCCTTTTAAGGGGACACGTGCCAGGGGAATGTTTTTATTATTATTTACACTATCAAAATAAAATTTTTACAGTTTATGGTGCTTAACCTTTCTTTGTAAATTTGCTGTTAGATTTGATATAGCTTGATTATTTAGGTTCTTGGTGCAATGTACATGCAGAAAAAACATGTTTTTGTGCACACGTTAGGCATGGCATCACACTTAAACAAGCCTAGTAAAATAAACTCATCCACACCTTCTAAACCACTGAGTGCAATGAATAACAAAAATAATCTATGTGACGCTTGCTTAACTTTAAAATAATTAAAAAAATGAAATATGGCATTTCAAGGGGTTAACAGAAGTTTCTTAAATGCTTTCATAAATATAAAAGATATATACATTCTAAAGTATACACATGGAAAATTTGATGGTGATAGGACAATATTAAGAACAAAACTTCTTGTGCACAAACTGTGAATATGCCCCAAAATTACATAAAAAGAACAAAGCGCTCAAACTGTATGGTAGATGAATAGTTAGACTTTTCTGCGGTGCCGAAAATAACATTTTATAAAAAAATGTCTGCGAAAAACTAAAGCTACAGAAAACTGCAGCGAAAAGGAGACGGCTAGGCCTACTTGACAACGTAAATGTGATGGCGGGCGACATCACAACTTGAAGAACCACACAGAAAAAAATGGCTCGAACTCATGCCGTTCTGGGCTGCCTGGATGTCATCAAATGTGCGTTTGACTAATTTCGCAATCATAACTGTCACTAATTATTTTTATACATCAAATATAAAGACTCAAAATAATAAAACCCCTTAAAACCCCAAATCACTTCTTTTTTTCTTGTGCAAAATATTGCCGTTTTTTTACTTGCATCTTCCCTCAACAGAACAAACTGCAAGCACCGACAGGCCATTGGGAAATTCAGAAGTCGCTCACCCATGAATCAAAATGAGTTAACCCCCAAAATGCCGTGACCGAGACAAAGTCATTGGACGAAGCCTCACGTTGCCGCACGGCCGCATTGTGGAGGAAGAGCTGGCAGAGCGCGGTCAACCTCTCGAACCCCACAACAGGAGACCCGAGCAGTGCGAGGCAGGACCGTGCAGTCTCCTCGGTGGTTCCAGGAGGCAGGCAGTCCGCGTAGGCGCAGTGCAGGGCCGCCCGCACCACAGGGTCCGGAAGTCCGTCCAGCGGACTTCCGGACCTCCAGTCCACCAGGGGACAGCTCAGCCGGAGCAATGTCAGGTGCACCGGAAGCTGCAACGCGGAACCCAATGTCAGATCTTGGCGCGTTTCCTCAATTACCTCTTTGCGCGAGGGAGAAGTTTGTAGGTGTCTGCCAGTTGGACACCCGGGAAATCTCCCGTCTGCAGAACAGTTACAGAAGTGTCTCGCTCACAGAAACGTTTCTAATCGAGACACTTGTGGATACTTCCGCAAGTCAATCACCTACAACAAGGTTCTCTAAGGCCCGGCCCACGGTAGTCTTCTGACCGGCCTGCGGCTGGCCGCAGTCATTGCGACAAAGCCTGGCCCGCTTCCAGAAGACCCGCTGCTAGCAGTGCAAAAAGTGTGCGTAAAGCGACGGCGCCGTGACGCGCTCCAGATGCACAAACTAGGGTACCAGAAAAATGAAAGAAGCTGCATCATAACACGGCTCCTCTCACTATATTATTGAATGAACATCGTCATCACCAGAATCACCATTCTTAGTCCCTTTATGTATGTATAACTATGTTAAAATTAAATGGCTTCTGCGTGCACATTGCGCTTAGTGTCCTCTGTCGCGACTACTGCACATTGTCAGCATTAGTCTAATTATTGTAATTAGTCTTTTGCCCTCCCCGAAGGTGCCAAAGTTCGCTTTGATTAACTTCTGGTGAGTCTTCTTGGCCAAATGTGTGTGAAATGTCATTTTTCACTGAACAATAAATTTCAAATTCAAGCATATGTATTAATCCACTTAGGGTTTCTTTAATACATACTCTAAAACTCAGTTTTGTGTTTAGATGCCTATCTTCGTTAATTTCTTTAGTTTTTCTTCGTTTCTGATTATTCTTTTTTTTTTTTTTTTCAACCCTCAAGATTGCGATAGATTGCTAATCTGGCCCCTTAGCCAAAACGTCTGAAGACCCCTGATCTAAAAGATATTCTGGAGGTGCCTGTCGGTGAGACACCCAAAGACACTCCAATAAGCGAGACACTTATGAAAGAGTCTCACTCAAAAAAGCATGTATTTGTAAATGAGACACAGACACTCTCATAAGCAAAACTTATTCGAGTGTCTCTGTCAAAGGACACTTCTGCGAGGGTCTCAAACACAAAAATGTTTGCAGGTGAGACACTTCGACACTTGCTCACATTCACATCTGTAAGTGACACACTTGCAGAAGTGACTTCTGAGGTCTCACCTGTGAACAGAGACATCTAAGGCGTCTACAAAATCGGCAGCAAGATGTTGCGGCTGTTTCACCGGTTAGGGAAAGAAAGAGAGAAAGAAAAATGCCTACCTGTTTTCCACCTTCCGCCGTGATAACAGCGTCGGAGAAGTAGCCTTCCTCGAGCGCATGCAGATAGCTGAAAGGCTCGTCCCAACCCGTTTCTGCTTGTGCCAGCTGTGGAGGAAGCAATGTTAGGTAGGACATTTTTTTAATGTTAATGTCACCGACAAAACGTGAAGGTGGTCAGAGCCGGCAGAAAGCTTTGACTTGCAGCGAAATGTTTGCCTACAACTCTGATTTTTCCAGCAGGTTCGCTTTCAAAGTATCGTTGCCTTAATGTTACATTAATGTTGCGACATTAATATAATTTCAATGCGAGCTTCCCAATTTCCTCGCATGTGCAATAGCAATTATACAGCCCCTCATTCGTTGAGAGATCCCCGGGAGATTTAAAGCAATCCAAAATCGTTCCATGCCTGCACCTGTAAAGCGGTAAATACTAGCACACAATATCCTTCTGAAAAAAGAGCTCTAAAAATGCTCAAAGTCCACTAGAGGAATTCCCCATTAATGTTACAGAAGGACCTGCCAAGTAAAGTCGGTTATCTTTAGGAAAATAGACATAAAGGCAAAAATGCAAAGCAATGTGAATGCAACAATAAAGTTTAAAAAATAAGCAAAAAAGTATAAAGATTTACAGCAAGGCGAGAATGAAGACTGGAAAAGAGACAACTGCAGAGACTGAGACAAGAACAAAAGATAGAGTGAGGACAAAGGCAGGGACGTAACCGACGACTTAACAAGAGGTTAAAACAGTTATAAAAATGCACGAAAAAAAAAGAAAAGGAGATGAATTGCGGGAAGATCGAAAGAAGGACCGCCACCTTTACGCATTGCAGGACGCACCAACCCTCATAAATCAGGTTAATGCCGTCTTCGTCGGAATGGGCCACCTACGAAGGAACAGACGCAAAATCCATGAGCACAGACGACGAACCAAGACTGCACAAGTCAAGTGCACGACCCCAGAAATACACGAGCGTTTCATAATGAAAGTGGCAATCAGAATCACAAGGTTCGGAGTCGATGAATTAAGAAATACACTACAGAGGCAAGATGGTAGAGACCCAACCCACCCGAAACTCAATGACGTGACCGGCAAAGGTACCGAAGAATCTGATGTAGTGCGGGTTCCCAAGAAACACCTGTAACAAAAAAAAAATATAAAAGCAACTAACGCACCAAAGACCAGCCAGTTCGCATCAAAACAAGCTTGGTCTCATGATATTTCACCCCTTATGACAGGGTTTTAAATAGCAACTCCGGTCAAATTTCTATGTTGAGAAAACAATGCAGTCCTATGTCGTATCATCTGAAAAGCCTACACGTAAAATATTATGATGCAGTTCGGTCTAAAAGTTTATTAACCCGATTAACGAATTTGGAACGGCTCCACAGTTACCGAAACCCGCCCAATCTAGCAGGCGACATGCGGAGCAGAGCAGTTAACGCCGCTGTGTGGACACAGCCAACGCTGCACGGAACAACAACAGCTGGAAGAATAGTTTTCTTTATTTCTTACTTTTCGAGGCGCAAAGAGCGAGAGAGGGAGAAAAAAAAGAGAGCGTGGGGTGCTGTCCGCCGCTTTCGTTGATGACATAGCTGACGTGTCCGCACCACGTGATGTCTAGTAATTGACAAGCAGGACCAATGTTGCCGCTGTGGGCAAGGTTTCGGTTTCGCTTTGTGATTTTTGTTTAAGCAAGGTTCGCAAAAAAACTATTTAGCTTTTTGGGAAACGAATGTCACAGAAACATTTATTACTTGTTTTAACATGATAATCACCCGTAATAACAGAATTTTCGGAATTGACCGAAGTTTCCCTTTAAAGCCATGCTCACCGTAATATCTTGAGGGATAGCCCACCCAAAATTGAGAGAAAATCTGGTAAAAATAGGGAGTGGGCTAACTTTTGGTGTAAAATGAAGAGAAGTTGAAAAACAACACTTTTTTTAGATGATGTTTTCTGCTAGACTAGTTATCATGGTAAGGGACAAGGAAGCAACTGTACTTCTTAGTAAGCAGTGTTTGCTTACCGTATAATACCGAGCAAGCGCACACTCAAAATATGGAGATAATCGTAAAAAAGGGGGGAATGGGCGCTTGTTAGGTCATCAATTTTACCTATATATGTATTGTGCATATTTCTTTGAGATGTTGCGAAATTTGGGTGCGGGCGCTTGGTACTTTACGGTATATCCCGTCATGGCTAATTAGCCGCTTTTATGCAGAAGTCGTCATTGATCCGAACACTACGATAACCAGGAGTGGGCTATCTTTCGGTGTTTAAAATAAAATAGCAAATCAAGCCAGAAATAGGGGTGGGTTATCTTTCAGGGGTGGGGCATCTTTTGGGATATTTCGGTAGTTAACTTTTTTAAAAATAGTTCCCCTGCTGGCTTGAAAAAATAAAGCTTCTTCAAAGTTTGACTACAATCAATATAAAAGATTTCTGGCCAGCATCTGAAGCTGCTATCTAATCCCACAAAACAGAGTACAGGTCCATGTTGATGTCTACAAAATGTGCTATACGAAATTGTTTGACTGCTTTTTAACAGTTAGATACATTTAGAAAATATTAGACACAGTAGAATGTAGAAAAACGCTTTTCAGGGAAATATCCAAGACTGCTGACGATAGCTCTTTCCGTATAAATATCTGTAGTGACATAAAACTTTTGTAGTGTCACTAGACTAGCAGGAACAAAAATATGTATCAAAAGCGACCACACTATCAGTTGATTACGGAGCATACGAAAGGTATGTAAAATTCTAGAGGAATTTTTGAATGCAAGGATGTCAGAATCTGTGAAACTTTATGATGCCGTGTGATTATCAAAAATTGCAGAGAGCTCTACAGATACCATCTGGTAAAAATCTTGCACGTCTCACGTTTTTAGCCTCCAAAACGATCGTCATTTAGCCCCCTAAAAAAATCACTATACATACTCTGTTGCATCTCACGATGGAGACACTACGAGACATCAGTCATCTAACGCCGTGCAAGCGCCTCTCGGTTGGGGCGCAGTGACACACCGTGACAAGCGAAGTGCAGAGCTGCGCGACACTTTTACGGCGTTGGATTGGCGGGGCAGTCAGTAGCAACTGCTTCGGTCGATCGTAAGACGAAACGCAGTATGGGCTAGCTAACGCGCAGAAAGTTTTACCTCGAAAGTCTCACAACTGAAGAAGGGCATGGATTCCGCGTTGTCCGGAATCTTCCAAGTAAGGTCTCCGCTTTCGTCGAGCGTGAACTCCGTCCTGGCGGAAGATAGAGACTGATGTGAAAAGCTTTGTTGACCAAAAACTTTACTCAAAAACAGACATACTCCCTTGCGGTCCGTCAATGTAAAAAAAATTGGCAGCGACCTTTACGTTCAAAGACTTTTAATGTATGAAATGCAGTATTTTAAAAAGGGATCATTCTTTAATTTGTTTCTATTTTAATCTGAATGTGTTGTATAGGGCACATGACATCAGATCATGTGATATCAATTTTCCTGCGAAATTTAGCCGGGAAACTGAACTGGTGCATAAGTCACGTGACGTCAATTTTTCCGCTAAATCTAGCGGGAAACCTGAATTTGTCTGTAGGTCCCGTGACATCAATTCACACAACATCAATGATTCCACTAAATTTAGCATAGAACCTGAATTCGTGCATAGGGCACATGACATCCAATTCCTCGCTAAATTTAGTGGGATACGGACGGACAACCAGACAAAACTTTTTGATTGGGGGGGGGGGGGATAGCGTTAAAAAGCATTTCATACTTTAAAACGAGCGGTATGTTACGCAATGCTACTAGAAGGCTCTAGGAGAGCCGTGAAAGATAAAAACACACAAGCTCGATCGTGCCGACAGAGACCACGGAGCACAGAATGTGCGGTCTGTGCAAGTTCTTTCTTTGTGCACCATAGATGTTAGCCACGGGTAGAGAGAGAACAGGCGAGCGCACCGCACAGGCACTAGCCCATATGGTTCTCGAGCAATGCGTGACGTCAATGAGGTGAGCGGTTACGTGGCACGACGTCACACCGCTCTCACTGGCACGTTTTGCCAGGAGCGCAATGCTTTCAGAGTAGCTGTGCTACGCAGCTCAGCGGCCATTGCACCCGACTGCCACCACATCGACCCAGGTTCGAGTTTCATATACGACCTTAACGTCATGTCATGCCCTTAGCGTATCGCTCATCAATGTCAATCATTCCCGAAACTCGTCCACAACGACTTGCTTATAGCAAATGACTAACAAAACACATTTCGTGTTAAAACCTCTATCAAGATGAATAAGAACAGCGTGTAATATATTACCCTTCGACATCTGCAACCTCAGTTCCTGCGGCCAGCGATATGCATTTCGTGATCTGCAATTCCAGAAAGAGAAATTATGATGTGTCCGCAACTCAACAACAGTCCAAGCAGTGCGTGCCACCCAACCCGTACTGGAAAGAGGTCGGTGTTTGAACAGCCGAATGTCGTCTCCATTGGACCGTCAGGCCAGGCATGGCAGGTATGCCGGTTCGGTGACGGCAATTTACGGAGTCTCTTTTTCCTTTCATTTTGAATGGTGTTGGCATAGAGAAGCGTAGAGACGAGCATGATAAGAAAAAGTGGACAATTCATCGGGGTCACCTGACTACTAGTATAACATCAGTGCAAATACAAATGCATGGGAAAAAAATTATAAACTGAAGTAATTAGGTGCTGGATATTGTGAGATGGTTGGTTAAGGTTATGGTGCGAGCCTGTCTTTTTCTTCACTACCCAGATAAAAGGAATCGGCTCGAGCCAGATAAACGAAGGCAGCCGATATTTGGAAGACAGAAAAATCCCGTTTCCGCCATCACACAGCGGTAAAAACGCAGGTCTTTCATACAGGTCTTTGCGACAAGCTGCAGGACAAAAACGAGATACACCGTCTCGATCCACCCAAACGGGACAACTACCTTAATTATATTTACACATTCGCATAATTTCTCAGGCTCCTATTGATCCGTCAAGGGCTAGGGACGACGCCCACACGGGAGTTATCTAAACAAACAATGATTTGCGGCTGTTTTGGTGAGCCGAAGTCATCCAGGAATATTTCCAGGCTTCTCTCCTCCCCGTTCCCCCCGTCCAACGATCAGCTGTGAAGTCGAAACATTGAGATGGAGAAAAGAGCATTTTTCTGCGGTCTAGGCGTCCAGACGAGACTCAAAATGAAGCGTAATAACACGATTCAACTCTTACTGCAATAGCAAAGGCTATTCAAAAGAACTGCGCAAAGGTAACATTTGCACGGATATTTGTAAACAAACCAGTCGCATTAAATGTCAGACGAAGGAAAGCCAGTGTACCGACGGCCTGTGCTGCTAGAGTGGCGCGCACGAACCTCACACGAGTGCATGCAATCAAATTTGAGGTGTGGTCGGAAGAATCGACCCTTGCGGTGCCGTCGGGTTAATTGCGTGCCCGAAATTCGACAGTATTATGAAATAAAAAGTTTTTCTGACCTTCCAGCTCCCGCAGTATATGTTTTCGTCCGCCATATTGTCGTGATGGCAGTGGCGGTAGCGCCGATGTTGATCGTCGGAGGCGCTAGTCGGCTGCGACAAACATCGTGTGGTTCGAAGTTCGAACTGTTCGAACTCGAACCTTTCCTCAAATTTACTCCTAAAGTGCTCTCTTAGTTGTGTTTCACTAAAATGATTATGACATCTTGTTCATTAATCGTTTACCAGGGAGTATTTAACGACTAGCAGTCGTTAAACCGCTTTTAAAATGACAAATACACGTCGGCGCGTTTTTGACGTACTGCTTCTTGTTCTGGGGGCAAATATCGCGTTCTTGTTACGCCGTAAGCTTGTAGGCGGTAGCTATCTACCTATCTACCTCTACCCCCCTCTCCCCCCCCCCCCCTTTTTTTTCCCCCTTTTTTTTCATTATATTTATGATGGGTTTCGCCTTCGCTGCCCCGAGAATTTGCGGGCGATTACATGCCCGGAAAGCAGGGCTGGGCAGGGATACTCCAAAAAGTATTCGGGAATGCAAATACCGAGATACATGTATATAAAGCCCAAAGTACAGATAGTACTACTAGTCCGTTGCAACTCAAAAAGTTGGGGCGAGGGAAAGGACGGCTTGGGAGGATTAGCGTTATTTAGTGACTTGGTTCCGTCTGCTTCCTCCTCTCCTGCCTGCCTTTCCCTCACCCTACCTTATTTGTCTTTTATGCGACGGGATAGCCCTGAGATACTTCTGGAAAAACGACGAAAAAGTATTCCGGAATACAGATACATGTGTTCGCGAACGGTGCTATGTGGGGAGGGCGTAGTTCGTGGCGAATGCCAATGGCAATTTATGCTTGTGCTCCTCGTTTTGTGTCATTTCATGCACTTCCTCTTTCCTCGAACTAATGCAACTAAAAAAAGCATGTCACACCCGGTGAACCACATAGTTGCTGAACGGTAAAGACTGCGTGCTATGCTTGACACAAAGCTTGTTAACGTAGCAGCTTGGGCGAGTTGGTTGCACATGATTACACACACCACAGCGCACTATAGCAAACAACACTCACACCTTACACACGAAAAATAAAGCGAAATTCAAACAAACCGCGCTGACTGACAACTCTTTTTATATAACTTTGTCTTCTTCAACCTCTAGCACCACCGAATTTCCCAAATCACGCGCACCGATCTCCTAGATGCCTAAAAATGTTTTCTCTTTTTCTGTCAGGTGTAAAGATGGAGTACTTATACAGTTGTTATAGTTCCTGGCGATATGTTCTGCGTCGATAATTTCTCGAGTTAATTGGTTTCTGTTTCTACCTAAAATTGTACAGGATGGCAGGTGAACGTCGCACCCACAATCCCGGCAGTGTATGCCTAGATGCCCTGAGTTGGCTCTGGAGCTGTTGTTGTTGTGTTCCCGGAGCCTATCATTAAGGCATCGTCCGGTCTGACCTATGTACACTTTCCCGCACGAAAGGGGAAATGAGTACACCACTTCATCGGCACACTCAACGAACCTGTTCTGATGGTTTTTGGTGCAGCATACTGTTCGGTGGAAGCTTGGCAACTTGTTTAAACAAGTCAACTCACCTGATTTCCACCGAACAGTATGCTGCACCAAAAACCATCAGAACAGGTTCGTTGAGTGTGCCGGTGAAGTGGTGTACTCATTTCCCCTTTCGTGCGGGAGAAGTGTTTCGGCGTCTCGCCGCAGCGGAGCGCCCGTCGCGTGCTTCTCCTCTCATCCGTTGTCTGGCGCTCTAACTTTTCAATTTCAACGGCTGCTGGCTGCTTCTCGTGGCGATCTTCCAGGCCTTGCCAGTATAGACCTTTTCACCCTCCTCGGCATGGGCGCTGCCATCTTGAAATCACGTGACGCGGCAGCTTTAGGTTGCTTCAACTTGCTGCTCCGCTCTCCCCTCCGCGCCTTGGCGGATGCGTTGTATTCGTGTTTTTCGTTGCGTTTCACCGCGCTTTGTTGCCTTACCTCGGAAACTGTAGTCCGATACGTATACTCGACGACTAAGACATCTCGGGGACTCAGATGTCCTTCTGACAACTGAGGTTTGTTTACTAATAGTGGCGGAACATTCTCAGTAAAGCTTAGTTCACATGCAGCGGTTTTGGCCCTAGAGCGGCGCGATTTCTGCCGTAGCGGCGCTCTGGCCAGCACCAGCAATTCAGTGGCACGAGCACCGTGACGGCAGAAATCGCGCCGCTTTAGGGCCAAAATCGCTGCATGTGAAACACGCTTTAGAAGCGCGTGTATTTATATCGCGCATTTAAGATCGGAAGGACTCAAGAATAGTCATCGCAAGAAAACTATCTGTATTTCCTGAAAGTATCGTTCTTTGCAACGTTTCCTTTGATTATGTGAGGAAACTCGCAGAGGAGATAGACAACGAACGTTCAACTTGTATTTTATCTGAGGTCAGGCGATTTATTTATTCATAATATCACACCTACATGTGTAGTAGGCTCTCAATCTTTTTTTTTTTTTTTTGCACTTATGAAGTTTAAGAAATAGTATACCGTGGTTGCTCCCATTTCGACACTCATTTAAGTGATTTATTGATTATATTTAAATAACCAGTTCAATCCACTTAATTTATTTTAACACAAAGGTTGGGACTGCCCGCGTAAGAAACTGGTACAGACACTTTACAGTAGCGAGTTTTAGAAAAAAAGTGCACTAAGAGATAACGTCGTTTGTTTCTATTTGCAAATCCAAACGCGGTTTGGGTTCGACGCATAAACAATATTGACGACGCTTTTTTTTTTCTTTGCGTACGTTGTTTTGTTTTTGTTAGTATCTAAAATCCGCAATCATTGGCGCCGACAAAAAAAAAAAAAAAAAAAAGAGCCGTCTGCATAGCAATTACTCGAATTTAGGATTGCCGATGGCGAATATAGGTTTACTTTTGGTGGCTGGCGACGCCGAAATTTACAAAGCCAATCTGTTCAAGCAAATAAATAATTGTTCACACAGGTCTGCGAAGTTTTGTCCTAGCGCTAGGATTCAGCGAAACTTTCCGAGGGATTTCTCCTCCCGCGCCCTTTAATTTTATTTGGTCAATTTTTGGGAAGACAAATGCCAGATTTAGTTTGACGGGCCTGTTAGGTATATCATATCTTGAGTAAGCAAATGTTCATATAACAATAATTTATTTCATTGGGCCAATATCGCGAAATGCTGCTTATGAGTACATTAGGAGGGTTGATAATTTAAGAAATTTCCTACTCGGCCCGTCAAAACATGCTCGAGTACTCAATTAAAAAAAAAAGAGGCCTAGACGATACTACTTGTTTATATCACGATACATTTTTAGTCAGCGAAGTTCACTAAAGTTTGGGTGCCCTCGAAAACCAAACAGTGAGTAGTAAACTCGTGAGTTCATCAGTTCTGACCGAATCAGCACATTGCTAATCAAGCTGTCGATATGCTTCTTTACATTCCCATGTTAGTCTCGTCATCAGTTTGTTTTTCTTGAAACTAGTTTCATCGGGTACGGCCGTAGACGATATATATAGTAATCTTCCCTGTTCATCAGTCAGGCGTTTCGCAACCGACCATAATCAGGTACATCAAAGGAGTTGGTAAACCATATCTCGCAATTTAGGCTAAAATACACCTCGTAGTCCTCAAAGTGGCTCAAAAGCACTGTTTCATTGGTTGTGTGGTACAAGAAAAAGGACTGTATCGCAAAATTAAGCAAGAACAACGTAAAACAGCAACATAGCCGCGTTCATGTTGAAACCGAAATTAACCAAATTGAAGCAACCCAATGGCGCCGAGTGCGTCAGCGCCCTCTATCCGCCGGTGAGGCAACTACTAAAATGAAAAGGCGCTACTTTCAGGTTCCGCGGCGTCGGTGGTTCCACCAATGTGCAATAAACCGTTTTAGAGCGCAGCTCTTAGGGGCCCGTTCCCGGCTTGAGCGCCGTCGCCGTCGGCGTAACCAAGGTCATCCCAAGGTCACTTGACCCCAAGGTCATCCTAAGGTCGGTCACGTGACACCCAAGGTCACGTGACTCCCCAAGGTATCCCCAAGGTCACGTGACACCCAAAGTCACGTGGCTCCCCAAGTCACGTGACACCCAAAGTCACGTGGCTCCCCAAGTCACGTGACCCCCGATGACGTCACCAGTGACGTCAATGATGACGTCACCGGCATCCGCATCGTCAGCGTCATCATCACTGATGACGTCATCAGTGACGTCACTGATGACGTCACCGGCATCCGCATCGTCATCGTCATCATCACGGACGGCGTCACCGGCATCCACATCGTCATTGTCATCATCACTGATGACGTCATCAGTGACGTCACCGGCATCAGCATCGTCATCGTCATCATCACTGATGATGTCACCGGCATCCGCATCGTCATCGTCATCATCGCTGATGACGTCATCAGTGACGTCACTGAGGACGTCACCGGCATCCGCATCGTCATCGTCATCATCACTGATGACGTCACCGGCACCCGCATTGTCATTGTCATCATCACTGATGACGTCATCGATATCCGCATCGTCATCGTTACTGATGACGTCATCGGCATCGTCATCGTCACGTGACCCCCCAGGTTACGTGACCCCCACCCCGGGTCACTTTACCCCCTCAGTACCCTTCCCTCCTCCTCCTCAAGAGCTGCGCTCTAATTCGGCGTTACAGGGAGTTGTAAACGGCTTTCACTTTTTTTTTCTTGTTTTTTATATATATATATATATATATATATATATATATATATATATATGGGACGTTATTTTTTAAAGGGTTCTATTAGAAAGAGTGGAGGACTTTGTGAGAGGAGCGTATTTTGTTATTCTTGCAAGTAACCTTCTTTAAACCTAGAGGTGTTTTTCTTATGTTGGTGATCGTGATATACGGCAGATTCATGTAATAAATTCTGAAGAAACTTCCGCCAAACACATGTTTCGTATATTTTTAATTTATCGTAAAAATGGCAACAAATGTAACGGGATAACTAAGTCTGGCAAAGTATCGCGATACAAGTGATACATTTTAAATGTATTTCACTAC